GGTGTGGGCGGCTGACCAGTTTCTAGCTTTTTGGTTTCACCCCAGCTGCGCCGGCCGCTCCGTTGTGCACTGGGATCTCCAGGAGTCTCCTCCCCCTCTCCCCTAGACGGCGCCCTTCCCCCGGCAGCCCCCCTCGCGCTCCCCGCGCGTCAGCAGGGGTCGCTGCAGCTCCCTTGCCCCCCCCCCCCCCCCCCCCCCTCATCTTTTCCTCCTGTCTCCCTCTCTGGCTACTACCCGTGTCTCTCCAATTTATTCTGTTGGCTTGGCCCTTTTGTTTGCACTCAATAGTCCACCTCGCTTTTTCTCCGGCACTCAGCTGCAGGTCCAGCCCTATTTATATCCATTTCTGCGTATCTAAGTCGGCTCGGTATTTTCGTTAGTGCCTTCTTGACATTGCGCGTGATCTCTCTAAACCTCTGTCCGGATGTTCGTACACTTCATTCCCCTCTTGTGGCTTCCATCCTTCTGGATCTGTCTCCGCTGCTGTCTCAGCCTTCCAGATCTCTACATTTCTTTGTCCTTTTCTCTCCAGGAACTTCTCCTCCTCCCGAATACGGCTCTAATCGAGACTGGAACGTGGACTTAATACCTAAATTCGTGATGGCGTGTGGGAAACTCGTGAAGATCCTTCTCAAGACTAAAGTCACCAGGCATGTATCCCGATACCCTGACACCCTGCCGCTCTCTCTGACTCTTATATGTCTCTCGTGTGCTATCTATCTGGTTATTCGGACTTATGCACATATCTATGTAAACCTTTGCATATATTTCGCTCTCATATCTCTTGGTTTCTATTTCTCTCCTTTCTTTTATGTCTCCTTGTGTATCAACTCCTTTTCTTGTGTTCGCTTTTTCGCCCTGCATTCCTTAAATCTGAGTGTGCCTCTCTTTCTTCCCCAGTTGGCATCGATATCTTTCCATCGGTTTGTATACATCTGTCTTCCTGTCGCATTCAGGTACCTGGAATGGCAGGTTGTCGAAGGCACCTTCGTCTACCAGTACCAAAAGGCTGGCTACTTCTCCAGCGAGAAGTACATTCATAAGGTATGCGGCTTCTTGCGTGGTGTCAGTGCGGCTTTCATAGCGCTTCCCCCCATGCTGCTGCTGCCCGCCCTCAAGAACTACCGAGCTGCCTCATTCGGCTCGACGTGTCGCTCCCAGTTCTCCTGGAATCACTGCAGAATTTCACGCGATTCAGCGGCTACCCTTGCATTCAACTCGTCGGCATGTATATGGGTGTGATTTCCTGTGCCGCAGGTGCCTGCAACTGAGTCTGAGGCGCTTATGTCTCCTTTGATGCCTTTGCTGGAGAAGAATCGCTGCCGTTCCTTTTTCGCATATTGCGCCCAATGGCAGGCAGACAAACCGGAAACGTGGAAGGGATTTGATCCGAAAAGACACTCCATGGATCAGGTCTGGCGCTTTCCTTTGCCTGCATTTTTTTGTTCCCTTCTCAGCTGCCGCCCGCAGTGAGCTAAGGGTGAGTACATGCATGGACGTTTGCGCCTGTGAATACATACTTTTTTGAGGATGAGGGGTATATGGTGATTCGCAGGTCTATAAGTATTTCGGATTGGAGACAAATACAATTGACTTTGTCGGACACGCCGTGGCGCTCTACACATGTGACGAGTCCGCAACCCCGTCCTCCGATCTCTAAGTCATGAATAAGAGACATGAGATGCATTACACACTTGTTTAATTCCCGACCCTCTCAAAGGGGACCGGGTGTATAACGCAGACTTGGGGAGGTTGAGCTGCCATTCAGTGTATGGAACGTACTGGCCTGCCTGCGTGTGTTCGTGTTTGGGGTTGTTTGGGTCGGTCTGCCTTCTTTAGCTACCTGAAGCAGCCCATGCACGAGACCATGGAAAGAATCAAGTTGTACATGTACTCTGTATCGCGCTATGGCCGTTCGCCCTTCATTTATCCCGTCTATGGCCTTGGGGGTCTCCCTGAAGGCTTCAGTCGGCTGTGTGCTGTCAACGGAGGCACTTACATGCTGAACACCCCCGTAGAGTCATTCGAGCTTGACGAGCAGGGAAAAGTGTGCAGGGTTAGAACCAAAGATGGACAGGTCTGCTTTAGAGCCAGGAGTCTTGGGTACAAGCTTTAGCTTCAAGGCTTGGGTATTAAGTGGGTACGGGGGTGAGTAGAGCTTGGTTTGCCGGGGGATCCTGGCTGGCAGGATTCTCTGCGGACTTTGAGGTGCAGTGCATGCGTCGATATGCAGGGTTTTTACCATGAATCGATCCCGCTTTTTTTCGCAAGTAGCTTGAGAAACAGGCACTCGGTGCTCTTTGCGGCGTTTCCTCAGGTGGCCCGCTGCAAAATGGTGGTGTGCGACCCTTCGTACATTGCACAGCAGTTCCCATCCCGTCTGCGGTGTAACGGCAGAGTCATCAGGTGTATCTGCATCTTGGGGGCCCCCGTGCCCTCGACGAATGGCAGCACCAGTTGTCAGATCATCATCCCACAACGGCAACTCAACCGACACAATGACATCTACATCATGGTCGTCTCCAGCCCCCACGGCATCTGTCTCAAGGGGAAGACCATCGCGATTGTCAGCACAACTGTTGAAACTGACGACCCGGAAAGCGGTAATTTGAACTATAAATAATAGGCTTTGGGCGTGGATTTCGATAACCTTGAAATGATATGCCATCTAGCACTAACCTGTGCCTGTAATGTATCCTTTTTGCTTCTTTGAGCCTGGACGCAGCTTTGCTTTAGGGGGCTGCAAAGCTGCTGGTGAAGGAAAGCAGCCGCATTTGATCTTTGGTCTCTGCAGAGCTGGCCCCCGCTTTGAAACTGCTAGGAAACATTGAAGAGAAGTTCGTGGCGGTCAGCGACTTGCTCGAGTGCACAGACACTGGAAGAGAGAGCAATATTTTTGTCTCCAATTCCTTCGACGCCACTTCGCACTTTGAGTCGGCTACCCAGGACGTTCTCAGGATGTAAGCAACTCAAAGTCCAATTCGACGTAATGACGGTGTTTGGCATGCAGACAGAGGGGTAGAGTGGACAAGAAAAAGCAAGTAGACGCACCAGTAAAAGGAAGGCATAGGCAGGGCCACTGAAAGAGGGGACTTCGGGATATATATATTCATATGCAGTTAGTAAGGTGCAGAGTTTTGAGCACAAGGGTGCTGGTGTAGACATGCGAGTATGGAGAAGAATAATTGCGAAGCCTGTAGCTTTTTTATCTTGTGCTGTTCTGCTCGCTCTGCAGTTGGGAGAATATGACGGGGGAGCCCCTGGATTTATCTGTCAAGGCTGACCGGGAGGACCTACAGGAGCAGTAGTCAGTTCGCAAAGAGCCAATGAATGAAGCGAATCACGCATTACTCTAAGCTGTAATGGCTGTACAGACATTCCAGGGGACTGCTGTACCTGCAGCAGCAGTTGCTAGTGCCGCTGCTGCATGTAATGTTGCAGTGCAGTGCACCCCGAAACTTCCATTTTTCTCTTTGTTGGGTGGATTAAAAGAGCCGCCTATTAACCCAAAAGCTGACTATGCACTTCAGCATCTTTCAATGGCAATAGAGGGTGGATATCGCGCCATGGAACGGCGGCAGGCAGCTACAACAGCAGCTTTTGGTGCTGTTGCTTGCCACGTATGAAAAAGCTTTAGGGACAGCGAACTGTTCCTACATCAGCACCCGATGACGCTACTTTGCATGGAGCAACACAAATAAGAGCAGTCGTCCCTCTTGCTGTTAGTACAAATAGGTGGTGTGTTGGCTCAACACTGCACTTGCTAATCAGCACTGACAGCACCACCCGCTGAGAAGGGCTCTTGGCTGCTACTGAATACAGCTCTATTGCGGGCAGCTGCCTGCTGCTTTTACAACGGTCGCAGTGGCAGCAACCGCCACTGCCCCAAAAGTAGTGCAGGAGTTCTAGATATAAAAGCCATAAGTTCACACCTCCGGCAAGCAAATGCCCTACTGGTAGCAAGTCCATCATGCAGCAGCAACCTGAAATTCAGAGCTAAAATCCCCTCACTTCAGTGGGTACTCCGGCCATAAGGTGCTTATCTAACTGCAACTCGTTCCATTCAGCATCAGCAAGGGGTGGCAGCTTGTCGGCCTGCCTCCTCAAGTTTGTTGCATGTCTGCTGCTCTTGCAGTGTACGCGCAGTTCCACTACGTCTTTGAACATGTCGCCGCAAACACGGCATCGTGGTCCACGCTGTTCCTGCTGTTGAGCTGTGGATGCGGAGGGGGAAGCCTCGGGAAAGGCAGTTGTCGTGGATTCTTCTTGGTGTTGCTGCAGCACGTCGCGGTTGAGCCATCTTAGGGCCTCTCGAGTCAGGCTATCGTGCAGTTCTGGCTCTTTCGGCTGCTGCTGCTTTTGCTGTTGCTCCTGCAGCTTCAGTTGCTGCTGCTGCAGCTTCTGTTGTTGCTGCAGCTGTCTCCTGCGCTGGTGCTGCTGCGTGCGACGGGGAGCAGAATCAATGGGTTTGGCTGTCTTATCTCTCTGGTGCACACAGGTCGACGCATGCAGGGGGCAAGGAACTCCAACAAATCCACCACTTGCCCCCGGAGGGAGCAGTCGCTGCTGCGGCTGCCGCTGCTTTCTGCCCTTGCTACCGCGATTCTTCCGCTGAGCCCTAGTTGTGGTGTCTGTCCAGTCGTCGTCCCCCCACTCTGCGCAGCAGCAGCAGCAGAGCTGATCCTCACTGCTGCTGCTGCTGAAACTGCTACGCCTACTGTTGCTGACACTGGCGTCTGTCGATGGAGGCCCTGGGGTGTTTGGACACCCCGTGCCTTCCCTGTGAGATCGCCCGCTGTGAGCAGCAGTGGCTTCGGCAGCAGATCGCGATTGCTGCCGCTGTTGCCGTCGCTCCTGCTCCTCTTGCTCTTGCAGTCTTTGCTCCTGCAGTTGCAGCTGCAACTGCTCCAGCTCCTTCAAGTGCTGCTGCAGCAGCTCCTTATCCTCCAACTCCTGCTCCAGAAGCTGCTGCGAAAGCTCCTGTTGCTGCCGCATTTGCCGTTCCCGTAGCTGCTTTTCCAGCTGCTGTTGCGCTTGTATGCGCTTTTGCGTCTGTTGCTTCGCTTGCAGCTGCTCCTGCCGCCGCTGTCGCCGCTCTTGCCGCCGCTGCTGCTCCTCTTCACGCACCTGTAGCCTCCGCTGAGACTCCACCTCTAAGTCCTGCTGAAGCTGCGCTTGCTGCTGCCGGAGTTCGTCCAGCTGTTGTTGCAGCTGGTCTTGTTCCATCTTGAGCTGCAATTGCTGCTCTTTCTGCGTGCCATGGAGACAGTTCCATGCGACAACAGACAGAGAACCCCCTGCTTCCTGCACCTTTTCCTCAACCTCTCTATACGCTCCGGGGGGCACAAGAAAAACAACTAGCCACTCTGTGGCTGCAGCCGCAGACGAGACATCCTGCTGCTGGCGCTGCAGCAAAACATCTACCGTTGGATCTTGCGTCTCGATGATGCCCGCGCACTCGCGTACGATGTAGTGCAGCATGGAAGCCGCAGCAGCAGCAGCAGCTCCTGGCAGTTGCATCTTGAGTCGCATGAGTCTGCGTCTAATCTGCCCAGGGTTGTGGTGCTGTAGCAACAACGCTGCATGCAATGCCTGGGCCTTGGGAGGCTGCTGAAGCCTCACTGCAAATCCTAAATCCTTCAAAGCTCCAGACACAGCCGAGCGCGAGAGAGGAAGGCCCGTAACCGCCGAGTAAGTAAGGTCTATCACCAAGGAGACAATGTCGTTAAAATGCGACTCCAGCTGCTGCCGCCGTTCCAACTCGGAGACTTGCAGCTCCCCTGAGCAGACAGAGAGAGACACTGAAGTGCGCTGGTCCACTTAAAACGCGAGGGCAGCAGGAGGGAATGAAAGGGTGAGCGCCACAACCCCTAGGCTGAACAGAGAGAGAGAGAGAGAGAAAGAGAGAAAGAGAGAAAGAGAGAGAGAAAGAGAGAAAGAGAGCAAGAGACAGAGAGAGAGAGAGAGCAAGAGAGAGAGAGAGCAAGAGAGAGAGAGAGAGAGAATGAGAGAGAAAGAGCTCGTCAAAATGCCACATTACTGGAGGAATGCAGCGAACAGGAAGGATACGACGCTGGTTCAACGGCGGCAGAGTAGTGGGCCCTGCATGTTGCGACTCTACATTTACCTTTTTCGAGGATCTTTAAGATGCAGGTCCTTCGGTCGTCAGTTCCGAAGTACCTAAGAAGCTCTGCTTTTCTTGCCAGCTCGCCCTTAGACACATTCTGGAAAACCGCGTCAATCTGCAGAACCTGTGGCAGAATTAAGGTTCGCACCAGCATCAAAAACTGCACATGCAACTGCGGCGAAAGTAGCGCAAGAGGCAGGCATGTTTTATAAGGGCCGGTTTCACCGGCAGGAAACATGCCCGTGCTGCAGCTACTAGCTTTCGGATCTACAGCAGTAGCAAGTTGCTCGGTGTACAGTTGCCTGTTTGGATACAACCATCGAACCCTCTTTGCTTCGAGGAAGGCTCCGCAGATGATACGTGCTCATTGAATATATATCACGTGCATGGGATGTGGGAGAAACTTGCCTCGTTCAAATTCGTTTCTTTGCCTGCAAAAACAGGGTGGGCATGCAGCGCAGTTTCGTAACCTACAGCCGTTAGCCACATGTGTATGCTGCAGCCAGCCAATCAGTGTATACAAAGCTACTGGGTAGTATCAGCAGAATCTCAGTCAGTATCGCTATATGCCCGAAACGGCTCCGGCGCAGCAGTGCGTGGGAACAGTTGGGGCTTGGCATGGGAATCTGAACGTGCCCCTATATCTGGTGTTAGCGGCTCACCTTCTCTCCAGTTGATCACTTTATTCTTGTAGCAGGCAACCTCGAACCTCTCCCCTCCTAGCCGTAGCCTAACAACGGCAACATTTGTTAGTCTGACCTGCGTGACAGGCTGCTTGAGGGACATGGTCACTGGGTTTCACAACGTAAGTTTTAAGATTTGAGTGCCCGTCCGCCTATGATCCCACACAACATAAGAAAGTATGTTGAATAGGGAACCAAAGCGGAAGGAAGGAGGCAAAAACGAAGAACCTAAGATGAACCACCAGGAAGGCGCCTAGACCCTGGGGGTTCAGCAGCCGCTGACCATGCAAGCGCTGGAGTGGCAGCCAACTGATGAAGGACACTAACGAAAGTTTGTAGAGAGAGTTGCTGTGTGAGCATTATGGATGTAATGAAATAAAGTAAGCAAGTTAAGAGGTCAACCCAATCATGTTACCCACCGGCCTGCATGCGGCCTCTGGGCTGGCTCGGTCGGGTGTCGCTAGGTGAGCATTCATCCAGAAATCCAAATCGTAAATCCTTAGGCCTACCTCGTAATCCTTACTGCACATTTCAGCCCTAGCATATTATACAGAAGGGGATTCCTTTACGGTGTGCAATTTCAGGAATGTCATCTCACCTTTTCGTGCTCTGTTCGTCCCGCCAACTGCAGTGATGATGTCGAGTTGGTCAGAAGGCACCATGCAAAGAGCCCTAAAAAGAAAAAGTCCACACATCAAAGTCTACCTTTCTTTTAAGCAGCGTTTTACCTGCTCATTTCGTGGTCGGTCGTTTCGTGAGCAGAAACCAAAATCGGCCACGCCACGCAACGAGTGAACAGCTGCAACACCCCTTGTAGAGTCACGTTGAGAAGATTCATAGCCCCTACAGCCGATCCACGCATTAGGTAAAGCTGTTGTGCTCCTACTCTTGAGAGATCCTCCTCATGTCTTCCCGTACCCCATATAGTTTCGGCCGAAGAAAGGGAAGGACAGCGGAGTGGCGCACGCGGAAGTAGCTGACCCCAGTGAGCCATTAGGGTGTTCACGGTGCCCTAACCTGTCGCCGAAACACAGTGTAATGCGCTGCTCTCCCTAATCAGAAACAAATAGACTAGAATAAGCAGGCCCTGCCGCAAGTCCCTCGCTGAACGTTAACTTTACACAAAAGGCCTGCAATCGCGACTGGACTTCGCCAGGCCCGCTGCAGGAGACGGTACACAAGCTCTGAAAAAATCCTTTATTGACCAAAAAGATTCTAATTTCGTAAACTTGCTGAGTAGATTTCAGGGGCAGGAGCTCTGCTGGTTGAGACAGGGACACGAAGTAGTAGACCCGCCAGGCGGGCACAAAGTACCACGCAGACTTTAAAGTTGGGTGTTGCATCTGGAGTATCCTGACTGAAGTCAACGCCCATAAACGTCGCGACACAGAATCAAGGGACCAGATTGAACGGTGGTGAGTTTTAGTGGGCATCTCCTTCAGGTCCCTAAACCACGGCGGAATGGCGAACAGTTTTGGTATCAAGCCCACATTACCTGGACCAAGGCTCCTGCAAGCCAATTTTTTTCCATTGAATGCTTCATAAATAGTGGCTCGAGCACTAAAGCTGAATTACTTCAGATGCGGTTTTGACCAGAGGGCATTGAATTTCGAACCATGTCCTGCCCAGCAAGGCGAAATTCTATGAAGCTGCCGTACAGCAATTTTCTTTACAGTTGGCCTGAGAATACCAACCATGAGGCCTTTCCTCTGTGTAGCCTAGTTACTGTGTTGTGACGATTCACTGTCACGATTGGACGAGCGCGTGTACGAATACTTGGTGGCAAAGCTGTGTGACTCTCTGACTCAACCTTTCAGTCCAGCGAACCATATGATACTAATGGCTTCTCGTACCTGCTCCTACCTCTGTAGACTCAAACAATTCCTGAGTGCGGTAAATAATTTGTGACATGCCTTCGGCGTACCCTCGTGAATCTCTCCAACTAAATTCACTAAGTAACTCCCACTACGGGGAAGCGGTGAAGAGGCTAGCGCCTCTAGGGTGAAGGCATTTTGGCAGACAATCTTCCAAAGAGTGCAACCGAGAAGCGTTGTTGATCTGTTCTCGTCGTTCTTGCAACCCGCTCAGGTGGCTCCTAACAAGCAGCGGCAAACTCGAGGGGAGTGACGTGATGTGTATGCATACAGGATCGCTCAGTGTCCATTGTAGCAAGCCCGATGCTCTCCTCATGCCGAAGAAGTGAGGGGTCATGTTTGTGCAGTGGCTCCTAACCATTCAAAATTTTGCTCCGAAAAAGAAATATCGGAATACTCCAAAAAGCACCCGGAAGAAGTAAGGTGTGAACCCTTAAAGGCCGTCTCGTTTGTGTACCATCTAGAACTCACATGATAAAACTACGTTGATTGTGCATTCGTGAAGTCCCACCAAGTATGACCACTGGAAAGAAAGTAAGCGCCTTTAAAGCTGAGGTGCCCACAAGCTACCTACTTGCGTAGCACAGCGCGAGCATGCAAGTCTATCCCATAAAACCAGAACGGCTCACTGGCAGTGGCTTTGGCAACACGGCGTCAGAAGGTTTGGGGATAGGCCACAACCGTTGAAGCCCCTTTGCCTTACCACTTCACCAGCACTGAACGGCAGGAAATAGCCACTCACATGAACTACCTACAGGCAGCGTTATTACGTTCGGAGAGTGATTGATCTCACACCACAAACCTGCCATTGTGCGATGCCGTATGCTGATGCGAGACAAGCGCTATTATTGTGGTGTGTTGCATTCTGGTCTGCATAGGGTGAGTGCCTGGAAACAAAACCTCAGTATTTATTTCTGTCGTGGGCCCGTACCAAACCTTACACTCTCTTCCTGGTGTTTTCTGCATCGATGCTCATCGCTGTAATTGCTGTCTGACCTAGTGGCTCGATACTCTGTCGTACACCAGCACTGCTCAAAAGTCACGCCAGCTCTCGTGTTCTGTGTAAACTGTAGTCCTAGTCTCAGAATGTTGATTCACAAGAGCTTTTGCTGGTGCTGTGCCATCAAATGCAGCGGTGAAAATTGTACCTTTTCCTGGGCATCCTCTGCTTTGTAAAGCTGTGCAAGTAGAAGAGGTGCCACTGGAATAGATAGTAAGGCGCACTGCTCCCCGAATTCAATGCCTCGCCTGTTCGCAATTTGGGCCCTTCAAAAGGCTTGCCCTTTTCGGAAAATCTACGCAATTTGCGGTCGCTTTAGCAGCTGCTCAGAGGAGCACAATATCAAGCAATTCCCTGAGGCAGCACAAACAGTCCTGTGCCCCGAATACACTGAGTACATACAAGTACAGAGGCAAGGTGATAGGCACCCCAACAGTCTGCTCGAGTCAGGCGGCAACGTAAAACAGACAAACTTTCGTCATTCCTGGGCTGTCCCCAAGGAGTCCATCCTCTAGGGTGTTTCTTATGCCAAGGCCATACGTCCCCAGCTGATACTTTGGCTTAGCCTGACAGCCCTTCTGCAAATCTTCTTGGTAGGACCCTGGAAGCTGGGAGATTCTGGGTTCATGCCTTTCCCCAACTCAAAGTGGAAGCAACTAGACACTGAACATGGGGAAAAACATGGGAGTCTGCAGAGCGACACTACTCTACTCGTATCTCTACCAAGCATGTATCATCTAGTCACAAAGCCACCAAAAAATTGGGGTGCTTTTGAACGCACCACGGCCTGAAGCACAGTAAAACCCCTGGCTCTTCGTTGCTTCCTAGTTCTTGATGCAACACACCTAAATGCTCAACCACTACACGTTGAGCCCTAGTGCCTAAAGCTTTCCTCTAGCTTCTACTTGCTAACGTCAAGACCAAAAGTTCGAAGCCGTATACGTGAGTGTCATCCCCAACTCCTAGATCTTAATTGAAGGTCCCGAGCTCTAGAATCAACTGCTCAACGCAAACCTCAAATTGTGTTTTGTATCGAGGCCGCTCAGTCTCAGCACTTTGCCGATACAGAATAACGGCCCATGCACCTCCATCTGCCCCAGATGATGAACCCCGAAGGAGAGACGGCGGGGTCGAAAGCGCACATGCATGCCCTGTCGTGGCCATAGCATGTGCTGCTGATTATGCCGCCGTTCGTGCTGCTGAGGAGACAGATGCCAAGGAGGCGCAGCGCCCATTTGGTCCAAGCGTGGAACACGCAAACCTTCAACACACTAAGTGCTTCCCCCCCGCTCCTAGTGCCGGTGTAGTTGTTAAGGCGGCTAGAGCAGCCCCAGCAGCTAGCCGCAGTAAGCACTTCACATCAACGCTGCCAGAGCAGCCCCAGCAGCTAGCCGCAGTAAGCACTTCACATCAACGCTGCTAGCTCTGGTACCCGCACATTTAACAGCGGAACTCGAAGGCTGTCACAAGCCTGTGAAAGCTCTCCCCTTACTCCAAGATCCACCAGAAAGGACCCTCTCCCCTGGATCCATCGGTCCTAGCGGGAGTCCACGGGAAGTGTTCGTTCTCCTTGGCGAAAGAGCCGCCAATTATTGTCATGGGCCAGAAGAAGAGGAGAATAGACCAAGTGAACCAGACGCAAGCGACCTCTAGTTTGTTGAATTCCCTCATCTGCTCGATGGTGGGAACCTCCCGCTGCTTTCTTCTCTGTTTCAAACGGTTCCACAGCACGAGACGCAGAACCTCACCACACTCAGGCCCGTGTAGGCCGCTACCCCTCAGCAGCTGGCCCTTCGCAGGTGCAGGGGCTTTAGTGGCTCCTACAGGAAGAATGGCCCCAGAGAGCTGCAAGGAGGGGTGAGGCAAGTATTCCCATTGATTGTAGTCATGGTACCTACCCAGATATACGTGGTTGCCACCCAAGCGCGCGCCAGACAGACGCAGGGGCCCCCCGAGACTCCGCCGAAGAAGCGATGCAGAGGCCGAGGCTGACATCGGGGAGAAGATGGCGCACAGATGACGTGCCAATGCAGGGCAGGTTTACTGGTAAGGGCAAAAGAAAAGGTGGCAGCACACCGGGTGCAAGTCGATCCCAGTGACACAGCTGCAGAGACGGTATATAAAGGGGAATTTTATTGCGCCTTCCGGAGAAAATAGCTGGTGACGCGTATTTTGGCATACAGCAGGGGCGGCCACTATGGCAGCGGTAGCGGCTCCCTGGGGCTGGAACAGCCATTAAAAAAGTGTGTGAAGGCCCTTGCCAGGAGTCTCCTAAAAAATCCTTTCGGGCAGCCTGCTGCAAGCTATTCGTGACGCTTAATTTGCTTGCAATAGAAAGTTCGAAATCATAAACATAAGTATATTGCACTCCCGCAAGAGCGGCAATAGAGGACCTACAGCAGCAGCAGCCTCCGTAGCAGCTGCAGCAGGCAGAGGGGCGCTGCGTGGGGGCTGCTGTTGCGGTAGCGGCACAGCACAGGTTTGGAGAAAAGAGACTGTTGTCGCCTTCAGGCAGGGTTTAGGGATAAGGGTATAGGGTTTAGCCTGCCACTTTTGGGTGTACATTCAGCTCAGTGAAGATGGTGAAGTACTCCTGCGAGGCCTCGCACCCCAACAAGTGTACGTTCCGTTCCTTCGCAGTTGCTCTCTTGGCATTTCATTGTCTGCGTGTATGATCATATCGTTGTTTTTCCCTGCTCTTGTAGCATAAGAAGAAGAGCAACATCATAGTGGCGGTAGTAGCGACGGCATCGGTGGACTCTGGGCTGTGGGGTGCGGGTCTTGACCTCCCGTGCAAACGGGCTGTTTGAGCATCACTAACATTATCAACAACTAAACTTTCCATGGCGGATCATTTTGTTGATAGTAGTCTTCAAGTGCTGCCTCCCCCGTTCTTCCCGTGGGGGATGCATGCAGTAGCCACAGCAGGGTCGGCAACAGAACCGCATTCCCTTTGTTGAACCGTGTGCCCTTTGTTGCATCCCGTTGCGTGAAGTGTGTGATACCAGCTACCAGCTGTTGCCCCAATGGTGCTTCATGGGGAGCGCGTGTACAATACTCGACTGCGGCACGTGTGTGTCACTTCACGGGAACGGGAAATTGCGGGGGAGTGCTGCCGCTTTCTGCATCCTCTCAGGCGCAAAGGCTCTGGGCCAGGACTTGCGTGTTCACTTCAAGAACACCTATGAGACCGCCATGGCCATTAAGACTGACAAGAGAGGAAATCCAATGAAGCTGCAGGCTGCCAAGCAGTACCTGGAGCAAGTCATTGAGGGAAAGAGATGCGTTCCCTTCCGTCGCTACTCCAACAACATTGGCCGCACTGCTCAGGCTAAAGAGTTCAAGGCCACACAGGGTAGATGGCCAGTCAAGAGCTGCAAGATTCTGCTCGGGCTGCTGAAGAATGCCGAAGCGAATGCAGAGGTCTGAACTCGCGGCTGTGACTGAGTTCCTCATTAAACTCGGAAGACAGAGGCCATCCTAACACCGCGATATCCCTTGTCCAGTAGTGTGCTGCTTGCGCATAAATAACGCACCTTTATTCCTAGAAAAGCCCTTTCCCCCTATCGTAGGGCTCGTGTTTATTGTGCTTGCGTCTGCCTGGAATCTTTTCTTTTCAGCAAAAGAATCTTGACACAGAGAACTTGGTTGTTGAGCACATCGAGGTCAGCCGTGCCCCTCGTGGTCGCAGAAGGACGTACAGAGCCCACGGCCGAATCAACGCTTACATGTCATCCCCCTGCCACATTCAGCTCATTCTGCGGGAAGACAGCAAGGCCGTCGAGAAACCAAAGGATAAGAAGATCATCAGACTCAGCAAGAAACAGCTAGCAAGAAGAAGGATCAGAGTGGGCAACGACAACAAGGCATAGATTGTCTAAAATATTGTGCGCGTTTAGGGTTTTAGCGGGGGGGGGGGGACGGGCGCCATGCCCGTTTATTCTTAGACTCCACACCCAACGCGGCAAACGTTGCTGTTTTGCAGAGGTCGTGCGTCAAACTGTTCGTTTAGGGTTCACGGAGGCGCTTAGTACTAGTGGAATCGATTAGAGTAGCGTATTGAAAATTTCCCTTTGCAAGGCCCTGCGCTCTAACTAGACTCGAGATTTAGAGTATCTAGCTCAAGAACCGACGTTTCGGGCTTATTTCTAGGCTTGGCAGATTCCCGTTTCCGTTTTGATGTAAATAGTTGGATTCAAACAATGCAATTTTCCTTCTGTTCCCCCTATAAAACGCCACAGTGCAGGCAGCTGCAGCTCAGGGAGGCAGCAAGAGCGGTAGCGGCGGAGGGAGCTGTGCACTGCAGCAGCGATTACCTGTACGGCAGCCACTGCTGCTGCTGCACAAATTGCTCGGAATTATTGGATCTTGCAGCAGTTGAGGCTGTTTTTGACTTTGTTCGAGCTCTTGAAGAGTTGTTTAGAGCTGCCTGAGGAGCAATGACGCAGGAGAAGAGAGCCACTTCCAGATGTGCAGCGGGAATACGCAGTATTCGAATGAGTCAAAAAGAGAAGCCCCTTAAGGGGCAGAATGGTACGCAAGCAGTAACCAACGCCGGCTGCAGGGTGGCTCGCTTGTTACGTGATTTGGAGGTGCTTCGAATTTATAGGAGGCGACGCCTGCCGCTCTCTCTCTCTCTCCCTCTGAGGGTTTCTGCCTCTCCAGCTGATTTGTGCATTCAATAGAGGGCCTCGTCCCCGTAAAGGCGATCATGGTGGCAGAGCGAATTTAATCCGCTTTGGGTGGAGGGGGGAGAGGGAAAGACACCAAAGTTGCGGCGTGGTTGGGGTGAAGGCTGAGGTGGCCTACGCTAGAGTGAGTGCCTGTGCATGGGGGTCCACAAACCAAGTGTTTCTACACTGTAGTGCCCCTACTTGAGAGGTCTTCGCTTCGGTTGACTAACTCCTGCAAACTCTCGCCATGCCGCAATACCGAGCTGATCGTCTGCCGAGCTACATCCTATTCAAAAGCGCAGCGCCTAGGCACAGCAAATGCCTTTGAGGCTCCAGGAAAAGGCACACCTGCCGCTCATCAGAGACTGCTTCAAGTCCTCTCTCCACCCCCACCCCACCCAGTATCCTAGCCCCTTGCTAAAGGCTGCGCAGTGGCATCTGTGGTTGGCATGCCTGTGCAAAGTTCGCCTTTTGCTGCACCCTGAGAAGCTCATCAGCGCGCAGAGGGTCCTGCAATCCCAGCAGACACACAGATCGAATAAGCGGGGATGCCACGCAAGCGGGAGTAGGAGGAATCAGCATGGATTGCAGTCACCACGATCGGCATCAGCCGCACATACATGCATTTGTGCAGGCATCAAATCCAAGAAAACAGAGCTATGAACACGCAAGCCACCTACCCATGGTTTCCCTAACACCACAGACGCATCCCTTGCAAGGGAACCCCGGCAAACTACATCTCCTGCCTTACACCCCAACTCTTCCTCCTCCCCTACTGATCTTTCTTCTGTGCTCCTCTTCCATGCGCTTTATCTGGGAGTCCTCTTTACCTTGTACTTCTTCAAAATATCTGCGAGGGTTTCCTGGAAAGGAATATCGGGATGGTTGGATTTGCTGCTCTTTGAGGCGGCACTCCGCCCCTCAATGCGTGGCCAGTCCAACCGAGAGAAGCTGCTGGTAAACTCCTCGTGCACCTCGTTCAGACATGCAAATACTATTCTGGAGCAAGAGCACAGAGCATCGAGTCGTTCCCCAGGGCAGAGGAAAAACCGTGGCTTGGGGTTGGGGAATGCGGGGGAAGGGGAAGGAAGAACACGATGGAACGCAAACGCTGATGAGCGTTTGTGCAGATTCAGGAGGGAAGTCAGCTGAAGGCTTCAAGAAATTGTTGAACATCCATCTAAGGCTTCGTGTAAGGTCATCGGTGCAAGACAAGGGATTTTGGTGTGCACCAGGGTGCAGAGCTTAGGAGAGATCCTCCGCTACAAGGCTTCGACATTAGGGTCCTACCTTCTCGGATATTCGTGGTCGCCTATGGCCAGGATCGCAAGAGAGTCAGGGTATCGAAAGACAAAGGCAACAGAACCCTCATGCTCCACCTCCTGCTGACGGCCCACTGGTAGCTGCGCGCATGCAGTGACTCCAGACGTTTTGATTAAAGCCTGCGTGCCGTAGTTTCTGAGGCTGCAAGGCATGCAGAAGCGCGTGGCCCCGAGAACGACACATTAAGATGAATCGAAACAGACTGAACGAGCTTTGAAGCAGCGAACCGAATCCACAGACAGCAAAACGAGTTGGCTGCCGCTCGAAAAATGTGGCAGGCACGTACTCGTGGGATTGCCGTCCGTGCAATGAACTTGATGCCCTCCTTCACGGCGTTGCGCTGGTAAAACGGATACCTGTGGCGTACGCGTCTCAAATCGTATCGGTAAATATAATCCCCAGAACGCAAAGCGCACATTCATGTGTTGGAAGAAAGCGTGCGAATGAGGTGTACTGCAACTCTAGGGGACTGCTGTACTGAGCAAGCACCTCCTCGTGGCTGGCGGCACATAGGAGGCCTCTGCATTTGCATGAGAGCTTTGGCGATGAAGCCCACCCGGAAAGGTCGTAGGCTCCACTCAGAAAGACTAAGTTGTCCAAACCTCCGGAGCAGCGGCAGACGAGGAGCGCAATGAGCTTCATCTGCAAAACGTAGGTCCCCCAAACTAAGCCCCTTCTTCTTCCGATGCTGGGAAGCCTGCGGCTGCATGTGGCGTGCAGCAGCCCATGTAGACCTCAGAGCCTCATCTCATGGAGCTTGGAACCCTTGAAGCGTACGGAGAAGATCTCAAGCGCGACAGCAGCAGCAGCAGGAATATCTTCGCTATCGGTTTGGTGCTCCAGTTGCCCGTGTAGCGAAGGAGATCAAGCCGCCAAGAAGCACCGAGGGACAGGGCGATAAAGCGGAGAATGGAAGAAGGCACAGGATCTTATGAAAAAAAACCAGGAAGCAGTTATTGTCGGGCTACACACCAAAAATAAGAGTTCGCCTGTACACAAAGATATTTCCGCGTTGAACTTATTTTTACTGGAGAAGATGGAAACAAGAGCAAAATCCTGTGATAGAATGCGGAAGGCGAGAAGTGCGAAAACAGCAAAGTGAGGGACGAGCAGCGACCGCCGCAGCAGATGCAGACCCCAGGGCCAAAAGCATACAGCGTAAACACTAGATCATAGAGTTTAGCTCGCTAATTACCGCCCTTTCTGAATTTTTTATTTCGTTTCAGGATTCGGTTGTCTTGTTGAAGGAGCAGCTAGTCGGGGGCTGGCTGCTGGTGGTGTTTACGGGGGGTTGTGCGGTTGTCCGTTTCTCCTTGTCTGTCCTTCACTCTGCTAAATCGAAAGACAGCTCGGATTGACAATGTGTTTCTCCGTCTGTCCGCGCCTCTTGGGGGCTATTAAGCGAGACCGAGGCGGCGCGAATGGCACACTTCCTCTCATGTGCCCAGCGTACAACACCAGCCCTCTTGAATGGGTGCCCTAATCCCCCCATTCAAGATCGAAAGAAGCACAAGAATTCAGAATCCACCTCTTTCTGCGGTCTAGCTCCGCCGTGGGGTCTGTGCATCACGCAACTCTGCGCTTAAGTCCCTTTTTTTGGCTCTTCTCGCAGCGTTTTTTGACTATCCTCCGTCACGTTTTCTCCCCTGTTCTCTTGTTTTCCCCAAACATGACCCCGTACACCTAGGCCCCTTCGCTCCTCGTGTGCGATCTCTAGTGCATCGACAGCCCCCAGTTGGCAGGCATCGAGGCAGCGCCTCCCCCGACTTCCCCCGTCAATCAAGATGGCTCAACAGCAACACCAACACGCAGAGCCACCCCAGCAACTCCAGCAGCATCCCCCCCGTCATGAACCTTTACAGATCCCCCCTGAGCCGCCCTTCCAAACCACGAACGGCCTTTATTGGGTGTTGAAATGCCGGGGCCTGCACACGGCCAAACTCCCTACGGGCTCAGTACAACTTCCCGTGTATAGTCAGCTCGGATGCGGGCAGTTCGGCAGAGTCTTCGAGGTTCTCCCCGCGCAGCCTCCAGATTCAGCTCCTGCTTTTGCTGCGACTCCCGCATCAGACAGAGCCGCAAAAGAAGGAGACTTACCAGCACAGACTGCACCGCCTTCTACATCAGCATCTGCAGTGCCCGGATACGCACAGCCTCCCAGTGTGCTCCCACATGGACAGCTGTATGCAGCAAAGCTCTTGCTGCTCTCCAACTTCCCCACCGAAGGCTCAACCGCCGATTTGGTCCGGGAGTTTTCTCTGTACGGGGACCTCGATCCTCCAGGTTCCGAAGGCTTAGGTTTTGCAAACGTGTTGAGGGTTTACGGGCTTACCAGCTGCGTTACTTTCTCGAAGCCGTTCGCAGAGGTCTACCTCTCAGGTGTCCAGACGGCTGGTGTGCTAGTGGTGGAGCGATGCGCCTCTGACTTGGCGGCGTTTGCCCGACTGCTCCACGCACAAGGGAAGTTGAATCACTCGGCACTCAAATTTTATGCTTGGCAGCTCCTAAACGGTGAGCAAGTGCTTTGGGCTCTGGCGCTGAAAGACAGGCTTCAAAAGCTAGGGTCTAGTCTGAGTGCAGCCTGGACAGTCATGGTTCTAGGATTTTTGTATGGGTGCAGTTAGCCGTTTCGCAGCAGTTGTCTTCCCCCTACACGCGGTGCAAGCTCCCATCACTTCTCGGTGTCTAGCCGTTTCCCACGACACCGGGCTGTGTTGCCGTTGAAGACTTCAGGGTCGCAGTACTCTTAGTTTTTGTGTACGTGTAGGTATACGTGTATGTACATACATATATATATATATATGTATTTATATGTATGTATGAATGTATGTATGTGTGTTGGTGTATCTGTCTGTCTGTTTGTCTGTCTGTCTGTTTGTCTGTCTGTCTGTCTGTACAGGTGTAGCGCGGCTGCATGGTCGTGGAGTAATTCACAGGGATTTGAAGCCCGAGAACATTTTGGTAGCGGCTGCCAACGTTCCTGGAGGTCAGCAGCTTTTGCGGGAAGGTGTCGCCATCCTCAAAGTGGCGGATCTCGGTATGGCCAGAAAGATGAGAAGCTACCTAGGACAGGAGCCTGCAGGCAAGGGCGAAAATGCACTACATACACTGGGGGATGCCCTATCTCTATTACATTGGAGCCAGAGGACACGGTTCCAAGAATATTTGAAGATATAATAAGTTGAACGAGTATTTGAATATGGGTGGAGGCTTTTGTGTTCCTTGTGACCCTTCCAGGAACCTGCGCCTCTTCCCTCCCTCCCCGCGAGGACTCTCCAGCCAACGAGCAGCAGCAGCAGCAGCAACAGCTCCGTCTTGTCAAGAATCCAGAGGACTGGTGCCTGTTGACCATGCGGCAGTCTGGCCGCGTGGTGACTCTCCCGTACCGTCCCCCGGAGATCCTTGCTGCAGCAGCGAATAACCTGAGTGCTGCTAAGCTCCCCGTACGCGATGAGCTGTTGGTGTTTTTTTACTGCGTCGCGCACACCTGCTGAGTCGCTATCAGAAGCAACTGCACCTCAAACTTCTGTTGCAGAGAGCCACCCTAGAATGCATGCAGGCGACAGACACACGCATGCGAACAGCTAGAACTGTTACGGCAGCAGCAGTCCATCAACCCTTACTTCTGACCTCAGGAGTTTGCTGCTGGCGGATCGTCTGTGTAACGACACCCCCCACCGGGCCTCCTCTCTCTCTACGGATACGCTGGTCCTGCCGATTATTAATCGCCATCTTCTTCGCTCCTTCTAGTAGTCAAGATCGCGCTTTCTCACTCTGTGCTTCCTCCTTCAGGTTGCGTCTTACTCCTCTGCATGCGACGTTTGGTCCGTGGGGGTAATCCTCTTGGAGCTGTGCCTTCCCCAGAAAGCCCCACGACCGCATCGGTGGAACTTTGCATTTGTGCTGCACGCGGTAGGCCGTGCGGCGTTTCAGATGGAGTTTATGGTCTTGGAAAACATTTTCAAGGTTCTAGGCAAGCCTCAGGAGCACGATCAGCTCCTCGACATGACGAGGTACTCGCAGCGGCACAGGAGGATGGGGGAGGGGGGGAGACGCAAACGGGGAAAGAGGCTGCTCTGGGTGCATCCGCTGTGGGTGCTGTTCTCGTATGTGCTGCTGCTGCTATGGTCGCTGCATGCAGCTTGCAGCGACGCTGAAACGCATGCTGCTGCAGTGGCAAAATACAGGTGACTGCCCGTGGCTGGCTCCTGTGTGTCCTGCCTATTGCATTTCGCTCCGGATGCTTTGTGACTGCAGGTTGGCGGGTGACCAAAGATCAGACTTGATGACCTTCCTGGGAGCCTTTCCTGCCTTATCTCATGGGGAACGAAAAGCAGCTTTGTTGGACTTCATCCTTGAGAGGGGCGGGTTGCACCTGGATGCCCTTGGATTAGACCTCCTTGCCAGGTAGGCTTTGGTCGCTGCCGATGGCTGCTGCTGCTGCTGCTGCCACTGCTGTTGTCTATGTTACTGCAAAGGCTGCTTGCCCCAGCAGCAGAGGGGAAGCTAGCGACAAAAGCTCCAAGAGGACTTGGCTTAAGAGCTGAGAGGGGCAGGCACAGTTGAGAGACGCAGTGGGAGAACGTGAACGACGACGACACGAGGAGCAGGCAGGGGAGGGGGGCTATGGGTTCGAAAACCCGATTCTTTCTTCTTCTCTTTTTTGTCTGTCTGTCTGTGTACTTTTGGTGTCTTCTCTTTATTCTTCCCTTGTCGGGCTTTTGTTTTGCCTCTTGCACACACAGGCTTCTACACGTCTCGCCCGCGCGCCGCCTTTCTGCGCATTGCGCTCTGTCGCATCCGTGGTTCAGCGACTTACCCTTTGAGAAAATGAATCGACTTGGTCTCTCCTTTCACCTTGCTGGTAAGCGTTAAGCCCCCTTCCCCCGCACCTTGCTCGCCCTGAGGGCATGACGAGACCCTGCTGGAAGCTTTTACTGCCGCGACTTTCCTTCGCACAGCAGTGCAAGGCACGCAGCAAGTCTCCTGTGCAAGTCTATCTATCTATGGGCCTTGACAATCTCTGGACTTTATACATCCGAATTTGCGAGCAGATTTGGAAATACCGTCCCTAAGGGCAACCCTTCCTTCGCCGCTGCGTCGTTGTCTAGTGGCGTGGGAGTCGCGGGGCCGCTGCCCCTCCAGCACGAGGTTCACTTGCCACGCGTTGCTGCAGCAAGCGTTGCTGCAGCAGCAGCAGCAGCAGCATCAGCAGCACCAACAGCAACAGCAACATTTGCAAAAGCAGCAGCAGCCCCAACACCAGCGACAGAGACGCTGTGCCGCATCCACAACGCCAGCGCTCGCCGGAGGGCCCCTCCAGATGATGGTTGCAGGCGGGGCCCAGGTAGGCGCAGTGCCACAGGAGCGGCAGCAGCAGCAACAGCAGCAGGGATCTCTCGAGGTCGCACGGCCAGGAGACGCTACTCGCCGTCCCAGCAACACCGCAAGTGCACAGAGGCTTCGAAGCAGCAGCCGCAGCAGCACCTCCAGCATCAAGTCGGTTGCCGCAGCCGGTACGGCTGCGCCTGCGATCAAGCACCAACAGGGCAGCAGCTGCAGCAGTATTGGGGGATCTGCTGCAGGCCTGCGATTGGATAATGCAAGGGCTCTCAGGTCCACCCATGCTGCTATGATCCAGCGGAGCAGCAACAGTGCCCTTAGCCGAAAAAGTGACTCCGCGTCGCGGGAGCTGCAGCGGAAGGGCAGCGACAGTGCCCCCTTAGGGCCTCCAGTGGGGGTACTCACCACAAAATCTGCTTCGCGGAGTTCCTCACAGTCATGCCTTCCGCTAAACAGGGCAGGCGACCAGAGGCAAAGGCCTGTGCAGCAGAAACAAAGGGAGGGGCCCCCTCAGCCTGCGACTTTTAAGCGGCGGCCTCAGTGCGCGGGTAGCGACGACGAAGTTGTCAGAAGTGAGCCGGGGAGAATACCGGAGAGACAGGAGGAGACGCTAGACAAGCTATTTGCGTTGTGCACTCTTGCTGTGTAAACCATGCCCAGATTAATGCTGTTTCTTGGAGCTTTGTTCCTTCATTTTTGAATCTGCCGGGCCTCCAGGCGGGCTCGAACAAACCCGTGCGTGTATCTACTCCGCCCGCCACATCACTCAAAATTTCAGTTCCACTTCTTCGCATTTCTGCTGTGTCCTTGGTTCAGTCTCCATTGTCAACGCATTTCTGTGTGCGCGCAGTAGCCGTGCCGCATGGCCATCGCATGAGCTCTCTGTATGTTATGCTCTTGTGTGTTGCGCATGCATGTTTTAATTGTGTAGTGCTTTTCGTACACTGCGGCAGATGTGCAGAGGCCCTATGACTTCCAACATACAACAGACGCACGTTTTCTCCTGTCCTGCTGCAGGTCCCTGGCGTTGTGCCCGTCCTGCTGCAGTCAGCGCCTCCACTTCTGCCTTACCCTCTCTTCCTCCTCGCCCTCCTGTCACACAACGGCCCCCCCCACTTCCTGGGGGTCTCCCTGTGGGAAATCCCATGGCAACAGTAGCTGCTTCAGCTGCAGCAGCAGCAGCAAGCAGAGGCAAGACTGTGTCTCCTTGCAAGTGCCAGCGTGCTACAACAGCGCTGGAGTTCAGGTCCGGGGATACCACCCCTTACCACGACGCCCTCTCAGATCGCAGCTGCTCCCCACTTGCTGCCATGGCCTGTGTTGCTGGACCCGCTGACACTACCGATGCTGCTCACTGTAACGATGAGAATGTGAATTCGTCCCAAGATGCGACAGCTATGGACGCCTCGGCTAACACTTCCAGCACAAGGGCGCGGAAACGGGGGCTCCATACAGGTGCACTCTTGAGGGGGTCTTTACAGGGACAGGGATCACTTTGCCCCCCCGATGCGGCCGATGGAAAAGGCCAGAAAACACTTCGCAGGGCTAAGAGGCTAAGGAGTGGGTCTGGCACTTGAAAACATTATTCCTGCTTGGTTTGTTTTAATCCGCTGTCGTTTTTGTCTTGTAGTTTTCACGAGTGCCCAGAACTGCTTTTCCAGCTGTTTAGAAAGTTCAGGTGTACGCACTATCTCATGTGCAAGTCGACGCAGAAACACTTATCATTGTCTTTCAAAGGTACATAGAGGTACACCAGCAAGCACTTCATATCCACATATTAGAATGCAGAATAGTTTATGTGCTTTGGTGTGTGCTGCTGAATGGGGGCTCCATCTGGATTATCCCTCCAGTTGCTATTTCCTTCCCCTCACTGTATGCAGCATGAATTCCCACACTCTCGAGTTATCGTGTAGGGCTGGCAGCCCCCGTGCATCTCCTAGGTTGAACTAATTAGTTGCACGCATGTCTGGCAGCGTCGGTACCACTCGGTCTTTCGCCCACAAAATGTTTTGCATAAGGCTCCCGAGCGAATCTGAACCTTCAGGAAAATTTGTATTTTAGTGAGTGCCCGCACTTGGATCTGCCCAACATGAACCCCGCGGACTAGCAAAGGCGGTACTTCTAAAGGCTTTGCCTGAGCTTACTAAGGTGATACGGGAATGCTAGAAAACTGTACTTTGATCTACCTTGTCTCCACATACAGCCCCACCTCTTTGTTAGCGATACATCTACTAAGAGACTTAGTCCGCCACTAGCGTATACCAGTCGTCCCTCAAACTTTGGTGAGGGTCTGAGGGTGAACTTGGAGACGTGAAATGACAAATTAAGTGCCCCTTAGTATCAGGCGTTTGCATGCATTCTGTTTGTTTCTGGCTTCTTATTTTGCCATCCGACAATTCAGTTGCTTGCTGTGCCCTTAGCTGCAAAAGATGCCGCTCCGATACCGCAGTGTCGTGCTGATGTTGCTGATGCTCCTGTTCGTTATCCAGTAGCGATATTTGGGATGCCCGTGTTGACGGCTGTTGCTGTTGCTGCTTCGCTTCGGGTGAGAGGGCGAAGCCAACAGAGGAGAGGACTGACCACGATAGGTCTGTCCCTGCACCGGTAGCAATGCATAATTATCCTTCTTGGCTGCAAAGTACAAAGCTTTGTTTTAGTTCCGCCCCTTACAGGGTTTTTTCTTCCCAAAGAGGGCCTCAACAGAACAATCCCACAGGGATGGCCAAATCCTCACAAACAGCTGAAACACGATGTCACTTCATTATTTCGGATCCTACACTTCATGTTGCAGGCTTACTTTGCATTCGACTGGATCGTCTGGGGCAAGTACGTATTTCTGTTCTTGTCTACACACGGTGGAGGACTGACACGGCACAATCCAAAGCATTCGGACTTCGTGGAGGGGCAAGCATCTTTGTACCTCTGGAAGTTTCACTGCAAAGTTCAGCTCAGTGAATATTCTAAAAGTCTTCAACTCTTGGGAGTTAGTGTGTGAAGGAGGGCGAGCTTTATGTGTACCTGATTGGCATGTTCTCCACAACAGATTTGTTCTGCTCTGCCTGAGGAGACCAACGTCTAAGCCAGGCATCTAGTAAACAGCATTTCCCTCGAAAGGCCAGAACACCTGATCCCCAGACTCTAAGCCTAAGCCCCGGACCCCTGGGAAAGCTCACCATATTACCGCTTACAAGAATGAAGTTGCACGGGCATTCCATGATGCCGCGGACAGCTCCTGCATGACCAACTAGAGTCAGACTTTCATAATGACGACAATTTGCATGCTGATAAAGAATTAAGGAGGGTTACCCTTTGACGCCTGGCGTCTGGAACAAGGAGAAATCAGGGTTCTAAATGTGCGTTTCGCCGAATTGATTTCCTTTTCCGGCTTGCTGAGCACAGCTGCAAAAAGAACTTCCACGAAATCAGCGCTGTCGTTTTGGATGGAAACGGAGTAAATCGTCCACTTTAAGTTGGTATTTACGTCGGCATGCGGTTCTGCCTTCATGGAAAGGCGGAGCCCAAAATTTTCTGTGGTCGTGCTACCTACAACTCGAATGCCCTCCACGTCTGGAAATGCTGCCATTTTCTTGGTTCGCACAAGCTCTATGGCTGTTGAAGAATTTTGCAGTATTGGAGAGGTTTTATTTTCATATGGCGGGCTGTGCTAAACGGAAGTGCAAGTGGCGAGGTGTGTACCTCCAATGCACGTACAGCTGGCAAGGCTGTCAAGGATTTTGCTTAGTGTCTAGTGCATACAATGCCAAGTAGCACATTCTTTCTCTGCTTATTTTTTCGTTTTCGCTGAGTGAGATCAGTGAAACGTTTTCCTTTAGTGTTTGGCTAATCACACCGATAAATTAATGAGTAAAATTTCTATCTTAGTCTGCTCACTTACATTATTAGCGCCAACATCAAAAATGAATATGTTTTGTATTGGACGCGCCAGGGGTGGAGTAAGCTCCGCCAAGGCAAAAGTTTGATGAGGAGATAAGCGTAATTGAGTACCATACATCAGAAACCCCTTTACGGATATATTTCCTAAAAAAGGCTTGGGTGCTGACGATCCTAATGACGAATTACGAAATAAGGCAACGGCGAAACCGCGGTCTCTGTTGGTACTTCGCAGACGGGGTTGCTGTGGAGATTAACTATACATACCCGTCTGCTGCGCTGATGAGCACCACAGCAAAAAGCGCACTTGAGTTGTAGTGTGGTATGTCGCTGTCAAACCAGGGGTACACCAGGCAACTGTTCCTCTATCGGGACGCGTTAGACTCCTTGGGATTCAATCTTTGATCAAAAACACTCATGTGGTTCTTCGAATTCATCTGCAAAATCTCCATCACTTCAGATGGAGGGTTCAGCCCCATCCGTGCCGCTCGTTTCCATCTCTCTTCTCTGCTCAAGCCAACACTTGGCCCATACTGAGAAGCCGCACAAACCAACTCATGACCTCAAAGCATTCTCGGAAGCTTAGATATTTCTAAAATGGAGCTCTTACAAGGAAAATTTCGTATGGAGTAGGGTTTTCGCATAGTGCGGGGGGAACAGAGCTTACCATTGCCTCCATGTCGAATCTACGCAACAGCTGCTCGGCCTCATCAGCCTCCGCCGAGCACCACTTCAGTCGAGGATCTCCTTTCCTCACAGCCTCTGCACTCGCCTCCAGCTCTCGTTGCGGAAAGCCAGATGACGCAAATACTTCTGGCGCTCGATAACTATCAGGGATTGCGGATTCAGGCTTCGGCTCAGGTGCAACAGAAGAAGCAGCGGGAGGCGTTACGCGGTATTTCGTTTTCTTCCGACCCAGTTTAGGCGTGACCATGGGAGAGCCAAGCGAAAAGGTTTTCGCCGCAGGGCCCTTTGATGGGGTGCGAGGCTCAGAAGATGGACTACGCCTGGTAGCTCTTGGCGTCCTCATTTCCAAATTAGAAAAATTGCACGGAAGGCCGACCTTCATGACCTCATCATCTGATAGGGTGTTGATGGCTTTTGAAGGCTCCTTTCTTGGCATGGTCATTCCTCAGTTTTCGTTATCCTGTAACTCTACAGCCAGCAAGAAATAGGGTCAGGAGACAAGAAGCATACGTAGGGACTCGAGTAAAAGGAGCTCATGAAGAGCTACACGCGGCTTAAAAGCTAAGGGCAGCCTTTAGGGGAAACAAGAGGAGAAGTCAAGGGGCATATACTTTCCATGTATCGATTGTTTCAGTTGCAGCTTCCGCGAGGAGCACAGACCTATCTAATACGCGTCAGCTATATCCTCAGGAGGGCAGAAGTGACTTGATACTTGAGAATATATAAAGAAGTTGAGCAGAAGGAAAGAGAAAAAGAAAGGAGATTAATCTTCCGAGCTGTGAGCAAACGCGAACGGTTCAAACAGCTGCGGTTGGAACAACTGAAATCTGCCCCCTTAAGGACTGTATTAAAGGCAACCATCCATTAATGATGAGTTGTGCTAATAATACTCATTGAGCAATAAAGCAACATCTACTTCTGATTTATCACTTGCTTGGGTTTTGGCCGCGGTTCGCTCCGCTCCTGGTTGCATGCAGTTCAGCGTACACCAAGCCCCGCGTCGGAGTTTCTAGGCACAAGCAATGTTTTGCTCTACCACGAACTCAAATTAACATTTAGCCGTTTTTCTTACTCTATTGGTAAATGTAGGTCTACTTTTCGCGCTGAGAGTCTTAATGCCATTTTCTTGGCTCCTCTTCATTCCCTATGGCTCAGCACCCGCTATGGCCGTTGCCGCGTCCTTTTAGTTTCGCTTCTTGCTAAGCTTTCCAGTCTTTTAATGAAATAATTAGTACTGGGGACATCTCTCTGTCTATTTCCAGCCGTTTGGAGGTGCCTTTGCTGCGCCCTGCATCCTGTTGCCAGCGTCTGCCTTGGAGCCACGTGAAAGATGCATTCACAGGGGAAGAGCGGCTTTGGAGTCGCCCACGACTTCAAGGGCTCTTTGAAGGAAGAGGCTGACTTCCCAATTCTCTGTGAAACATGTCTTGGGGAAAACCCTTACGTCCGCATGCAGAGAGACAGGAACGGGAAGGAGTGTCACATCTGTACTCGTGCTTACACCGGATTCAGGTGGGAGTGGTTTCACCCCGGCAGACTTGTTGGACCTTTGACAGCATCTATTGCTTGCCCTTTAAATTAATGTTACTTCTCCTGCTCTTGCAAACGCCTTACCTGCAGAATACATCTCTTGTGTTTCATGTCGACCTCCTTGGAATCCAGATCGCACGATTATACGTATTCGGTATGTGTTCAACTACCTCCGCTGCTTTTTCTTTCTCCTTAGGTGGAAGCCCGGACCCAAAGCTCGGTATAAATGCACGGTTGTGTGCCAGCAATGCGCGCGTCTGAAGAACGTGTGTCAAACCTGCCTCTTCGATCTGGAGTACGGCTTGCCTGTTCAGGTCAGCTACCGTGCATGCATCATGAGCTTGGGGTCCGAGGCTATTGAATCTCGGTTCCCGGCACTTTGCTAAGGGGCTGCCCGCATGGGATCCTGGTTTCGATTGCAGCAACGACGGAAGCGAGTCAAAGGATGGTGTAGCTGGTTCGTTGTGTGTTCAGGTACGAGACAGGATAATGGGTGAGAGTCGTGTTTCTCTGCCCGAGCATCCGGTAAATCGCGAGTATCTAAATTCGCGTATGGGGGGCCAGACGGAGGACCTACCTTACGGGAAGAGCGAGGAGATAGACCAAAGGCTCCGCCGAATCGCCCGCACCACTCCATACTACAGGCGCAACCTACCAAGAGTTTGTTCCTTCTGGCGCAAGGGAGAGTGCACACGTGGAGACGAATGCCCATACTTACACCAGGAATTATACACAGATCCGGCTTTAGCAACCCAGAACATGAGGGATAGGTAAGAGCACACGCAAGAGACAGTGGAATAAACAGATTGAGAATTTAGGGTAGTTGTGCTACGCTAGTTAGCCCCTCTTTCCCATATTTTCTTGGAAACAGGGTCCTTAGGTCTGATTACAAATGCTCTGCCGGCCCATGGCTGCTGTAGATGTGCTGTTTAGTACAGCGGAATATCGCCACTTGCGTGTCTGGGGGGAATCGAGGTGCCTAGGTGCATGCAATCGTGCATGCATATATGCGTGCATCTTTGCCTTTATCCCAATCGGTCTTTTTTTGCATATGTGCCATATGGTTGTCGATCTTATTCCCCGTTTCGCAATCCACAGTCGCAGTAACGCGCTGCTCGCTTATGTTGTGTTGCCCTCGTTCGCCATTCTAGGTACGTTGGGCAGGACGACCCTGTGGCGGAGAAGATCTTCCGTCTTGCTTCAACCCGATCTCAGGAGGAAACAGCCCCACCTGCAGACGAGTCGATAACCACCATCTTTGTGGGGGGAGTGCTGGAGGCTGTACGGGAGAGCGACCTGATGGAGCGCCTGTATGGGTATGGGGAGATTTTGGCGATTAGAATGAACCCTCAGAAAAAAATGGCATTTGTATGCTTCGCGGAGAGAGCAGGAGCTGTTGCCGCTATGAAGCAACTAGCCGGAACGCTCACCATCAATGGGGTCACCATGAGGGTTGCATGGGCGAAGCCCAAGCCTAAGCCAAGTGTTGCTGGCGCAGAGGGTAGTGCTGCCGCTGGCTCTTCCAGCGGCAGTGGCAGCGCCACAACTACGTCTGGTACTCCTATGCCAGCTCCAGAGGGCTACCTTGCCTCTCCTGTGCCAGGGCTTCCCCCTGTTCCGCTCCTGCCAGGAATGCCTGCCCCCCCGCCTGCAGTGATGGGAGGATCTGTGCCGTACCGTTCGATGATGCCGTCCGAGGCAGAACTCTCTAGAAAGTAGGGAGTAGGGGAAAGCACGCGTTTTTTCTGCGCCCCCCACTGTTGTTTTTCGGTGTCCAGGCAGCAGAGAACTAGCGAGGGAAGTACGCTGTGGCACCATGAGTCTGTAGGAACAAACTTGGGAGAACCTCATCGCAGCTTTTCGTTAGTGACTACGATACGTATTTGTTGGGCCTGTCGTTATATGTATCTTGGGGCAGGGAGATGCTTGGGTTTCCGTCTAGAGGCGCAGGGCTTTCTCTATAGTACCCGGGGAAGAGCGGCGCAGTATATCTTAGAGCATAGGAAATGCAGGAACGGGGCAAAGAGAAAGAGGGAGTCCAGAAACAGCGGTCGAGAAGGAAGGGGGAAAGCTTGCGGGCGGGCAGTTCAAGTGCGCATAAGGTGTCTATACCCTCAGTGCCTCTATAGGCTGTTGGTTTCATGGGGACGGTTCGAACCCCTGAATTCTTTGTTCTCCATCAAATGTCTCCCAAGGCTAGACAGCGTCAGTCAAGCGCCGCAGATTGCAGAGGCAGTAAGTATACAGCTTCCGAGCTCCATTTCAGCATCTGTCTCTTAAGAGCTTCCAGTTTTGATTTCCAAGCCCTTAACTATCTGCCCCTCAATTCTTGAGTCCTACCACTATGTTGTGAAGGGAGTCAGGGTTCCAAGGCTCCCGCTAGCGTACTGAAGGGCAACCGCCAACGTGAGGAGGCTGCTAGCTACAGGGGGACCGGGGAGATGCTAAGTTATCAGTAGACGCCGTTGCTGAAGGATACTTGCGTAGATCCGCCGGCCACAGCGTAATTGGTCTCCTTCAGTAGCCGGTCTGTAACGGAAGCCCATGGCCAAAAGGGATCCCCATAAGCCTTTGCAATACAAAGCATCTAAATGCAGCGTTGTTGGAGACTAACTGCAAGGGTCTGCAACCGGTCGAGAGACGGTGATCGCTGCATACTGAGTAGCTGGCCTAAGTCTGTGCGTGACCGACATTCTGCTCCCTTTCCTCACGCGGCTTGGCCTGCTCATAAATGGCTTCCTCTTTTAGCTGATTTGAATAAAACAATCGCAAACTTTAGGTAGCAAGGAACCTGAAACCAGAATAACCAGTGGTGCTGCTTTGTCCGGCCTTCTCGGCGAACCCTTGTCGCCAGCGGCGGCTCCAGCTGCACCAGTGGCAGCAAACGGCGTCGATATCAAACATCCGCGTGAGCGGCATTGCTCTGCTCATCTCAGTTCTCGTTGTTTATCAAGGAAGTTAACAACCACCTTGAGACCGCCAGCGCCATTCATGGCCTTCAGCCAATCGAGAGCGACATAGGGGGCCCTGCTAGTATACACCGGAGAGGCCTCTTGCAAGCACCCGGGGACCCCCAAGGACTGAACAAGTGGCTGCGGCTCCTAAATGAGTGCATAATTCTTTGGGCTACGCTGTTGGTGCTTCTGGCTCACTGCTGCAGCAGCATCTGTCGAGGATCCCCTCTCCCCGTTCCATTAAGCGAAACCACCTGACTGCCTAGTGAAATACCTCCCCGATCGCTGCTACTTGTGCTGCCTGCACAATCGCCGTGATGGGGGCTGCAGATCTATGCCTTGAAACACGGAGGCCTTCTTGATGACAGGGCTCAGCTTTGAGCATCGCTGGTTGCTCCGGCAGCGTCAGCAATTGTTCATGCTGCTCCTGCTGGTGCTTGCAGCTACTGCACCCGCGAGCGCTGAGCTACAGCAGCTACGGACGCAAGGCTTGCAGAGTGCCTCAGAAGAAGCGGCAACGCCCCCTGAGCGCCAGCCCTCCGCTGTTACAGATCCAACAAACGCATCATCAGCAGGAGCAGTACTAGAAGCAGGAGCGCAAGTTACCAGCGCAGCTGAACTGCCGTCTGTATTCGACACCGACTACCTATCTAGCAACCTTGTTAGCCCTGGGAGCAGCACCCTGCTACAAGCTCTGAACAGCAACGTTACGGATAATAGCAGCGCCGACGGGAGTACGAACACCCCTAGCACTGCCGCTTCGGCTGGCAGCACGGGGACTGGCAGCAGCCAGGATGAAAAGGGAGGGCATAGCAGTAGAAGCAGCAACAATAGCAGTACGAGCACCAGGAAAAACACTGCGCTACAGATTGATGCACTACAAGAGAAGGTCAATAGCCCGGCTCAGCAGCAACCATTGCAGCCAGAGCAACAACAACAGCCACAGCAGCAGGACCAACAGCAACAGTCACCAACACACCAGCAGCAGCCGTTGCAACAGCAACAAGACAAGCCGTCCCCCCAGCGGCTCGCTTGGGAAGGCGGGGGTCCATGTCCGCACACCAAGGGGGCCTCTGATTGCAGCCGCCAAACAGCAATGCAAGCTCGACCAGCAGCAGGAGAGCGAAATTCAGAATCGGCAGCAGTGCAAGATGAAGCGGCGGTAGCAGAAGTGCCTGCCTTGCGCCTTCGCACGCAGCTGGACTCTCAGTGGTTGAGTCCATCCCCGCCTTCAAAGGAGGATTCTGTGCTTGAAGCACCCGAGGAACTCCTCGGAGATCCTGATGAGTCTCTCGATGAGCCTTACGATGCTGGTCCTCTAGCATCTTCTATTGAGGGGCAGCTGCTATGTCTTCAATGGAATATCTGCAACGCGGCTCTGAGCCTGCTCCTTGCGTATGCCTGCTCTTCGAAGCTGCAGCATGTACCTGCTGGCGTGGTATTCCCTACAGCAGCAGCATCAGTGCCAAGAGCCCCCATTAGGCTGCCTCTAGGCCACGGCATGCACTTCACCAAAAGCTTTCCTAAGATAGAAGACCACCTGTATTCATTGTCTGCCGTGTTTCAGAGGGACCCCTCCTCTGTGGGGCATCCCCAGTGGGGCCACCTTGGGGGTCGGCGGGTGTTGTGTTACTTGGGTCAAGCGGCACAGGCGAGTTCTGGAGTTTTGCATGCGTTCAAGTGCACCTATACGACACCAAGCGCCTCCATGTTTGCTTGGCTCACTGCCACACTGTCGATGATCAGTTCTTTTCTTGACCCCCTCTTCTCCCTCACCGCCAATTGTCTTTCTGCGCTGTATGATATCACCGCGCTCGCCTTCTAGCAGAGCCCTAGAGGGGCCTCTTACAAAGAGACCGCAAAGTGGGGACGGCGAAGGGCTGGGCTTGTTGCGGGGTCTACATCTGTAAAAAGCTTTTCAAAGGGGAACTGTGCGCGGGGCACTCCACGCCAATTTCTACATTGAGACATAAGGAGATCTACTCAGATTGAGAGGAGCCTCTCCAGGGCTCTAAACCTGATGCTTATCTATTGATATCTCCTAATTAGATCTGTCGCGTCCTCGGTGACCTGTCTTCTATCGTTCGTAACAGCTCAACGCGCACTCTACGTTTGCAGGCACGGTAAGCAGGTAAAACTCGTAAAGCCACCCTCGGCCTGAGAGCAGGAAGGCAGCCTATCAGCATGAGTCGCACAACCTGGTAGCATGTCTTGTGGCTGGTAGGTTATCACCCACCTGTGGGGCTGTCGCTAAGCAGCTGGGCAGGCTTGAGAGTAACTCGCGAGCCAATTGTTGGAGAGCATTGTAGCGTCGGACAGTCAGCTGCAGGTCGTGCTGCGGCTTTCTAGATAAAGGGGCCCACAATAATTTCAAGATAATAGCAGGAAAATTTACTGTGTTGCCGCCAGCGAACAGCCCAGTTGCCACTGTAACACCCTGGCGAGCTCACTGGCAAACCAGCTAGTACCCCAGTATGCCCACTGGACCCAACTCCGGTGGCCCTCGCTTCAGCTGGCTCGGTCTGACAGCTCCATGTGTGTGTTTTAGCCAGTAAGTGAAATCTCCCCACGTTGGCACAGTGGATCCTAAGTTGAAAGGAGGGGCTCACCCTTTCAGCTGTAAGCACTCAACGTACGAAAACCTGCCCCTTCACACGCAAATCCCCTGAGGACCTCCGAGGTCTCTCCACTGGGCTGTGTTTATTGACTCATCCATCCTCCAGATGAAGGGCTATACGTGTGGTTTGCAGCTTACAAAGCCTTAGAGCCAGAGAAGAGCCCGCTGCGTGTATCCTCAAGTCCATCTCTATCATGGACATAGCCAACACTCTTGCTGCAGGTCTTCTCAAAGAGGAGGACCTCCTTCTGGCACTGCGATATATCTCCCTCAGGCACCAGACGCTGCTCTTGCTTCTGATCCTGCTGCTGCTGTGGCTTACTCAGCTGATGCTGATGGAGGCATTCGAGGAGGGGCCGCATGGTGCATACGATCTGGCCCCCCTTCTTGCTCGAGGGAGGGTTCGCGGCTAGCATCGCGCACGGCTGCTGAAAGAGTCGAGATGGAGGGGGATAGGGGGGGCCCCCGAGGGGCAGAGCAAAAACAAAAATGCAAATGCGCGTTAGACAAAAGCGCTAAAAGAAACAGGAATACATAGATGTACTTATACAGAAAGACGGATGCTGTGCAGTGGGACGCCGCAACAGCACGTTTTAGGCGAACAGGCAAAAGGGACAGACACAAAAATGTTTGTGAAAGCAAGGAGACCGATGGCGGTCCCCAAGGAGGCTATAACACATCGATATTAAGAGGGTATGTGAAAGATCTGCGTCCAAACTCCTCCAAACACAAGAGTTCTTCGAGGTGTCGGATTCGGCTTTGCCTTCGATCTGCCGTCCTGAAAATTGAGTGTTTGGACGCAAATCTCACCAGAAGCAACGAATAGGCCACCACAGAAACAACAAAGAGAAATAAAAGCAATAAAAGAAACCCAGAACGGGGAAAGGGGGAGCAAGCGAAGGCGCTTGCGCATACTCTTGTTTCTGTGGAGCAAGAGCAGCTAAAAAAGCAGAGGCACAAGTGACAGAAAAAGGAACGGGACGTGAAAAGCCATTAGCTCGCCATATGCCGAGACGAAGAATCTTGCTACTGCATGCGATTAGCTGTGTCTGGGCCTCATGCAGCCCCATCGTACACTCAAGCCCCCCATAGAACACGGTAATGCGTATTATTGTGCTCTTCCCCTCCAACACTGTGGCATTATCATGAGTTTTTCGTCGTGTGAGCCTAGTGCAAGTACAGATGCATACACATCAATCTATGTCTTGTGGATGCTATGTCCCTCTTGTATTTAGTTTTCTTGGCGAGCAAGAGTAGCCGTCCAAGCACGATTTCTGTTTCCCCCTGCTGCAAGTCTTTTCCCTCGCCTTTACCTCCTTGTTTCTACACTTTTCAGTTCCTCAGAAACGGAGAACCCCTACCGCTCCATAGTGTGCCCAGTTCTTCAGTATTTGCGGTACGTGTATATGAGCCACTGCCTGGCCGGGATATAGGTTGAGAAAGATACAATGAGGCATGAAAGGAGCTGAACTCGAGCTATTTTGCTTTCATACGAGTGTCACACTCATCCATCAGACTCTGAGTCCTGCTACCACTGTACCGGGTAGTGTATGTATAAATATGTACCGTTGGGTTTACAAGGTGCCCCCTAGCAGCAGCCCCTGCGACTCCTGCTATTGCGTACCCTGATGCTGTGGAGTATTATTGCATCGCTCGCAGGTTCAGTCCATACGGGTAGCTCTTGTGAAGCCAAATAACCCCTAAAGTGTAAACCTTCCACAACAACCAATGGAGGCAAGGAATATTGTCCATGGCGACAAGCTTTGATACCGAACAAAAACGCGAATTCACCTCTGGCAACGAGACCCGCAGCTACTCCTCTGTCTACCACTGGGACTGGCTTTCGCCACCTGATTCACTACAAACTCCCGTCTAGCGTATCCTCGGCGCTCAGTACTCCTAGATCCCAGCAAAGTTCGCGTCTCCTTGCGAAACCTAGGTCTCCACGAGCGTCGCTTAGCTGCGCAGAAAAGTCTGAAAATAATTCAGGAAGCTTAAAATTTCTTCAGAGGACCCGTATCTAGTGTCCTTTTGCCCCAACTTTAGGGGAAAGAGATGGGGCAAGAAAGAGCATTTATTAGCGAGGGGACTGCAGTTCTTTGTAGCCACCTGCTTAGTGCACCTTTTGCGGCCTGCCGATCCACTAGAGTCATATCCTCAGGGCCGAAACACACAGCCGACCGTCGTTCTTCATATTGCATACTTGTTTCTGTTCAGCTTTGTGCAGACATTCGCGCGGACTAGCCAACTCTTCCTTTAAATCCCCCGCTCCCAACGGCAACTGCTGACACCGAACCACCGGGTCCATTCCCAATTCGGAAAAGAGCTCAGTGTAGAGAAAGCATGCCCGTAGTGCACGGGCAGACATGCATGCCACTGTATTATTAGCCCATTCGGCGCAGCGAAGGAAGTATGACCAAGTGGTTGAATTGTGCAGGCGAGATATGTCAACTTAAGCAAAAATATGCTGTTGCCACGCTTCCTGTGTCCATCTGCCACAGGATGGTTCCCAATGGTCATGCTAGGGCCGATGTAAGGGCGGGTCGCAGAGGCACGCCGTCACCCACAAGCATACTTCGGATTCCTAGCCGTAATGATGCTTCTAAGGATTCCGTAAAGGTTACACATATTATTTAAAAATACTCGAGCCACTACCTGGGCCTTGATATAGCTAAAGCAGGGGATGAAATGGACGCTTACGCTGATCTCTGACAGTCTAAGAATAAAGTGCACTGTGATAATAGTCCAAATTCTCTTAGGAGCTGGAAGGCTTTGGAAAGGCCAAATCTAGGATAATAGCGTGGGTTCGGCGCCTGCCAAGCTGAATATGACAGTGCATACTCCTTTGCGGCGGGACGCATCACAGGCTACCAGGATGACCCTGTGACCTTTCAGGTGTATTGTGAATCACCCCAGTTATTCAAAACAAGATGATAATGTGATTTGTGCAAAATGGGCCTGTAGAGTGAAGTCAGGGCGTTCAAGTGACTGATTCCCCGCTCAGCTGTGTACCACACCAGGTCAGCGTCTACGTGGTAGTGCTTGATCCTTGTTTATATAGATTTATTCAATAATAGTGGATGCATGGGAGAAAACACACAATGCGCAACTGCGCTAGAAATCGTGAATGATTACGGAGTAGAGCGGTTGTGCTGCACATTGCTGAACCGCTGAAGCATCGCGTTTACGCCTCGGTGACCATGTTGGTGAGATGCCCTTATTATACCTTACTGTAAAGTCGCACTGTAGGAGACGACCAACCTAGCGAACACCTCTAGGATCAGCAAAGTCCTGACAGTTCACTGTACGGTATGTTAAAATCAGGGCGTCGATTTGCAAAGTAAATCTATGACCGTGTAAATGGTGCTTGCATCTTATCTCACCTCACAACACGGCATGGAGTTCCTTTTCCCGCACTGGCTACCGCTGCTTGGTTTCGGTGAAGTGATAAGAAATATAGGCAATAATTTGGTGTTTCCGAGAAGCTGTAGCCCACTAGGATGGAGTGATTTGCCCCCTTAAGCGATTAGTATGCCAATCTATTGGTAGATTTCCTAGAGTTCCTTGCCTGGGCTTCTTCAGTTCCTCAGTTCTGACATGGCCTACTGCTGAGGCGGTTTCCATTTTCAGGGCTTGTACGGATACTTGAAACGTTGTAATCCCTGCAAACAGCCAACTTCCTCTGTGTAAATATGTCAAGTATCAAACTGATTTTACCCCTAAGCAACGTGCAGCAAGGATCCCCCCTATGGTTGTCAATTGCCAGGGCACCTCCACGGCTGACTAGTAAACTCCTCGGGAACTTGCCCATGCTTGCGGCCATCATACCTTTCTGGTCGGCATAGCATGACCGACGTACCCATAAGCATTTTGGCAGCCAAGTAATGATGCTTTTCTTGCCGTTGTTGAGCTAGTTCAAACAAGTACATTTCTCAAATGTATGCGCGCTTTAGGTCTGCAGACGTCCGCCTCTATCTACGGTCTGTATGGGAAGACCATTGATTCCAGACGTAATAAAACATGAGTAAAAACCAGAGAGTGTTTCCTGAAGAACTGCTGCCTCCCTCTGCCCCAAATGTAACTGTTGTTGTACAAAGGATTACAAAGCATTGACTATTGAGGTTGTGTATTCTTGTATCTTATTTATTGCAGGGTTCTGTCAGATGGGTACAAAGAGACGCAACACTGTGTGTTTGTACGCTAGATGCTATTTGCATATACCTGTGGATGCTCAAAGTGCCCGGAGAGTGCAGGTACTTGCGTCTAGCTGTTTTTTTCTCCTCATATCAAGAACTCCATGGGGCGCGGGCAGAGGTAGACAGCAGTTCTTCAGGAGAACAGCTTTTAGTTTTAAATAGTGTTTGTATTCAGTTTGGAGTCAATTGCCTCCCTAGGTAAACCGTAGATGGAGTATCACACGGTTCTTTAAAAAAAGCTCCCTCAGGTCGCAAATACCCGCCTGTACTGCGAGTCCAGTCACCCCAGCACCAGGGCAACACGCTGGGCTGTTTGCTTAAGCGCTTCTGTTTGACTGAATGGCCCTGAACAACACAGGTTGAAGGGCCTTTCGCATACTGGGTGATGGGATCAAAGGAGCTCTAGTGAAGCGCCTTCTAGGCTTCAGATGAAGTAGCAGCTACACAAGATGCAGGAGCCCCACGAGACAAGCAAACGGTGGAGCAAAGAAACTGGAATGAAGCGTGTCTTCTGCTTTGCAGCCAGAAAGACTGCGTGTTCTTGGCACGTCTACCGACAATGCGATATTCATGGGAGACGTCCTTTCTGACTCTGTCTCCTCGATAATAAAGGCTTCGTTAAAGTCATCTACTTATATACAGGTTAAATTCGTGGAAAATAGACGGGAGGGAAAGGGGGGCCTATCGAGGGCCCTCCCTGCGCTGCTGCAAAGCATGGCAGCAAATGGCTGAGTGGGCTAAGTTGTCATCTGTGCCCGGGAACCCAATTTTCCTGTTTATATTTTTTGAATTTCTCTTCTTGGTGCCACCAGGCAGATACTGATCGGGGGGAAAAAAATTTCTCTGGGAGCGGGGCTCCTGCTTCCCTGCTGTTGCCCTTCACCCTGTTGCTCTCAGGCGTCCCCTGGCGGCTGTGCTTTCCCTCCATGCCTCAATATTCAAAACTTGAAAGCTTAGGCGCCAGTCTGTAGAATCTGTGTCCTGGGTTTTACAGATTCGAGCCGAATTCAGGGTGCCACAGCGCATACCCTTGCCCTCTTTCGTCCCTCAGTCTCGCACCGTCGTTGTTTTTTCCGTCCGTTTCTCCATCCATAGCGCTATTCTGGTCTCTCTTCCTTTCATTCCTTCCGACCCTCTTGCCGCCCAATACTTGTGGAGCCCTTCAGAAAGTCCAGCCAAGGGCAAGCAGCCACTTCAGGCCTGTTAACGCCAAGCGGCATTCAACTGCACTTCCGTCCGGTATTCTTCTTCTGATACCGTATGTTCATCAGTTGCCGGATGATGGTGCTTCCAAGCCTGCTACTGCAGGTAACCCTCGGATTTCTGGGCTTATTCGCGATCCCCTCTTACGCTGCGCAACGCCGACTCGATATCCCCAATGAGAGCCACAGCCACTGGGTGGGCAGAGCCCACAGGCCCCAACAGAAGACGGATGTCTCTAGCAGCAAGCCACCTGCAGCAGAAAGTATTTTCATGGGCGCGACATCTGCGGAAACCGAGGAAAAAGACGCTTCCAAGCAGCAGCACTGGAGCAGCCCGAGCGGAGCAAAATCAGGTGATGATGTTGCTCTGTTCTCATTTTCTGAACCGTCGTCAGGCGTCATGAAACTTTTAGAAGGGGTGCAAGCTTCCCAGTTGGCTCGTCCGCTTTCTCGTGACCAGTCCTCGTCTCCTAAGAAAAATAATGCCAAACTCTCCGCCTTCGACGGGGTGGGAGGATCTTCAGAGAATGCCTCAAAGGAACCTTTTTCCGCTGATTTCTCTGTTCGCCGGGATTTAGCGAAGCTGTTGCTCAAAGACCAGTTTAGTGCAGATCCATCCCCAAATTCGAGACTCAAGAAGGCCGTCGAGACAGAGGGTGGACATCTCTCGTCAGTGGGTCTTACCATGTGTGGAAGAAGAGAACAAGATGAGGACGTGAGTGCTGCTTAGGGATAGGCTTAATAGCGCGCCGCTGCCGAGGGTGTTCCGGTTGCATTTTCTAGTTCCAAGAGATGCAACCTCTGTGCCCTTAAGATGCTATTCTGCCCTCCCCCTATGCTCCCTCTGTTGCTCTCCATGATTGCTTGTTACATCCATGCATACCTGTCTTTTTCTCCGAGTCTTCGGACGCTTGCTTCAATGTGCCTATGCAACACTTATTCATCTGACGAACTCGATGCGGTTTTTTTACATCGCGCCTTTGTTGGCCCTAGAGGAATCGCTTCACACCGCTTTGTATTTTCTTCTCTCTACCCTTTTTCTTTCCCGGGATGAAGAGCTCTGCGTTGTTGCCTCCTCGAGGAGGAAGCTTCAGCTGTCTTGCCCCCTATTCGATGCTTCGTGTGCGCGTCTTCGCTTCAGGCGTTGGTGGTAGATGCGGCTCTTCCGAATTCGCCGTTCCTCCTTAAAGCCCTCTTTGATGGACACGGGGGCCTCTCAACCTCCAAGTACTGCTCAGAGAATATGCATAGATTCCTCAGTGAGCCTTCACCTTGCCTATCAGCTTTTCTCGCCGTTTCGGGGTCTGCCTGTGTGTATGTGTCGATTGCGCCTTCATTTTAGGGTTCCTTTCTTTGGGTAACGGTTTCGCTTCGCATTTTTTCGCACACGGGTTTTCCGCATCTGAATCTCCTGTGACTCTGCCCTCTGTATCGCCACAGCTCCAACTTTCCTGGATGTTGCAGCGCTGCCTCTGCGCGCTTAGTGCCTGTCCAGATGCCTCTGCACCATATTCGCTCGCTCTTGCTTCGACTTGCTGAAGGCCTCACGAAGAATCTCCGCCTCAACACGCCTCCCACTGTGCTCCGAAGGACCACCCCTGATTGCAGGTATTGCGGCTTTTCGTGTCGCTTTCAGGCAATCTACATGTAGCGACCCCGGAAGCGTTGCGGGATGCCTTTCTTGCTCTAGACGAGGAGATTCTCGGAGCCACATCAACACGTCAAGCAGGATCCACAGGTGCGGTGCGAGGGATGCATCGATGTCATCTATTGAAATCGGAACGATCCAGAGAACAGCTTTGCATGGCCCCTTTCAAGGGGGACTCCCACAAATCGAGAAGCGGAACCAATTTTTTGCAGTGTCTGTTTTTGTCCTTTTCACCGCCGCTTCGTTAAAGGCGCTTTTTACGACATGTGCTTCCGAGCAGTTTCTGCTCAACTGCTCGGGGTATTATCACAGACTTTAAGACATCATTGCCGACATTTCCCTGTCCGGTTATGACTCATTCCACGCCATGCAAATGGATTGGATTTTTTTCTTGGGTTTGTTCCGGGCTTGCACGTAGGTATAGTTGCGCTGATAGAGGAGCTGGAGGAGTCGCGGGAACTGCTAGTAGCTGGCAGAGAAGTCATTCAATCCACCTGTGCGGTGACGCTCTACCAGAAGCTAGAAGAAGCCGACAAGCTCGGGGTTTCCGAGGGGCCCCTTCAGCTCATCAAGTTGGGAGGGCCCACAGCACCCGGCTTCCTTGTCACCGTCGCCAATGTTGGTAAGCCGGCCATGATCAGAAAACTTGAAAGCCAGCCGGGCAGTCAAAAATCCAGTGCCGTTCATAAACGGGATGCGTGTACCGTTCAAGATCTAGGGGTGCGGTCATCGGGTTGAAGATTGAATTTTTGGAGAGTTGTGGCTTGCGATCAGGGGATTCTCGTGCGACGCTGTTGCACGCCGACGGAACCTTCACCATCTTGTCGAGAGATCATAAGCCCACAGACTTCGAGGAGCTCGAACGCATTCAGCGAGCAGGAGGATTCGTGTCTTACTCCAGCAGCACTGTACCGAGAGTAGACGGCATCTTGGCGCTTTCTAGGGCCTTCGGAGATGGGGTGCGCTCACTGCTGCGTCAGATGCTGCTGCTGTCTCAGCCGCCCAGTGCGGCAGATGCATGATGTGTGTGAGTGAAGCTCCTGGCTGCTTCCTGCCTGGGGTTTTTCCTTGTGTGTAAGATGGGCGCGCGGCAGAGTTGCCGCGAAGTTGTATGTTGCATTGCATCGGGGACCTACGCATTGAGATACAGGATTGTGGCCTCTATCGCCTTTGCGGCATTTTCAGGCTTTTAAGGCAACCAAGAAGCTGGGCCCAACGCAGCAGCGCGTGGTGGCAGTGCCAGAGGTGCACACTTTCTATGCGAAGCCGGGAGACGTCTTGATGCTCGCTTGTGACGGTCAGTGGGCTCTCTCATCTCGCCTTCCTCGTGTATCGGACTCTTCTCCCGTCTGCTCTCTGTCTGCTTCTCCCTGACTTGTGCTTGCCTTCGCCCTCTGTGTGTGGCTTTTTGTGTCTTACCCTGGAGAACAGCGTCTCGGTTTTGTATACCCTTTTCCTTCGCCCTCTGTTTTCGCGTGGAGGCGTTTTCTTCTCATGGCGTGTTGTTGGTGTGTCTCTTCGTGCGTGCATCCGTCATCAGGGGTCTTTGAGCCGGATGCCATGAACTGGCTATATGTTTCCCACTTCATGATAGAGCTGCTTTATGGGCACGGAGACGACCTCACGGAGGCTGGGGTGAAGCTGCTTGAGCACGCATATGAGTCGCTTTCGGGAGATAACATTTCTGTCGTGCTTACCAGGTAGGGGCCTCGTATACTACTTCCTAGGCTCTGTAGCGTGTGTGTATCGCCTATGAGCATGCTGACTGGCAACATTATCTCTCTTCTCGAGTCTTATGCCTCACCTTCACGCGGTTGGCGTGTCTGTGTTGGTGTATCCACAACCTGTCTCCGCTGTGTGGATGTCTTGCCTCCTCCCAGTCCAGGATGGCTGATGGATGTTTGCACATTTTCAGAGACGCTTGGAGTGTATGCTTTGCGTGTAGGTTTCATGATGGCCTGCGCAAGGAGCGAAGGTCGCGGCGCTTTGAAGTGACTGTTAACGGTGCGTGCTATGTGGCTCCCTAATGCTGCTGCAGCTGCTGTCACGGGTATGGGTATGTCCGGTTTCATTCTCCATCAGGCCCCCGCGGCAGCAAGTCGAATCGGCGGTGGTGCTTAGCCTTTGCTTCTAAGCTTTGGGCAGCTTTTTGTCTGAACTGCTACGCTGCAGGATACATTGTGTCTGAAGACCCCGCAGGTTTGAGTGAAGCGGCAGATGGCAGCATTGAGGCACAGAAGGGCCCGATGAAGCCAGAATTGTCGGACCTCATTACGCTGTAGAGCGCTTGAGATGGCGGAGCAACGGCCTGGGAGTCTCCAGATTTTTCACTGGACGCCTACGGGCTTCACGCTAACTGGCGTGATACTAACCAATTTTATGAAAGGCCCTGCGTTTTGCATTCTTTTTACGTGCGAGTCGGACGATGTGGAAACAGATAGGCGAGGAGGTATGCCTTGGTTTATCTTTGTGTATGTGCAACTCTTCCACGTGAACGTGCCTATGGATGATTAGGTATATACCTGTGTATACACAGGATGTATTTTCTGTGTCGATCGTGCATAGCATGGTATGGTGTGCTGATGGACTATTATTTGTTGCAAGAGGCCAGAAAGGGCTAGGGTTTCAAGAAATCGGGGTTCATGTTCCGTGCCAGAGTGCTGCGATGACGAAGCAGTGGCTGGCCCCCCTTGGTCATACTTATTCCAGGCACTGCGAAGCGAGTCACGTTCAAGCAACTTTCTCCAGTACTACCATGTGGCATCTTTATCTATATCTGTGAGTACGGAGAATCGGGGTTTGCCCAGCTGCCCTTAACTTCCTCCCATTCTACGCCCCCCTTTTGGATGATCTCTTGGACTTGTTCTTCCGTGCACAAGACAACGGGGCCTCCGAACAGCAGAGCTGGAGTGGAGGTTTCAGCTGGCGCACCAGCTGTAGAGGCAGCAACGATGCCAATAGAACCTGCTTCGAATGGGATGTATTATTTGAACCCTATGGGACGGGGCGACGAGCCGCGTCTCAGCTCTTCCGTTGGCATTTGGCTGTTTGATGGGAACTATAGTGTCTCTCCAGTCGCGCTCTGTCGTTCGCATTCCTGCACCAATGCTCACTACGTATCTTTGTGTTTGAACATGTAGTTGCGTGGTCACGTGAGGATGTATCTGCCCTTGGGGGCCAGCTTGGCCATTCTTCATCAGGCCTTCCCCCGATACCCCCCGTGATTAATGCCGGAAACCTCAATGGCTTTCGTTTGCAGCAAGAGCTGCTCGAAAGCCAAATGCTTAAAACCAGTGAGGGCACGGCGTGGTGTTTGGAAAATAGAGTGGGGATGCAGCTCGAGGGTTTCTAATTTTCAGGCAGGGTAGATACATTGAGGTTTAGCCGTCGCGTCTTGCAGTTAGGGCGCATTACAGAGAGCGTATTATTTTTGGTATGATAGTGTGTATAGACAGAGGATTGGGGCTGTCACATATTCAAGGATGAATCGTGCTTCGGCCCCCCTTCCCCTGACCCATTGTGTGCCCTTGCTTCTTGGATAGGAGCCGGCTAGCTAGTTGATCGATTGCGTGGCTACGGTTTGCTAGGTGCTGCTGCTGCTGCTCAGTGACCCCAGCAGGCAGCGGGGTGGTGTTCGCCTGGCTAGCCGAGCTTGGCGCGTTGTGCCCTATGTCGCTGCTCAAACACCCAGCCACTCGGCTGGCTGGTCACTTGCTACACCTCACGAAAAGCGCCTGGTTTTGAAGGGGTTCTAGGAGTCCACACGAGGCGACCTAGGCCTAGTAATCAACAGGGGTTCAGCCCCGCTGACAGCCTAGGGGCCGCTCTCGAGACTGCCTCCAACTGGCGAAGGAGACCCTCTTGCACACCACGCAGCTGCAGCTCAGTCATGCGCTGCTGTTCCTCGGCATCGTCCTGCAGCTGGTGTTCGCGAGGCCGAGTGGTGCTTGCGTTGTGAATGGGTGTCGCCTCACTCCGAGAAGTCTGAGGAAACACCCACACGCGCACATGAGGGGCATCTAGAGTTCCTCTTCGTTGTCTGGACGGAAGAAGTGCTACTGTACTCAGCCGGCCCCTGTTGGGCGAGCTTCAAAACTTTTAAAGGCCTTAAGTATATGTATCATACCTGGGGGCTTTGGAACCGAAACTTTCTGCGCCTATTGGCGCTGCCCTGTTTGCTTTGCTGTTGCAAGAGCTGTTGTGCAGCAGCCGCTGCTGCGGCTGCTGCCTTTGTCTCCGCGGCAGTGGCAGCAGCAAGAGCATTGCTAGCTCTCCCTCTGCCTGCAGCCCGCATGTCTCGGAGGGCCTCCTCAACCTCCACGCAGCCTACGGCTGATAGGCCTTTCCTAGCCGCCAGCAGCGCTGATTCGTTGCAGAGAGCGGCCAAGCAGGCTCCCGAAAAGCCATCAGTTGCGGCAGCAAGACTCCATAGAGACACTTCAGGGTCCACAGACACCCCGCGGAAGTGCAGCGCCAGGATGGCTTCCCTAAGAAGCAACGAAGAAGACACTCAAAGAGAACCGAGGAGGTCACATGCGCACCTAGGCTTGGGGGTTTCTAGACGTACATATGCAGCTACACATGGGCTCGCAACTTGACACAAACTAAGAAGCCACAGCTTTCACCCGGTTTACAACGGCTGCTCAACTAGAGGTCCGAGAGGGCGTCCCATTATATATGCATAGAGATACGTATATGCATGCATGCGTGTACATGCATAGAGCCTGACCGTTCTTGTGCATCCGGCAGGTTGACTGTGATGATTTGATCGAAGCGTCCCGGTCTTAGGAGGGCCTCGTCCAGGCAGTCTGCACGGTTTGTCGCAGCCATCACCAGTATAGGTCTGCATGCAAATCGCAGGGTCAGATTTTGACGCCCCCTGAGTTCTTGCACCCGGTGAAGGGAGGCGCACCGAAGAGCAGGACACGATGACGAACGCCAGTGCCTTTTCTAGCCCACTTTTTGCTGGTTTCCAAGCCGTCCATCAGCGTCAGCAGCTGGTTAAGGGTTTGCACATACTCTTGGCATGCACCCGCTGCGAGCATTCGCAAGCCCCATGAATCGCATGTCCACAAGATCGAAGCCTGACAACACAGGACTCTTGGTAAGGTCTAGGGATGCGCCACTCAAGAAAGCATACATACCCCCTCGCCCCCTCCACCTCTCCCTTGCAGACATAATACACCCCGTACACTTGCAACCCGCAGACTTTGATCCGCGCTCACTTCCTGACACGCGACGCGAGCCAATGGCGTCTATTTCATCGAGGAACAAGATGCAGGGAGCAAGGCGGCTCGCCTCCGCGAAGAGAGCTCGCACACGGGACGCCCCCCTCCCAGCAAACACCTCCACAAAGGAAGAGGCGTTCCCCCAGAGAAACGCAACACCTGCTTCCCCTGCCAAGGCACGTGCGGCCAGCGTTTTACCTGCGAGAAACCCGACCCGCAGCTGCATGAATACACAGTATGCGCAAGAGGCACTGTGCCAGAGGGCGCTTTCAGACAAACAACCTTCTTGCATACGCTCAAAGGCAAGCCCGCATGCATGCATGAAGCACTCTTGCCGCTGCAGCCTGGGCGTTGAGCTCACACACCGGTGCCGGTGGGCCCCTCTAGGAGGATGCCCTTTGGGGCCTTCGCTCCGAGGGCCCCGCATGCGTCTGGAGCCGTCAGAAGTAGAGCCGCCTGCGAAAGACGGGCTTTAAGAGCTCGTGATCCTGCAATATCGGCAAAAGTGACCTTGGGGGGCAGCCCACGAGCGTCGGCTCTGCCCCAAGAAGGCTTTTGCTGCAGCCAGTTGAAGTGGGAACCTGAGGGGAAAATCGCGCAGTCCAGCCGCCGGCGTGCAGCGTTTCTCATCATGGCAGAGCCGCACGCAGTGGGCGTACGGCGAAACGCGCACTCTACGAACGAAGCAGGAGGCGGAACGCGCCAGGGTTCGCAGGGCTCAGAGTCTACAGCCAAGGGGTCTAATAAGGCGCACATGCAACAATGGCGAGACCACTGATGGAGACAAGAAGAACCAGAAGGTCACAAAAGGAGAGCGAGAAGCTCGTTGGCATTGCCTGAACCTCCAAGGCATCGCCGCCAGCTGCAGCGACAACGGGGGCCTGTCGGGAGAGACTCGTCTGTCGGGCTACAGCAGACACGAGCAACTGAGCTACCAACCCCTCGGCTCCTGGAAGCATCTTTGCAACAAAGTCGGTAGAAAGAGGCCCTCCCTGTGTCGCCCCTCTGGAGAGGCCCCCATTCTCCCGTCCATCGCCCGAAGCCGCCCCCAAGACTTCTGGCTTTACCCTGAAGTACACGAACTGCTCCGAGTCCACTTGGTGTATCGACACGTGCTGCAAATCGCCTCTCCTCAGCCAAAAAAGAAACTGCGAGAAAGGGGCCTCCTGCGGACCGCCCCCCCTGGAAAACAGCCTGCGGATGAACGCACAACAAACGGCGAGAGCTGCGCCGTACGCGATCGGGCCCATCCACTCGCGCAGCCACGCAGCGATCGGTGGACCCCATGACGCGAGGGTGCCCACAAGTCTGCGACTTCCAGGCTTCAGAGTCTCCCCTGTCAAGGAGCTGCCCGACGGCGGGTGGCTGTCAACTGCTGAGGGGCGGCCTTCTGACTCAGGCCTCCCGCGCTGGAGAGACACTCTGTGCCCAGTCTCCAAGGAAAGGGCCCCAGACAGAATGCGCGAAGCCCAGAGACGGTCCCAAGACTGGCGGGAGAGCGGCCTAGAATACCCCATGAGGAGCAACGCATTCAGCTTGTGCAGCGTTCCCCCTCCACCTCGAACTTGGATGCCCGCTGCCCCTTCTACTCGGGTGGCAGCAGCAGCCGCTGGAGGCGTAAAACTCTCCGGAACCGATACGGGAGAGGTCGGGGGGCAAGAGGCACTCGTGGTACTCGGCGCAGAAAGGTCGCTGTCGCCAGAAGGACTGCTGCTGCTGCTGCTGTCTCTGCAGCAGGTATTGGGCACTCGACTGTGGTGCTGGCAGCGGCCCCTGTGGCAGAGCGGAGGCGTCGCTGGGGCCCCCATTGCCTAAACAACAGGATTAGAGCACGGGTATACCCTCTGGATCACCCCTTTAGGTAGCCAGGCCCGCGCTCAGCTGCAGCTAAACACCAGCAGCAGCTGCTGTTGCTCCACCAACGGAGCCGTTTCTGCTGTCTCGTCCCTCAATGCCACCAACCCGTTCTGAAATTCCAATGACCAAGCAGCTGAAACCGCTGTTACTTCCGAAACAGTTACATCTGCGACTGAGGCTGTTGCTGCAGCGGCTGCAGTTGCTGCAACAGCAGCAAGGCAAAAGGGGGGCCCGCTGTACCTGTCGAAGGCTTCTACTGAAACACTGAAAGCAAGAAATATATGCAGCTGATACCACTGCTGATGCGTGTTTGTTTTCGCGTGGAAGGTGTCCATACACCCGGGAGATGCCCGGTCAACTGCTACAGCAGCTACTGCTGCCGCGACTGCTGCCACTGCATGCCTGGCCCCACACCCGCTGCCCACTGAAAAGGTTACTTCAGTTTTAATCTTTGCCAAGATATCATAGGCAAGAGGGAGCAGCAGGAAGGCAAGCAACTCCCCGAACGCTGACAGATCGAGCGGCCAGCCGCACATCGGCTCTCCGCCCTCTGTAAGCTGCAGGACTTAGACGTTATCTCTAGAGCTTATTTCTGCTCCTGCTTCCTCCCCCGCGGCTTCGACGTTGGCAGATTACATGCATCATTGCGGCTTAAGTGGCGAGGGAACGAGTAATAGTACGAAGAGCAGCAGCGGTGGTTGGCCAAAGGTCGCTCTCAAGATACCCCGGGAGATGCTGTGCAACCCGCTGCTTGATGAAGAGGATGCCCATCCTGCAGTGCAGCAGGAGCCGTCAGCAGTACCCCTAAGTGGAGCGGCTGGAGAAGAACCACCTACAGTGGAAAATGAGTGCTTATCGGCACCCTCCAAGCTTCCATTCTGCAATGGCAAGAAGGCAGCGGCCTGTGCGACTGAAACCCTGAGGCATAACCCGCTTCACGACAGCGACGGCGTTCCCTTCAAAAACGGTAGTAGTAGTAGCAGCAGCAGGCATGGCAGTAGGAGTGACGCTGCTGCTAATGGAGTACCCACAAACGAGAGGGGAGGGCATCTGGAAGGTTTTGGACCTGCGAAGGAAAAGCGATCTGCTGATGGTGCAGGCTCCCACCGGGAGCCTCAACGGAAGCGCTCGAGGGGTGAAAAGATACGGCAGCACATGCAGCGCCTCATGAAGCAGCAGCAGCAGCAACAGCAGCTGGCCAGTGGAAATTCGCAGGACCAGGCAGCAGTAGAGGCGGTGCCTATGAAGGTACCTAGACCCCCAAAGAAGAAGTTTGTACTTTTAATTGGGTACGGAGTTTGTACTTTTAATTGGGTACGGAGTTTGTACTTTTAATTGGGCAAGGAGTTGCAAAGTCAAGTTTGCGCTACGGGGTCTACCGCTTGTATTTTAGGGTTTGGTGTCTGTATGTACAGGTACAACGGATCCAGGTTTTTCGGCTTTCAAAAGCAGTTTCAAGTGGACGGAAATTCTGCAGAGGCCAATGCCTCATCAGGTGACGAGGAATTCCAGCAGCAGCAGGAGCAGCAGCAGCTGCTGCGAACGGTGGAGGGGGAGTTAGAGGCTGCGTTGGTACGCAGCGGTGGCATCGCCGCAGAGCACTTTGGGTGCTTGCAGCGGCTCCAATGGACTCGAGCAGCAAGAACAGACAAGGGCGTTCATGCAGCGTCTAATGCTGTGGCATTGAGGCTGTCCTTAGGACCCGTGGCGTTTGGCAGAGAAGAGCAGCAGCAGAAGGCGCAGAGAGATCCGGAGCAGGAAGCTCAGGGGGAGGGCGAGCGAAGACAAGACGAGCAAAGACGAGACGAGCAGCAGCCTGGGAAGTGTTTAGCAGAGCAGCAGCTTCTTGACGCGTCTGATGAGGAGTGTCAGTCTCTTTCCCTGGGAGTAGCCTGCCCAGCCGATAGGGAGGCGGTTGCTGCGTGGCAACAGCAGCGTGTGGCTGCCCTCCTGCAGCGCCTTAATAAGGAGCTGCCTCTGGATATCCGCTGCTTCGACATCCGCCCTGTTACCAAGAACTTCGATGCCAGGTCTGAAATAGGGTATAGAGGGCATATGGTATTCGCATTCACGGTTTCGCGATGGAAGGAATATGAGGGGGAGTACGTATGAGGGAGAATACATAAGACTGCGCATGTTTGTTTGGAGTTCGCTCTTCCTGTGACGGCGTTTGGTGCCACCGTTGCCGGCACTGTTGGTAATGATACCTTTTGCCCCTCGTAAAATGTCTACAATTCAAGAGTGTGCTGCTTGTTGTTGCCCCTTTAGAGTGAGCTGTTCTCGCCGTGTCTACGAATACGTCTTGCCGCTTTGGCTTATCCAACCGGTGGCCATTAGGGCGGATCTGAAGGCGCGTCATACCCAGTGCATGCAAGCGGAAAAAGCAACGGCAGCTGCTCCCGTAGACGGCCCAACGTGCGCTGGTTTGGAAGATTCCGCGGCAGATATCCCAAGAGGGGTATTGGTACAGGAAGCGGCAGAAATTCCAGCTGAGGCTCCCCCTGCGAGCAGTGAACTTCCTCCCCAGTGTATTGCGTTGTATCGTGATATCCCTGCCAAGGTTGCACCAGAGGACCTTATCGTAAGACATATAGCCGCTTAAAGCCTGGAGCACAAGAGCCAAGGGTGTTGTGCCAGGAGCCTGCGGCTTGAAACTTCAACTCTAGGGCCCCACACTCTCCTGCCCACGGAAAACAAGGCTCGCAGCCGCTTAGCGACTGAGGGGGAGGAGCAAGCACTGCATGCAACACACCCCACAGTCCTGGATATCCGGTGTGTGGCCTGTGTTTTGCTGTTCAGGATCGACTGGGGAAGGTGATGCGACTCTACGAAGGGACGCACTGCTACCGCAATTTTACGAGAAAGAGCAAAAACAAGGATAAGAATCCTGCAGCTTTCAAAAGACACATACATTCCGCCACAGTGAGCCAACTCCTAAATCTGAACCCTAGGGAGGGTAGGGCACCCCAATGCGAGACTCTTTGTCTCCTACTGATCGCCGCCATCCGTAGGGATTCATTGAGGGGCCGTTCGTGAGTCTTTTCTTCAACTCCTCCGGCATGAAGTAGCGCACTCGATGCTCGTATCATGAGTGAGGAGCGGTCTACACTGCAACAGGTGAAGCTTGGAAAGCTCCCCGGAAACGAAGAACCCGTGGCGATCGTGCGACTGGAAGGCCAGTCTTTCCTCTATAACCAAATCCGCAAGATGATGGGTGCGCTCGAACGTGGGGGTTTGAGTGTGGCGTAGAAAAAAGGGGGAGGCACAGGCAGGCAGAATGACTGTGCCTCCCCCTTTTTTCTTCTCTCGTGGAGTGCTTCTGACACTGCAAGGTTTTGATCTGACGCTGCACTCACAGCCCGTCTTTTCTGTAGTGCGTGTGATCTAGATGAGGGGGGCCATAGTTTTCTTGTCGGTTCTCTTTCCCGATCATGCGTCTAGGACTGGCAATCGAGATATGCCGTGGCACCGCACCAGTCTCTGCCATTCGTTTTGCTACTTCACGAGCCGCCGCCTTCCTGCACACAGCTCCAGCGGAAGGCCTGCTCCTGCTACAGGTGACCTCACTGGCTTCGCCTTTACTTGCTCAACACAGGAAGCGAGACACACATGCAAGCACAATTCACACTATCGTCGAGAGCGATCGCGGAAATGGCAGCTAGGAGTCCACGGCAATGTGAACATGCTCCATTCAGCTTCTTACATCTGCACAAATTTTAAAGCCGTAGACATATCTCGTGCCTTCGCTAGGGCGCTCTTCTGTAGTTCGTGCTTTTGTGCAACTGCCATTGCTGCTGCTCCTGTTGCAGCCATGTTACGATGCATACAACAACGGACGGGCACGTTTGGCTGAACTTCCTGCAGTTGAGTTCGATTCTATCGCAGAAACTATCGCGGCCTTCAAGGATTCCACCATTTACCCCTCAGTCGCGCATACATTGAACACCCCTATGTATGTCAAACTCTTCAGAGTTGCTGTGCTAGCATCCGTATACTCTCCCCAAAAAGAAGAAGCAGAGCAACACTCCATGTGTCGTCTGATGCCGCGATAGTTCTTGCTGCTGCTTCCGGTACTATTGCTTTTGGAAGACTCCCTTTTAAATTATGTGTTGCGTCGTGTTGTGCTTTGTGCTCCTGCGTTTTCTGCTCCGTCGGGTGTATGTATGTGCAGCTGGCGCGAGTGGATGCAGGGCATCGACCGCCATCCTTTCTTCGTCGAAAATAATGCTCTATAACGTTTTTCATGCGCTTTCGATAGCCCACAGGGAATCTCTGCTTAAAACCTCTTGTTTTGTCGAGCAGCCACTGTAGCAGCATCTCTTGCTGCTCGACATGACGGGAGCCGCAGCATTGTGCTGGTCGAGTAATATGCGCGGAGCCAGAACGGCTCTCTTGGCCTTTGTGCCACACCCCTAAGAAGGCGTTCCTCCTAAGGCGGAGCCTTAGGAGGAGCGCCAGACACGTTGACATTATTTGTCTCTTTCGCGCACTACATTAATCTCTGCCCTGCAAGTTCCGTTTCCTCATCTGCTTGCGTCCAGCCCTTTGGCCGTCTTTCTTTAAGCCTTTATTATGCCCTTGGTGCCTGCCTTCCCTCGTGCCACGGTGTCGTTCCCCCCCTCTCTAGACCCTGTTCCCTCATGCTACCCTCCTCCGAAGGGCCCTAGAAAGAACTGCACGAAGCCTCCAGCCCAGCCACAGCCCCCTGCTGCTGCTGCAGAACGCGCGATTTTCCCCCCTTCCTTTGCGTAACCTTAGACCTACATACCAGGCGCAGTGCCTGCACGCTCACACAGCGTCCTAGGGATTCGCACTAGAGCACCAGCTCGCGACGAGCGCGCGCAGCAGCAAAGCCCAACAGTGTGCCATCACCAGAACAGTGCCTGGGTACGCTCACGTCCCCCCACGCCTCTTGCTGCTGCTGCTCTTCTTGCCGCTGCTGCTGCTCATGCGGAGTGGCCCCTTCCCCAGGCGGAGTGACGACCACGGGCAGCTCCCAAACCAAATTCGCAACGTCGGATAGCCTCACCTTGGCGGGTAGCGGCTGCAGCTTGCGCTGCTGCTCTTCCTCCTGCGCGTGCTTTAGTAGAGGGCAAGTAAACTGGACCACAAGGGAGTACGACACTTGCAGCAAATCGGAGGTGAAGGACGGAGGAAGGGCTGGCGGCGCGAAAGCCATGAGCGATACCGTGTCTCTGTGCAACACAAACTCGCTTTGCCCCCACACAGTGCGTGCCTGCTGCTGGTGCTGCTGCAGCAGCTGCTGCTCTACCACGGCTAGAGCAACCGTCACCTGGTACGTGGGGAGCTGACACCCCCTAAAGTCAAATGCAAGCCTCAAGGCCTCCCCTGCAGCAACTGCGGGCTGCTTGTTCACATGGCCCCCACTCTGCAACCACATAGCACAGAGCAGACGCCCCTCCAGGCTGACTCTAAAGGTATCCCCTCTGCTGCTAGTACTGTACGCGCCACCGCACGGCATCTCCCCCTCGGCCACACACTGCAACACGTGCAAACGCCTTGCATGAGAATCTGAAGAAACATAGCCGCTCCTGATGCTACTCTTGCTGCTGCTCCAACTCCTGATGCTGCTATTGCTGCTATTGCTGCTGCTCCTGATGCTGCTATTGCTGCTATTGCTCCTGCTCCTGATGCTGCTATTGCTGCTGCTCCTGCTCCTGATGCTGCTATTGCTCCTGCTCCTGCTCCTGATGCTGCTATTGCTGCTGCTCCTGCTGCTACTGCTGCTCACGCTGAGCTGGGCAGACCCTTCTGCAGCAGGGGACTCCGCTGTTGAAATCGCCGCTGGTGTGCCGTCTGCGCTGTCGATGACGGCTTTCCTTGATGCAGTTGCTGTTGCTTCTGCCGGTAGGGCAGGCTGGCTCGCTTCTTTTTCTGTTCTAAGAGGCGCCGTTTGTACTGTCTCCTCGGGAGCTGCCTCGGGGCCCTGGCCTTCTGGCGCCTTGTAAGAAGGGGCGACTGGAGCAGCTGCAGCCAGGAGAGACGTTACCAGTGTGTTTCCGTAAGTCCTAATGCAGCCGCTGGCGCGCCAGAGAGCCACTGCATCTTCAAGCGGTAGCCCACCAGGATGCGGCTTTTTCTGAGTGTGCTGATGCAGCAACGAGCTCCCCGGAAGGCCGTTGAGCAGCGGCTCTGAGGGGCCCTCATAGCAGCCTTGGCGGCAGCAGCGACAGCGGGGGGGCCTGAGAGGCACTGCTTTCGCGCCAAACGAAAAGAGCATGGGGTTCCTGCATGCGCCTTTTTGGCTGGTATCGCTTGTCGCTGCCGCTGCTGGTGCTAGCTCTGTCTGGACTGCGGATTCTGGCTCGCGCTGTTTGCTGCCCCCGAGGGAGCGAAGCACACCGGACAGCTGCAACCACCGAGGCGGCTCCGAATCCCCTTTGCTGGTTTTGGCTAGCTGCTCGTTTTCGCGAGCCTGCTCTCTCTTCTGCTGCTCCTGCTGCTCTCGGAGGCCCTTGCCAGCGCTGCCTCGCTCTCCTGGTGTTGGTGAGACTGCTGCTGCGCGAGCAGAAGCCGCTGCCTCTCCAGCAGGTGCTGCGTCAATTAGTGCGTCACCACCAGCGGCGGGAAGAACGGGGGGGCCCAAAGTGAGCAAAAGCGGCATATCGGGCAGTGGGCAGCCGCCAAGCCAAATAGGCACTCTCCCGACTGCGTGGCGTGGAAGGCTAGCGGAAGCAGCTGGACGAAATACATGAATCACCAAGAAGTATGAGTAGCCGCCAGCCCTGTGAGATGGTGGCAAGAAAGGGGGCAGTGCACATTCGTACTGGAAGCTCGTGCAACTTGGGGGCCTCTTTTGGTCCAGCTGTATGAGCTGGCGCTGCCGCTGATGTGGCCAGCAACTCCCCGTGCAGAAACGGCTGCTATTCTGAGCCTGAGGCAGCGAAATGCTTTCCGCGACAACACATGGCTCCGAGAGGAACAGCAGCTTGCTCTCCTGTCCATACACCGCGGCAGCAGCAGGGTCCTGCAGCAGCTGCTGCTGCAACGCAAGGGGATCCGTTTCCCCATGCCATGAAGGGGGGCTGCTCGGCAGATCCCCTTCTGCTGCCGCGGCAACAGCAGCAGTGGCAGCCGCACTCGCTGCTGCGTTGCATGTGCTGCTGCTGACCAGCCAAGGGGCAGCAAGGTGTCTGTACAGCTGCTGTTGCGGCTGCTGTAACACGGAGAGCAAAGGGCCGGACGCCCCTTCACCCCTCCGAAGGCATGTCACTACACCGCATAACTGAACCACCAGCGCTTCGAGTTCGGTGGTCTGTCCACGAAGTTCTCCGTCCTGTCTCGCCGACTGCGCAGCTCCCGATGCCTCAACACGCTCTAGGGTAAGCACGCAGCGAAAACGATCTCCAGAGAAGAATCTGGCTTGAGACAGTGACACACACACCCGGATTTCTCCGAGCTGCTGCTGCGGTCTCATGGCTGCGATGCGCACCAGCAATACCTACAGCTGCAAGCCTCCGAATAGCCTGGACCCCACAGAAAGGTGAATTAGGGAAGAGAAGCGACGGCCAGCGGCAGCGGCTGTCTGCGGCTGTGAGGGCCCCCCAAGCAAGCTGCGCATGGGGCCCTTGCCCCTTGAACGTTCTTTCTTCTTCCTCTGAGTCCAAATAGCCCACACCGAGTCATTTCCAACGTTTTTCTGGCTTTTTTCGTTAACGCCTTCTGGCGCAGCCCCAGCGTCGGCACGCAGTGCATGCGCCCTGTGCCAGGGGGCCAAGCCGCGCCAGGGGTGACACAGCGAAAGGCTACCGTTCCCGCGAGGGAGAGCAAGCTTTTTGGTGTCTTTCGCGTTCTTTGAGGAGGCTAGTATCCGGTCACAACAGTTCAACTTTTTTACGGCCAGCGATCGGGAGTGTCACCATACACCCACAGACACGCAACTCGGAACCGTCTCAACGCAAGAACTCTGGATAACCACTCCTAACTCTTGATCCGACAAAATTCACCCGACGCAGCGGCACACCTGAATTCATTGAACTCCGGTCGTGTGCGTAGGAGGAAGGTGACCCTCAAAAGCTACCCCGCCCAAGCCACCACTCAGCTAACGTCCCCACATACATTCAAGTTTCTCTGGGGGAGAGAAAGCAGAAAACAAGGCTGTCCTCCTGTATGCATCTGAGCCTATTACCTAGCAGATGACTCCCGCCTTCCTAGTTCTACCTCCCTCTCAACCCTTCTATTTCTCCCTGCCGTCTCAGGCTAGCTGATCGCGCCCGCCCCCACGTGCGAATCCCCGATTTTCCCTTTGCCCCGCTCGCATGCTTCTCTCATGCAAATTTCGGGAGAACCATGAATTCTCCTGCCAAATAGACAGTACTTTGTGCTGTGCGCCGTCAACTTTCCCGCGGCCAAGATACATGCAAATCGCAGGAGTAGCGGAGGCGGCAGAAGCAATAGTAAAAAGAGTCACAAATGTTCTAATACCAGACTTTCATATGCATGACGCATGGTTCTATTCCCCTGCTTTTCCTGCCATTGTGTTTGCTGCCCCTATTCGTTGAGCCAGGGGTTTTGCTTGAGGGCCTCTGGGTCACGTTCCCCGTAGTCAACCAGCAGCTCCTCGCCCCTAAACGCACATTAAAAGCATACAAAATAGCCAGTCGCTCTTAGGCCCTTTTAAAGATCTAGGAGCGCTAAAATCCCCTTATGCACTGTAACGCCACACTCTGGAGGCTGCCAACACGAGGAGTAAATGGTGCTGAACCCGTTTGCTGTTGCCGGTTCGCTTCTTTTAAAGCTAGGAGAACCTGCTACTAGGGTTGATGATTACTCGTCTATGTCCCTTAGAGCAACGAAAAAGAGCCGTAGATCATTGGAGTCGCCGTCCAGAGCCTCCGCCTGGCCAAGACATCACCCATACGCAGAAACTCATCCATTCATTCTCCTCTGCCTTGCATTCTGTTGCCGCCTGCCCTTTCGTGTGCCCCGCCTCCTCCTTAGCGTCAGCTGCGCTGCCCTTCGCTCTGTCTGTCGTCTTTCTACTCTCGTTCTCTCTCCCACCCCCCACGCGAGAACACGCCTCTCCCAAGGAATGGACATTGCCTTCCTTACCTTGGGTTTGAGATTCGGATTTTTTCTAGAGTGGTTGATGAGCCGCGCGGGACCGAACTCAAGGCGTTCCTCTGTCGCATCGATGCTCATTTGCCTCTCCTTGTATTTAAAATAAAACATGAAACTCCTGCACACAAGCCGCCACGCCAAGCTCTACAGCACCCCGAGGTGGGTGCAGCAACTACACCAAAGGTTGACACCCGCACAGAGAGGCACGACGGTGCAACACGAAGGAGGAAACACAGTCATCGCGCATGCAGGCAAGTGCAAGCCCCTAACCCCAAGCCCCCCTTCTTAGACAGTGAGAACGAGTTATCTCTTTCTCTTTCTTCCTATTTCACTTTCTCTTTCTCTCTCTACATATGTAGATATATATATATATACCCCTTGGAGCACTTGGAACGGTCATAGCGAATGTCTCTCTCCCTGGCCTCTCTCTCCGAGCAGAGCTCGCCCTTGTATTCTTGAGCGCACAGAGTGCAAAGGACAGATGACTGAGAAAAATTTTGGATATGCGGGTTCAAAGAGCACCCGCGGAAATGGACAGAGAAGGCAGAGAGCAAGGAGGCAATGTCGCAGCAAGCAGGATACAGAAGACTTTGACGTTTTTGGAGACAGGGGCGAGCGACGGGGAGCTACACTTGACAAGACTGTCTCCACGTCAACCGCCAGTGCGCCAGGAGGAGCACGCAAGAGCAACGCAGAGACGAAGACATCATTAGGAGGAGTCAAGGCACGAGGGGAGAAGGAAGGGGGGCGAGTAAAAAGTCGCACTGAGAAGGGGCGTGACAGTGCTAGTCGTACCTAGTACAAAGTCATCTTTCCTTATCACATCTGCCGCCAAGACTGCACGGCCCTTGCCTGGTAGTCTGCTGAGCCTTACGTTCGCGTGAAAATTGTTGCGCAAGCAGTGAATGTATAAAATGCGGCGCTGGGAAGCAGAGGCCAAAGAAAAGGGCCGCCTGGAGCGCCAAAGAGGCACAAGCACACACACACACACGCACTTCTTTGAAGCCTTGAAAAGACATTCCTTTCTGTAGAGGGTGTTTCTTTCTGTGCGCTGCAAAAAGAGACTGAGCGTATTTGGCCCCCTCCTCTTTGGAGCTTCGTATTCTACTTGCCATGCCTGCTTGCCGTCCTATCCAGCCCCCTCCCTCCTACTTTTACTGCTGCCTTTCCTTTCATGCTCCTGAGGCGTGTCTCTCTCAGCCTCGAGCGGCAAATACGCAGAGGAGGTGTCACCTACACCTCTGCATGCACCAACGGGGAGCGCCCTTACTTGATGAGTCCTGTCTCTGCATCAATGAATGCATTGATGAGAGCCACATCCCCGCCATCCACTGTCGCAGGCAATCTGATTTTCTTGTTCTCTTTTAACGTCTCCCCAAGCTCTTCCTTCCTCTGCTTCAGCCTTTGGCTCCTCTTTGAAAACTCTGCCGCCATGAAATCGTAAAACGCATCTGCCTCGTTTTGTCGTCGCTGATCCCGAGAGACAGTAAGGCCCCCCTTGCCACGCTTTCCTTGTTTCTCATCGCCAGCAGATGCGCTGCTGCTGCAGGCTCTTCGCCGCTTCAGCCTCAAGCCGCAGGACGGACATAAAGATTGCAATGCTGCCTCCACGCAACCCCCCCTATCAAAGCGACTCAGATTCCAGTACAGATTGGTTGCGTTCTGCGCCAAGTTAATCGCTGAAAAGTCAAGGGACCTGCACGTACACCCCGGTCAAGCACAGAAAAGCATCTTCATGAAAATAAAATCCTTCTTTTAAGAAGACGCATACCAGAGATACACATGGACAGAAGGGCACACAGAGAGACACACACACAAAGAGACACATACACACAGACACACACACACACAGAGACATACACACATACACACACAGAGAGATACACACATACACACAGAGAGACATACACACACACAGACACACAGAGAGAGACATACACAGACACAGACACACAGAAAGAGACATACACACATACACACACAGACACACACACATAGACATGAATGAAGCAAACCAGACAGAACCCGAAGCGAACAGCCAGTCCATAAGCATGCATGTGCCTCTGGGGGTGATGGGATGCACAACTCTATTATTGTGGTCTATCTATGTTTTGCGCATCTGACTTGTTGAGCTGCTCAGCATAGGCCTTGAGCTTCGCTAGGGCGCTGCGGATCTCCCCTTTGCTGGCGACTCGCACTCTGTCAACTTCCATGAAGGAATGAAACTCGGTGGGAAATTCCACCTCGATGCGGCAGCCGGGGGGGAGCCGTATGGACGAGACGAGCGACGAGCTGTCTGCTGTCGTAAGAGACTCGGCAGAGAGCTCCCCGAGCACTATGTAAGACTCCTCTTCCCCGTCTTGATAAGTTGTTCCTCCTCCCGAGACGCTACCCCCGCCTGCGGTTAGCCCAGTTGGTGCGACTCCTGTGTCTTCCATCGTCTCACAAGTGCCCCCCCCCCCAGTCAAATCCGTGTTGAGGTCCTTCTGCCCTTCCTTGAGCGATCCTGTTGTCGCCCTCTCAACATGCGCAAGAGGTTCTTCTTTGCCTTCCACATCCTCCTGCGATTGCTTGGCGCCTGCACCACTCCCCTTGAACCCATCGACTTCAGACTTGCCCTCAAACGCCGTCCCCTCACCATCTCCCGTTGCAGTAGTGGCCTCGTCTGCTGCTCGTGTTGCTGCCCCCTCTTCCTCCTCTGCTGCATGCTTCGCTTGCACCATGCTGGCATCACCAGCGTCTCCATCCGCGGCATCGCCTCGTCGGGAGTTGCGCCCGCGGTGCTGCTGCTGCTGCTGCGAGCCTGTCAATTCGTCTTCTGCTGCAGAACTGCCACCAGCTCTCTTGGCCCTTCCCCGTGTACGTCCAGCAATTTCCGCCTGTCGCTGTGGCTGCTGCTGCTGCTGCTTCTGCTCCACAGGAGCCGCATCCTCCTCTTCCTCGTCTTTGACTTGCCCGAGCTGCAGCTGCTGCTGCTGCTGCTGCTGCTCGGCAGCACCAATAGAGGCCCCACACTTTATCTGCTGTTGCCTATAGGCCGCCCACGATTCATCTGCTCCTTGTCTGGGATCTCCGAAGGGGCGCACCTCGCCAATTCGCTCGTCGCCCTCAGCAGACAAGACAAAGAAGCGGCAGCGACGTTGCAAAGACGAGACTATGCGGTGGTTTGCCAGAGAGACACTGCACGCAGGAGCAGCAGCAGCAGCAGCAGCACCGTGGGCAAGTGCGAAACAGGGTAAAGGGGACAGGCGAAGAGGACAAGATAAGACACCATCGCCAGCGTCTTTCGGTGTTAGCTGGCCCTTCCAAACACCCCCTCGTCGAGGACGCGTGCGGGAGGAGACGCAGGGGGAACCGCCGACAGAGCATGCATGCGGTGACAAAGGAGCATTGCACACATATCTTATATCTCAGGCAACTCGGGAGCTGTAAGCCCAGCGACCAACAAAGGAAAACTGTCTAGCAACGAGCTCCATTCAAGCTGGAATAAGCTTCGTTCCCTAAAAGTAGTGCCAACTGAAAAACTGGGAGACAACCAGCTAAAGGGTTCACAGATTCAGTAGTTTTTTCAGCCGAGGCTTGGGGCTCTGTATGAGGCCATCCAAGGCTCGTACCGTGAAGCCTTAGAGGAAGACAGCATACATCCCCCACAATGGGAAGCTACCTTCTATTAGGAGTTGCCAAGGGGGGCGGAAAAGCCTTCTTTAAGGGGGAAAAAGAGCTCTCTCAGAGTTCTTACTTGCATCTATGGGCCATAATGGAGGGCTGCAAGCCGAGCAGCACGCGAATTTCGCTGGCGAGAGCTGCAGGGAGTTGTAAGGCAGCATCGTATCCTCCGAGGTCGCAATTGTCTTCTGCGTAAACCCAGCCTCGCCAGCCGCCCCTGTCTCTTTCTAGGATGTATCGCTCTTTCTCGAGTTCTAGCTGTTGCAATGCCTCTGCCTCGGCTGCTAGCGGCTGCAGCTCTGCGGCTGCACTCTCCGCCGCTGCCGCTTTTACCGTTCCAGCGTCCTCTTCGTCTTCTGCCGCGGCAGCAGCAACTGCCGAGGAGGGTGTTTCCGCACTTTTGGGGATGGCGATTTTGGGGGGCAGCGCGTCGAAGCGAAAGTGGTGCTTGCTGCACGTCTTGGGTTGTCTTTTCACGGAAACGGAGAGATTGTAGAGGGCAGCCCCTTCGTCGTCACAAGTTCTTCTCCTGTAAAAGACATAATCTTCCCCAATCACCCGGCCCTTCTTCGTCAGATAGTGCAGCTGCATATCCATTATCGGGGGGGCCCCTGTCGCTCCCGTGGGGGGCCCCCCAGTGCGACCCTTTCGACCCTCCGGCGAAGCCACTGCCGCAGCGCTCCTTGGCGAGGGGGAGACGGCTCGCGGCGTCTCCGCTCTCTGACACTGGGAAAGGCTTCTATTGCTAGCGCTAGTGCTCCCCCCAGCTCCCTCTGCCTGCAGATCTCCCTGTTGGTGAGACTGATTCGCTGCAGCAGCGGGGTTCCCCCCGAACTGCGCATCCGCCTCGGGGAGGGAGAACGCTAGAGCAGCGCGACTCTTCTTGCCAACCGTGTAAGTCCGCAGCGATACCACTTTCGGCTTGGAATACACCAAAACACCCTGCCGTCGCAAGACTCCTTCGAAGAGACACGCAAGAGAAGCCGAGGAGAGGACCAAGAAGGGCCGCAGGTTCTGCCGTTCTCGACTTGAGCACGAGACAGGGCACAGGTAGGACGGCAAGACGTGCTGCGCGTCGCAGAAAGCGGCGTTTAAAGCAACACCAAACAGCAGCACACGGAAAAAGAAGTTGGGCTGGGGTAAGACGGAGCAGGCGGCACAGACAGACACGGTGAAGAGAGCAGAAAGAGGGGCTGGGGAAGAGGGATCTAAAAGGGCAGGACCCCTAAGCCTAACAGCGAAAACTCCCGTCAAGAATCTAAACAGCCTGTTTGCGCCTAATTTGAGGCAATAGACTGCATATGGGTGGCACTAACGCGTATGTGCGGGGCGCAGTATATGTGCGACAGCGACGAACGCACATACACATACACACATACACACAGACATGGACATACACATACACATACACATACACACAAACACACAGACATGGACATACACACACAAAAACATACGCACAACACACAGACATGGACATACACACACAAAAACATACGCACAACACACAGACATGGACATACACACACATACACATACACACATACACACAGACATGGACATACACACACCGACACCCATACACAGACACCCATACACATACACACCGACACCCATACACACACCCATACACACAAACACACAACACACCGACACCCATACACACAAACACACAACACACCGACACCCATACAAACACACCCACCGACACACCCATACACATACATAAACACACCCATACACACAAACACACAACACACAAACACACCCATGCACACACACCTATCTGAGAGTCGAAGAGACACGGCGAACTCGTGCCTAGTGAAGAGTTACCTGTATTTCCACGAGAACATCAGCCCCTTTCTCTGTCCAGACAAGGTATGTGCCTTCTTCCTCGAGACCAGGGAGAGGCAGGAGGCCTCTCGCATCGCTTCTGTCCATCCACACGACTTTGTGCTGCTCCCGCATAGCCCTCCTCACGAGCTCTCCCAAGCGGACAGACAGACAGCTCCTCTGAAACGCGAAAGCAGGCAGCTGGGGACCTCCACTGCCTCCGTTATTCCCCTCCTCTGCCCCCCCTGCTGCTGCTACGGGAAAGTCGGCACCCCGATGACTGCACTGCCTCCGAACCTTCCGACGCCTCATTGCAGCCAGACGGCTCAGACGAACGCTGCTCTTAGCCGCGACACGCGACCCCCGCAGGCGTTGCTGCTGCTGCTGCTGCATGTCTGCGCCAGCGGAATTTCCCGCTGCATCTTCGCCCTCCGTTGCACTCATGGTATCCTGTTCCTGCTGCAGACCCTCTGCCGCTGCTGTCGCAGTGGCGCGGGCGCGCTGCTGCTGCTGCTGCAGCTGTTGCTGCCTGCTGCTGCTCGCGACGACGCCCCCGCAGGATGAGGCGCCAGACGCAGTGGCAGTCGCTGCTCCTGCTGCAAGGGGCGTCGCTGAGACGGCAGCAGCAGCAGGAGCAGCAGCAGCAGCAGCAGCGGGCCTCATGATACCCGCAACTGTGCCGCGAGTGTGGCGGATGCTTTCTGCTGCAAGCATTCTTTCGGCGAGGGAGGGGGCCCCTTCGAAAGGCCCCCTCTTGAGCGACGCCCTTCTGCCCACTGCAGCAGTGGTGGCTATGGCCGCAATCGGCGAAGAAGAAAGAAACGGCTGCTGTTGTTGTTGTTGTTGCTGCTGCTGCTGCTGCTCCTGCTGCTGCTGCTCCTGCTGCTGCTGCGAAAGGCTGTTGTCGGCGAGCTGCTGGTGCAGCTGTTGCTGCTGCTGCTGGAGGGCGAAGAGCTGCCTCTCCCTGAAGCCGAAGAGACCCTCAGCGGTCGCCCCCCCCGAGAAGGGGCCCCCATCTGCGACAGGGGAGTTGTTAGCTGGCGAGACACTGTAGCCATGCGAAATAAAGCCTGCCAGCTGGGGGCTACCGTGTTGGACGTCGGAAGAGGCAGAGGGACTGTTTGCTGCTGCAGGGTCGAAGAAGGATTCGGAGAGCAAGCCTCCATTATCCCGTTCCCCACCGTCTCCTCCCGCAGCAGTCAGACAGCACGATGGACCCCCGAACGCCGCTGATTGAACTACTGAGAAAGCAGCATTGCGTGGAGCCTTAGCCTCAGGAGTCGGGAAGGGGTCTGAGGGAGCACCTCTGTCTAGAGGCTTGCTGTTACACTCCCCTTGTCTCGACTCATTCGCGCCGAGAGCTGGAAGCACCGAACTCTTGAATAATAGCGACGCGGGGGCCCCCGCTGCAAGGCCAGGGGCCTCCACGACCTCCCCGGGGCCCCCTAGCTCTGCGGGAACGACCGGTGGGGCCCCCATCGTGCTGCTGCTGGTGCCTAAGTTTGCTCCGATGAGCGGCGAACACGCCAACCCTACGGGAGCCGCCAGAGGAGGAGGCTGTTGCTGCTGCTGCGGCTGCTGCGGATCCATTGGCACGCAGAGACTTCTGGTGTTGCTGCTACTGCTCCTGCTGCTGCTGCTCCTGCAAAAGTCTCTCTCTGCTGCAGCTGCGCCGCACATACAGCTTTCGTAGCGGGGCCTGGTGTCTTGTGTTTTCTGCTATTGCCGCTGCCGCACGCGCAAGCGGGAGACGTGCCGCTCCACAGGGCCCCTGTGTGAGCAACGGACACCGCTTCTCGCCGGAGCAATAGACGGAAGCCCTCCAAAGTGAACTGTGTTCTTGGGAGTGACAGGATGAATCGAAAGGCGTGATGCGCCTGTTGCTGTGCTCTATCTGCTGCTACTGCTTCGACCGCCAGGCCGTAGAGGGGTAGCAGCAGCCGCAGCGGCTGTAGCGGCAAACCGCATCCGGCGGCAGAGACAGATCGAGACAGCGAAAAAACAAGATCGCAGAGTGCGAGGAGAAGTCACAGGGGGAAAAGACAAACAATCAATGGTTGCACTCTCCAGCAGACAGAAGCCCGGTGAGGGGGGGACGCGGGGAGGGGGCCCTACTGATCCTTTCGCATCATCAAGTGCGCGGGGCCCTGCTGCAGCTACTGGCTCTCTCTTAGCATTAAGGCAAAATACCAAGCAGACGCAACGTTATAATGCGGCAGCAGCAGCCGTAGCAGCACCTGCTGCTGCCCCCATACTGCACATACCCCTGCACCCCCCCTATGTTGGCGGTGGGGTCGCTCAGACACACACACGCAGCAGCACCCAAACTCCTGCTGCGACCTTCATAGCTCGCCCTAAACTGCAAGTGTCGGCCTATAATGCATTTTGACACGCCAGTGGCGATCTTGTTCGCTGCTTCGGAGGAGCTGGGGGCTCAGTGAACGCAATCGACGTCGGTGGATTCGGTGGATGGTCTTCCAGGGAGCATGTGTTCAAGGAGACGATTAGCTAGGCGAAAGCCTGTTCCCCGTTTGATGCCGGCAGGGAGTTAGTCACGCATTCACATGAGTTCCCTTGTTCTATATGCTGCTGGGGTCTGTTGCGTCTTCGAGGTAGGACTTAGGGCTCTGTGTGGCCTGCTACCACCCGTGCTGCTGCTCTAAAGGCGTTTAAATCCTACTCTTGAGCCTGGAAATACTTCGCTTTTGGCCCATCTAACCTCCACAAGTCTTGCCAGAGGCTCTACTCAGTCGACTTAGCTCCAATGCCAGTCCTGCCCGACCAGTTAGTCCCGTGTGGTTCAGAACATGCTTGTTTCGCCACGATACCCAGTTCAACTAGTCAAAGTCTCAACCTGCCCATGTCTTTGCTTAAGTAAACCACTTAAAAGGCTCCAGGTTGCTGTAGCTGATTAGAATTACGTTTGCTCGTTGTAGAATAACCTCCCGTTAGCACAGCTGCTCCCGACGCAGCTATGTGGAAAGCTCCTTGCGCTGCCTTTAGTTCTCTTCACATTGGGCTTCTTTCTCCCTCTAGTCTACGGCTTCTTCATATTGATGTCATTTTTAATTATCTACAACTGTAGTTGAAGCCCCGAAACCTTTAGATCCTCACTGTAACTGTACTGTGTGTGTACAAGGGTTGAAGTACGCTTGGTTCCGTGCTATTGACACGAATTACATTTAAAGATAGAAGTTTTAACTCACTAGCGTGTCTGTTCGTATGCCTTCGTTATCGCACAGTACCGTTACTTCGATACTAGATGACGCGATATTGTGTGCATTTGCGCTAGGTGTGGTGTGCAACTAGCTATGATCACTTTTAGTGCTTAGCGGGTGCAGCTTCGCGCACCCCAACTCTCCGCCGCCCATTATTTCGTGTATTCTGAGGATCGCGGGCAGCGGGAGAAGCTTTTGTGAAATCACTCAGTAATTCTCTACTTCAAACGGTTTGTATCTAGTCAGGTGTTGGGTATCGCCGTACGGAGACCTTAAATGAAGCATTACGCTGCAACTTCTAGCCCCCTTTTGATCCCCTCGGAGTTTTCCGGTTTCGCTTTGCTACCTGATGTACGCGTGACCTTCAAATTATTTGATTGCACTACAACTAAAAAGAGGCGGTGGACGAATTGTCAAGCGGACATCACCTGTAAAGCTCAAGATTTCCCCAAGGAGATAGTCAATGACAGACTTAATGCAAACTCCAGTAAAAATCATAGAGCTAATCTACGCCTGGTGATACGGTCGGTGCGAGCAGCAAAGTCGATTTTCAAGCCACACAAGACCCTTGGCAAAAGTGTACAACCAACATGCCTCTGAGTACCTGCGCATAAATCTGGGTCTAAAAATCACACTGATAACTATAGTCTGGAGTTGCTCATGCAATACTCGTAGGCGACAGCAAGTATCTCATGCAGAACATGCGATGCTGGAAAAAAAGACAGCTACAGAGAAGAGCAAGGTGTGGCAAGGTGTCGCAAGCCGTAGCGGCCACTGTTGTAGGCCAAACAAATCTGTGAGGTGTTCTACAAGCAAAGAAGCTTGCAACTACTTCTCTGTCGACCACTGAGCTTTTACCACCCCACCTCGCCAGAAGAAGCTTCCGTCCAGCGCATCTTAGGCGCTCACTAGTCGTAGAACTCAGCATATCTATGGCCCCTGCGGCTCCTTCACCACCGGAGAGTGTAATTTCCAACGCAGTAAAATCCATGTGCCGCTCAATGAATTTTAAAATCTTGTAGGAGGCCAATATTAATAGTCCTGAGTCATCTATATTCACCTTTGGGGAAAGCGATGGAATAAGAGCGAGCCTTGATAGATGAGACAATCGCTAGTGGTTAGGCACCTGGCCACAAACGTCTGTGTAGATTTGCTGTTCCATGTACTCTGTTTGCCTGTCGATCTACCAGAATATGTTCTCCAGTCCCAAACCGAACAGCCGACCGCTACCCATTGTAGTCATGTAGTTATAGTCCCTGATTGCTTCCCACATATGGTTGGGCACAGACCAACAGCTCTCTCAATATTTTTACCGCTGAGGGTGGCTGCTGATGCCAAACCGCCGAGTTCAGGCCCGGATCTAAGATGGCCTTCACGGGCAAGAGTGCAGGAGAGCGACAGGTACAACAGCATGCGGTTGTGTAATAAATCTACACAACACAAGGGAGCAGACAAAGTGAGACGATGAGATGTTTTGCGAGCGTGCAGTCGCAAATGCTGCAGAAGAGTGCAGTGCGCTCTGTTTGCCTATCTGCCTCAGTGTAGTCCCCGGTGGCCATACTGTCGATATGCAGGCGGGTTATAGAGGGTACGCCGAAACGTACAGACGATGGATTTCGCATCCCTCTCAGTAATAAGTTTTCTGGAGAACCCGCAATGCCTCAATACATTAGTCGATAATAATTGCGTGAATTTCTGGGCCAGGACAGAGGTACAGCAATGGACAAAATGGGCTTCTTGGCCGAGTTTGTCAAGAGCGACGTAGATGCCCTCATGGGCCTTGACCTCCGGCAAATCAACTACAAAGTAGGGTCGGCTCAGCTTTTCAGCAGACAACGGCTTTGCAAAAGGTCGGGTTTGAAAGCCCTTGCGCCGTCAGCTGCTGACATTGTGGGCGTGATAGCGCTATATCCTTCGCCGCAAAGCGCACCCTAGAGCGTTAGAAGAACCATGAGAACATTTCCATTGAAATGAGAAATTTGATTTTTGAACCTCAGAAGGTCATTCTCAGCATGGTAATGCTGCAGCCTTATGTCATTCTGGAATTCGCCAATTGTAGCGGATGCATGATTGGTAAAAGCGTACGATGCACGTTCTTTCAATCAAAACCTTAGATCAGCACAGACAAGAGTGAGCGAGCGCCAAGTGGTAAAACGTTGGGTCTTCGCGCAAGATACTTCCCAGCTACGTTGGATAGATCCTTTATATACTGCGCCTGAGTCGAAGTGCAGGAGGCACCCATCTCAGCGCCCAACTCGAACCAACAAAAATTCTACAAACAGTTTGCGAGGTACAATTAAGGCTGATGGTCAATCTAGACAGGAGGAGAATGCCCACATAAATAATGCCTGTATTGTAGCATTCCATGCCATACTGCAGAAGAGTTCGTTTTCCTCCACTGGATGCCCTTGCTCGGTTTAGTGAAGAGATAAAAATGAAAAACACGTTTGTTGTTGTGGCGAGCTCGGTTCTTGTTTTACGAGAGCAAATAGCACCCACAGACACGTCAATGGTCAGTGTCACAATTGGAAAGCTCCAGTACTGTATTAGTTGTAGGTCGACCGAGAAGCGTCCTTGTTGCGGAAGTAGCCTCGTACGCTCGGCTGATGGCCTGCGGCTTCCGAGATAGACGCCTTAAAGGGGTAGCGATTACGCAAACCCACTAATGAAATCTCCGTGTTACAACGTAAGCCCATGAAACTTCACAACGTCCCAAAGCGTGGGTGACGGAGAGGGCCACGCCTCCATTGCTTCAATCTTTTTGGCGGATCCGCTCAATTCCTGCATCTGAAACACTGAATTCCAAAAGCACAACTGTTATAATGGTACACAAACTCCCGCGTGCCTTCACTTTTTACTGCTTATCCGGCAACATCTCAAGTGAAGGCCTTGTGCGTATGTGCCGTGGGTGACGCTGAACGTTTAGGGTGGAGCCGAGGACGTAGTCCATGGAGGCAGCCAATCACTCTTCCTTGATAGACTCACAAAATAGCTAAAAGCTTGCTGTTGTAGCTCGGCGAAAGATATTGGCAATTTCAAGAGGCTGACAGGTACGCTGCCGTTTGCAATTGCGAGTGTGGAACGTCATTTTGTGCGTCTCATTAGCGGGAATGGAGATGTGTTAGGTGCCAGAAAAGTCAAATGTGATGTAAGCTGCTGGTTCGTGCTCGTTGTCAAGTAAGTCGCCAATGTGAGCCATGGAAAGCCTTCGATTCATAAAATCTTGCACAGGGTCTTATGGCTGACGCACAAGCGTCACCATCCTTTCTTAGCACCAACACAAATTTGTGCCAAAAAGCGCAAGCGTATTTCTAAATTTCCCACACTGTCAGAAAGTTGCTGCTGCAAGCGCTGTTCGATTCCTGAGCAGTTGTCTTTCGTAATAAACCATGGAACATGCTGAGCACAACCATCACTGACGTAAACAAGCACTTAGGTGCAACAGCCCTAGGAGACCTTACATTCTGCTCCCCTTCAGCAACCTTACGACTTAGACATTGCGCTAAAGAATGCACAAGCTATTTCACCTCTGTGGCGTTTTCTCGGATAACAGCTCCACTGCCCACCCAGTGTCAAGCAACGCTAGCGATGCGAGGCCAATGTGACCTTTCTGCCCACAAGTGACCCGTTATGGATCCCCAGCTGTCATTCTATCCTTGATAGCCCTATTCGCTGCACAAACAAAAAGTGTGCCCAGTTGCTCCTGAATCCTTATGTGCTCCATCGTTTGCAGTAGGCCCACTCACCAGTCGGTTGTTTAACAGCTGGATCGCTGCCCACCCTGCGACCACATGACCTGACACCTCGAGTAATGCTGGGTTAGACCCCTGATAATCCAGCTGCCTGCTTACGTTGTGGCATTCTGCAAACCACAGTCTCATGTTTACTCATATATGATCTACTGATAGATTCTTTCGTGTTTTGCTTTTCTCTTCCAAGGCTCGCTGTTATGCTTATATCGGGCCACCATTGAAGTGCCTCTCCCTTTGAAATACACGCTGTCAGGATTACAGGCTCCTCTTCATCTGGGAAAGCAAAGCGTGGTACATTTTCAGCGAAGCGATGAAATCCTCAAGTACTTGCCCTTACTCATGTTCATCATACTTTGCCGGTAGGAAGAACTACACTGCCGCATCCGTAGACACTTTATCGGCTTGCTAACCATGCCTTTCGACCAGATGTTGAGGGAGCGTATCACTGCGGCTTACAGGACGGCCTCTGGCTCTTTAATATGCTTTACTACCGCAGATCTCATCACTAATACGGTTTTACCCCCCAGCTTGTTGCCAAGAAGAAACAGCATAATGACAGCACATAAATTGATCAATACCAAAAACCTGTTGTAGGGAAGCTGAAATTTCAATGCATCTACAGCCAGTGGACTGGGAAAAGCAACCGCATGAAATCATATGGAGCCATCAACTGCAACTCTTCACTTCTGGTCTTCGTATCGAGACACTTTACCCCAGACTCAATACAAGCCACTGAAAAAGCTATTGAAAGCTTTACTAAAGAACTTCGCCTACCCCTGCCTGATCCCTTTAGAGTTCCATCGTGGGATACAAAGAGGGTCAGAGAGCTAGGAAGCTGTGTGTAGCTGCATCCCTCAAGCACTCCAAGCGTTCACAGCTAGGCGCACATCGCATTCAGCGAACATGCACACTACACTTTGTCTTCTTGTGTAGAGCTGATGCTACGCTGTAATAAATCAGATACATGAATAGGTGAATCATTCAGCGAATGTGTGATCACTTCACAGTCTAATATAACTAGTTTCAAGTGCACCCTAGGCCTTCACAGTTAGGCTGGCACTAACTTACTCAGGAGAGCCTTGACAATACACTGTTCTACAGAAGGGGTGGGTGTAGCTCCGGCTGAGCCATGTTTTGATACCTGCGCCGCTTTCAGTGAAAGCCGCCGTTGTAGGGAGCACTCCAAACATCCCGCACAGCGGAGTTCGCTTCATGTCAGAAAAGTCAATGTAATGTGTCGTTGCAGAGAGAAAATGAGATGCACGATCGACAGGCCCACCGCTTGGTTCGATTTTAGGCCGCCAGGACCCCACTAGTTATACTGTGTTCAGTGCAGTAACGCCCTTCACAGTGATCGTCAGAGGAGTGTCATTGTATAGCGCTGGACCACGCCCCTACACGACTCTCGCCTAAGAAAAATTTATTCGGTGGCCACAGCAATCTATCAAGATTCAAGGCTCGCACCCATTTTGTGTCACTCGCACCCTCGTGGCGGCTTCAAAAATGTGTAAAGGACCACATCTGTACTGCCGCCCCATCCCCCGCCTCATGGGCAGGCAAAGGCGTCCACGCAACAGTTCAATTTTGCCGGTGGTGAATTAAGGAATGTTTTAGGTAGGCGAAACCCGTCACGGTGAAAACAGAAAGCGCACTGCAACTACGGCACACCGGACTACAGGGTAATAGGAACCGGTTTTAAAGGAACCCGCATGATAGACACGGGGTACCGCTTCAGGCAACAGGGCGGAATTCCTCGAATCAGACAATGAGCCTTCAGAAACGAGGTATCTTTTGAGCATGCCGAATGATTGGGAGGGGTGATAATAACGAATTTGATGTTGGGGGAAAGGGGCCTCAGGGGGCCTCGCAAGATCAGGTACCTGGGGGAAGGGCTGCATGCAGGGAAAAATGAAGGTTTTTCCGGCTACGCCTGCAGTCATAACAACGCCGGTGGAAAATCCCTCCTACTGTTACACACTTAAGGAATGAGCGACATTCTAGTAGCGCCTTCCGCCATCTCTAGCAGCGACGGCAGCACAGCGTAAGATGGAAGGCGCAGCAGAAGGCCTAGGAGGAAAGGCGAGATCCGCAGGAGGTAAATGGAATTCCCAATGTTTCATGAGCCTGATTTATCGACTGAAGTACCGAAACCTGTCTCCACAGTTCATCGCCGGCGTCATCAAGACAGGAACCATCTGCCGCACACTGTGGCCACTTCTCCCTCCTCTGATGTTGTTGCAGTATATTCGACAGGTGAGACAGAAAAGCGTATGCTCATGCTGGACAGCATATTGTTGCGTTTTACACATGCTGTAAAGCTAGCTCTTTGTCGCTTCCCCCCTCACTGCTAACGGCTGATGCTCGTGTCAGCCCTGCACTCTTCGCTTCCCCTCCTATGCATCCTCCCGTCTCGCCTTATGGGCTCGTCATCTTGTGTCACATCCATTTGTGCGGCCTCAGACTGATGCAGAAATGCGATCCATAGAACAGCTGGCCTCAGCAGCGCATGCCGCGGCTCAAGAGCAGGGGACTCATAGCGCACCTCCGATTCTGTCGTTTCTAGATCTTAGAAAGCCAGGGTGGACAGGGCATTGGCGCTTCCAGCAGGACCTTGCAATCATAAGAGACAGAGTCAACAAGCCAGATGCGCAAAACTAATGCAAGCCCGCCTATCGACTGGGAGAATTGCAAATCACACTACTGAGCCGTCGTGCATGCGACAGCAAAGCTGCTGTGCACACACACACACACATATATATATGTATACATACACTCTAGATATTGTATAAGCACAGTATTTTTGCTGTCTGTTACACCCGATGCTGCCGTCCGGAGTGCTAGCGCATGCGTCACCTGCAGGAGCACCAACTGCCGCGGCAGGCACCACGGGAATGTGCAGCAGCGCCAGCCGAGTCGAAATGTTGCAGCTGCAGTAGGACCAGTTCAACAAACTTTGTGATTCATGAGCGCCTTTTGTAGCGTGCGCATGCATGTGCCAACGTGCACATGTTTGTGTTTGCGTGTGTGGGCGCCTGGATTAGCCGGTGGGGGCGCGGTGTCCACATCCAATGGAAGGAATTGCAGTTGAAGTTTGGAGAGCGTCAGATAAACTAAATAGCTATTTGAGTTGCGCAAAAACAGTGTAGATACTTGAACACTCGAAGGGGCTCCTAGTGCCTCTTTTCTGTCCCCTTAGCATGAGGGGCAATAGGTGGGCGGCCTTCGGGCAGTCCACAATTAGCAGCACCAAAAGGGGTCATATACGGCAGCAGCAGCTCTAGAAAGGTACGGTGCATGCACTGCGCTGCTGCTAGCGGCCCAGTCTTAAGTGTCGTAGCCTAAAGGCCTCTAGAGTCTCTTGCACGCGTGTTGCTAGACCCCTTGTCTCGTGTTGCTGCAACGGAAGGCTGGCTTCCCTGTGCTCCCAGTGCTGCTGCAACGGCGGCTGCTGCTGGTGCTGCCGCAGCTGGACGCAGCGGCCGAGCAACTCAGCTTCCGCCAGTAATAGCGGGGGCACACTGCAGGCAGAGAAGGGTGTCAGACACCCAAAAGGTGACAGCTCCTCCTGCAGCCGTCCAAGCAGCGAAGGAAGCAGCAGCTGCAGCATCAACAGCAGCTGCTGGGGCAGCTCCCAAAGGGTGGCTCCATAGGCTTTCCTGTGATGCTGCTTCGAAGCGTCTTGACGCAGGAGGAGTCGTGAGGCTACACCCTGAGTGACCCGGCAGGCAAGATACCAAGTTGCCGTTGAGCATACCTCGGCAATAGAGCGCAGGAGGAGCAGCAGAGGAAGCTCTGCCCGCAGCAAACACCGTGGCACCGGAAAATCGCCACCTGTCAATAGCTGCTCGTATACAGAAGAGGCACGAATTACCTCTTCGCTCGGAAGCGTATAATGTGCGCTCCCAGTATTCACGTTGCTGCTGCTGACGCAGTCGTCTTGCACATGCTGCTCTGCTGCAGCACCAGCGCCTTGCTGCCGCAACTCACTGCGCGGCGAAAACTTGCAGCCCTCCTCGCCTCCGTGCCCGTATCTAGGCATCCCCTGGCGAAGAGTATTCCCATTGCTCTCTCTTTCGACAGTCTGCTGACCGCTGCTGCTGGCGCTATTCCTACTGGCTGCAGCAGACTCCCCACTGCTACAGCTGCCGAGAAGAAGGCCGCTACTGCTCCTGCTGTAACTCCTGCTGCTGCTTCCTGTGCTACCGCAGCAGTGGCTTCCCTTGTTGTGCTCGTCACCCCAGCAGCTCTCTACGTGGGTGCTAGGGCAATTGAAGCTGCCACAGTTTCTGCGGCTGACACGCGTGAGCCTGTTTGCAGCGTACAGATTGAGCAACTCCGGAAGGGCGCTGCAGCCACAGAGAAGCCTCACCTTCAGGATATCCCCTTTGCCTTCATGCTGCCGCTGCTGCTCCCGTCCTCCCCGACGCACGCAGATTAAGATAGGTGAGTGTAGAACCAACAAGTCTTCGTTAAGGGGCCTGTTCTTCTGCTGCTGCTCCTGCTGTTGCTGCTGCTGTGGTGCGCTTGTCTCTTCCCATGCCTCCAAACTTAGCTGCTGCAGCTGCTCCACCAGCTGCTGCCTGTGCTGCTTCAATGAACAGACACCCGGAGCATCGCTGAAGGTTAAGTGGCTAAGGCCCCCAAGAAACGCAGCAACAACCGCTGGTAGCAGCAGCTCCTGTACACACACGCTGGTGCCAGCAGCTGCTCCTGCGGTTGCTGCGGCGGCACTGCACGCTGCTTCCGCTGCTGCCAGCAGCAGCAGCTCGTTGCTATTGAATACGATCAGCAAATGAGGAGGAGGAGCAGCTGCTGGTGCTGCAGCTCCTCCTCCCACAGGTACAACAGCATTCTTGACCACGCTACTAGGCTGCTGCCGCAGCGTGCGCCTACGGGCTAGAGCTACAACCGAGTTTAGCAGCAGCCGATATACAGCCGCCGCAAGCGAGAAGCAGAAGAATCCGACAAGCAGAAGAAGCAGGCATGTATGCTGTATGAGAGCCTCTGCAGGCTTTGTCCACTGGCGTAGGTCGTGCTTCTGCGGCTGCAAGCAGCGGCAGCTGCAGTTGCTGCAAGTTTTGCCCTTGTCGCAACTCCAGATTCGAGTGCCCCACGAGCACGTGCTGCTTTTGCAGCTGCTCTGCAGCAGTGGGTGGGCGAGGGAAGCTGGCATATACAGAGACGCCTCGGAGGGCGCTAATGTTGGCGATGCGTTCCTGTTGCTGCTGCAGCCGTTACCACTGGGGTAATTGCTGCCGTTTGCGGAGCCACACGCCAGCATGACTGTGTGTCTTCTGCTGAGGAGGTGACGAGAGCTGCAACTCGTCGCTTCTCGAGTTTGTCCCACAGGTGCAACAGGAGCGGCAAGCCTTAAGCGCCGCTCGTGCCGCTGCACCGGCTGCCCCCAGCACAAGCCAAGGGAAGACTAGGAGGAATCAATCGGTGCGGAAGCCCGCGTCTCTACTTAGAGAAGGGGGAAAGATATCAAGAAACTAGAAAGTGAGGCGCCTGCCACGCCAGCAACAGTGAAGGAGGGCGGGGCAGGGGAGGGGGAGGGGGGAGATGGAGGACACACAGCAGTTGCGGCACAGTGCCTTATTAGAAACTGCTGCACAGGCATCATGAAAAAAGAAAGGAGCAAATACTCAGATCCACCCCCGCATGCCTCACGAATACCACCCAAAGTCGTAGAGGCTGAACCACAGTGACCTGCCAGTGGCGTTTCGCTCCGCTTCGGCGCTGCTAGCAGTGCTGGCCGGTGGCCTTTATAGTATGATTGACTTTTGTTGCCATTCATTGAGATCCTATTGACAGTAGCGCTTTCTTGCTTTCCAAGTTGCTTCTCCAACTTTAGGCGTTCGAGCGACGAACTTGCGACAGTCCACCAAAGCGCGTTTTCCTAGACGAAGCGATCGGGTCGAAAGGCGCCACCCGCTTTTCTCCCCTAGATTTGCTCGCATTTCCCACCATTCCGCGTTCATTGATAAAGCTCCGGAATTTCAGCCGGAAAGATACCTCCGTGTACACCCCAGCGCCGCTGACTGCCACAATGGCGCAGCACCAGGACCCTAACCAACAGCCGTTCCCTCAAGCATACGGCCATCAAGGGCCCAGGGAACCACCGGCTTACCCTGCAGGCCCTCCTCCGCCAGCTGCAGCTTACGGCGTCGCAGGAGGCTACCCAGGCAACAATCAGCAGGGGAACGCATATGCTGCTCAATACGGAGGTGCCCCCTACCCAGCCACCTACGGGGGGCCGTATGCGGGTATGCCTCCTCCATACCCACCCGCTGCCCCTGCGTATGCGGGGGCCCCTGCAGGGGTATATCCCTACGCGCAGCAAACTCCGGTCTATGGCAAGGCAACGAACTCGGGTGCGACAGCAGATCTGGGGTTTAGGGGTTCCTTCTCTTCGCCTGTTGCTCTGCACAGCGCACAGCGGTCGGGAACGCATCTGCAGCCAATCGAGGACGCTAAGAATGTGCATAAAGTGCTGGATCTTGCGCCTCTGTTTCGACAAGCTGCGTTGACGCGCAGCTTGTCAAGACTTACACATTGCCCTTTGTGCAGTCTGCTTTTGCGTTTTCGCAGTACCAAGCAGTATGGAAATGGGAGGCCTTCCCCGGCATCCCTCGGCAATGGCAGAAGACAAGATAACGGAAGAATCGAGCATCGAGATCCGTCACGCCTTCCTCCGCAAAGTTCTTGGCATTCTTGCCATTCAAATCCTCGTACGTCCTAAACCCTAATTTTTAAACCCAAAGAGCTCTCAGCGAGCTACTTGGGTATAGACTGGCTTCAAGGCTCGGCCAGTGCTCTTGAGGCCGTTTCTTCTGTCTTGCATAAGGTCGAACGAAAGGAATTCGCCGTTCTGTGCCGGGGTTGGGGGTGCTGCTTTCTCTCAGTTTACGTTCGGAGTCTCTTCAGTCTTTGGATTCGTGCCGGCTCTCCGATCCTTCCTGCTCAACAACTACTGGTTGGCTATCGTTGCCGCGATCGGCGGCCTCGTTTTGCAGCTTGGTGAGGTTTGTGCACGCGAAATACGCTGTGAAGCTTCTGACACGTAGCTTCGCGCTTCTAGCACCGAGAATACCACATTCCCGTGGTGTGTGCACTGTAAGTCTTGCTGCTGTTTGTAACAGCAGCACAGCATGTGCTAAACTCCGACCATTAGGGGGATGGGGAAGGCACTCTACAATGCATGATGCATGCTGTGTATGTGTGTGTTGTGGGAGCCACGTGATCGATGTCAAGAGCGTCCTTCGGTGTTTTCTTGTGATGCGCAGTACTGGTGTGCGTTCCCAACCTGGCGCGCAAGGTGCCCGCAAACTTTATGCTTATGACGCTCATTACTTTCTGCTACGCTATTCTACTCTCCTGCGCCGCCGCTGCCTCCTCGTGGCAGGCTTTCCTAATTGCAATCGGTTCCACCTTTGTTGTGGTTGTGGGCCTAATGCTTTTTGCCTGCCAAACCAAATACGACTTCACGGGTGAGGCGTAGGTGGATCAGCGCTCAGAGTCGGACTTGGAAAGACGAATGATGCAGAGCCGACGGACATGGGACTGTTGTGGCGTCTTTGCCCGTTGCTGAAAGCTAAAAACCGTTAAAATCTCGGTGCTTGTTGTACTATCGTGTGCTTGCGCGACTCAGGATGCGGGACGTATCTCTTTGTTGCAATGATGTGCCTCTTAATATTTGGGATTTTGTGCATCTTCTTTACCAACCGAGTCATGCACCTCGTGTATTCAAGCATTGCAACGCTCCTCTTCTGTCTTATTCTCGTCTACGATACCCAGGCATGGCCAAAACCTTAGGACGATTTCAGCCCCTGCCTATATAGCGGCCCTACTTGTGGATCTGCAGCCTGCAGTCCAATCTGTGCATGGTTTCTGTTGCTCCGAATCTTTTTTTCTGGGCTCTTCCCGAGGCGGATTGGTCGAGCGTTCTTCCTGTGCAAGGGTTTGTTTTTATGCTTTGCGTGTGCAGTTGGTGGTTGGAGGAAAGCACCGGCGGTACCAGTATTCCATAGATGACTATATTTTTGCGGCTTTGACGCTCTACATGGATATCATTATCATCTTCATGAACATCCTGGCGATTGCAGACAATTCATAAATTCCAAGTTCCACACCCTGAGCCTCTAGCCCAAAAGTTCTTGGAGGCTCAATCGCTGTACATGCAACCCAGCATGGTCACGGCGACGCGTGCATGCATGAAAGCTTCTAGCCCTTTCCAGGCGCGTGATAGAGGAAATAATCCATGCGCCAATCCCCAAGCCGCACAATTTTCTCGTAAATCCGAGTGTTGAGAGAGCGCGGCCAGGCTTCAATGCGAGCCGGGGGCCGCGCAGTACGCCTGCACTCGCCGAATAGGGGCCTAGCAGAAGAATCTGTGTTTTTCCTTTTGTCTCCCGTTAGAGGGAGAGATGTAGGAGGAGCAGAGGGGGGAGGCTGCTCTGCTGGGTCGCTGACAGCCTTCTGCCCTCCTTTTTCGCCTTCCATGCAGGGCGTGTACCAGTTTCTCTTTTGTTGCTATGGCAATGCTCCTTGGGGTCTAAAGGTTTAGCGATTTTGTTCGACGGGGAGCGCTGTCGATGCAAGGAAGAGTTGGCTGGGTGGCTGTGGCGCACCGGTGTGCAGACACCCAAATCGGCCCGTTGGGTATGTACACACCCGAGGAAGAGATGCATTTAGCCCGCAGAGCTTTTCCTTCGCAGGGATGGATAGCGAGAGCTGCGCAGGGGCTAGCCGGCGTAACAATCTCTCTGTTCCAACGCGCCGCAGAGAGGTTCCCCGAGGAACGTACACCTCAGATCGCGAAAAACGGGGTGACATTGTGTCACGCATGCTCCAGGCTTCCCTAATAGGGCTGCTAGTGGCCCAGCGGCAAGCCTCTTTCGTATAGGCGCGTGTTTCGCCGGTCGAAGAGAAAATATCAGGGAACTCTGGCTGTCTTGCCCGCCGTAGCTTTCTGCTTCGGGGTGCATGCTGCTGCCGCAGACGCTCTCTCAGAGGGTTTGTGCTCGTGCGTGTGTCTCACTATCTAATAATTGGCCTTTCTCTCGGTGTGTCGCTGTGAAAGTCTCTTTCCACCATCTCCGCAGGGCTGCTGTCTTCCCCACTCTACTCCTCCTAGCCTTGGTTGCGCTGTCAGACCTTATAGCTGCCATGTGCCTTGTGTATGGCGCCTAATGCTCTCAGTATTATCCCTCTCTTTTCTTCTGCCCGATGCTTGCCACATTCGTCACAGAGGCACCTCTACGTCGCCGTTCGGGAAAGTACGTTTGAGTGGATTCGGCAGTAATAGGTGGGACGGAGCGGTAGCAAGTGCCTTTGACAGTTTCCTGGCCTCTTATAGAATCCTTGATTTCCTGTATTCGCTTTGGCGTCTACGATCTCTAGAGGAAATCTCTTCACATGAGCTCGATACAATTATTGTAGAAAGTTATTGAGCCTTTTTTTGAAACAGCTTCCTCCTCCCCCCCTCCCACCGGAACCCCTCAGGAATTCCGACAGGCAAGGAGAAAGACGGAGAGCTAGGATGCGCGTTACTCCACTCTCTAAGCACTCAAAGCGTTTACTGCTAGGGGCATATAGCAACCCGTGTACACGCACACACCATTGCTTTTTGTAGCGCGCTGGTGAAAATCTGCTATTGACAAGTTACATACATCAATAATTAACGCTATCATTTCCTAGATAAATTGTACTTTGCGGACTAAGAAGTGCTCAGATAGTTAGTCCGATTTTCCGTATTCCCTCATCTTAGAGCATATGCCGTGTGCTCCTACCTGTCACTCGAGTGCGGGTGCGTGCACGACATTGTATCTGTTGCCTTTCCCCAAGCAGGCAAACAGGCGAAGGCAGTGCAAATAAGGAAGAAAATCGTATGCGTTCGCCTGTCAACAGAAATCCAAGGGAAGAAAGATACTCACAACTGACCAACAACGAACAGAGGAAAAGGCCGACAAGACCGCAGAGGCGTGATGACTCGCTACTGTGGGAGGGCTGAAATGTGTGTTCCTCCTGCTACAAGACAGTAGAAAAAAAGGAAAATGCTTACACGGAATTGAAGCGTACACCAGTTTCGTAGTGCGTTAGCGCCTCACACATCAATCTCTGCTTGCCAGTACAGCGGGTACGAGCAGCAGAGTCGATTTCCAAGCCACAGAAGACCCTTGGCAAGGATGTACCGCCAACGTGCCTCTCAGTGCCTGCGCATAACTCTGTGTCTAAAGAGCACATCGATAATTATAGCCGGGATTCGCTTAAGCAATACACGTAGGTGACAGCAAGTATCTCATGCAGAGCATGCGATGCTGAAAAAAAAGACAGCTGTAGAGAAGAGCAAGAGGTAGCAAGCCGTAGCGGCCACCGTTGAAGCCAAACAAATCTGTGAGCTGTTCTACAATCATAGAAGCTTGCAATCACTCCTTTTTCAATCACTGAGCGAACTTCACCCCACTTCACCAGAAGCTTCCTTCCAGTGTATCTTAGGCGCTCACTAGTCGTAGAATTCAGTATCTCTACGGCCCCCTGAGGATCCTCCGCCACTAGAGAGAGAATTTTCCAGCGCAGCAAAGTCCGTGAATTACTCATTGAGTTGTGAAGCTTCGTATGAGGCCAATATCAGTAGTCATGTGCCATATTTATTCACCTTTGGGGAAACCGATGTTATAAGGGTGAGCCCAGGTGGGCGAGACAATTGCTAATGGTTAGGCACCCGACCGCAAGCTTTTCCGCTTGTTCACCTTCCATTGCACCTCGTAGATACTCCAGGCCGTTGCAACCATAAATTCGCACTTGCTGTTCGTTGGCTTCGCTATACATGTACTTTCGTCGGACAGCAACCTTGAATTCCTCCGCCGCTGAGCGCAGCTGTCTATCACGGATCACCTGGCTCAACACCGGAGCGGAAATGGGTTCCTTACTATAGACAAAGGGCGTGGGAGAGTAGCGGGTAGATCAGTGAGATCAGTCCAAATTTTTGTGGAGCCGGAATGCTCTACAAGTCGGGTTTAGCAAACGATTGCGGCTTCAGCTGGTGACACTGTGGGCCTGAAAGTGCGTATACCTCTGCTCCAGAAAGCTTCCAAGATCATCAGAAGGACCGTGAGGACTTTAATGCTGTAATGTAAGTCCCAGTATGGCCCTAAAGTACATGATCTTATACTTCATGCAAAGCGGAACTGTAAAGTTAATTGGGAACGCAGGACAAACACGGACCCCCCGCCTCGTTTTAAGCCCCAGAAGGTCGTTTTCTTGATGCGCTCCATGAGGCAACAGTCTATTCGGCAATTGACTTCGCAAACAGATGACAGGCACAAAAACGCGTTCCACATGGTACTGCTTCACTCGTTTGCCATTCTAGAATTTGTCAGCTGTAGCGGCGGATGCATGATTGGTAAAAGCGTACGATGCACGTTCTTTCAATCAAAACCTTGGATCTGCACAGACAAGAGTGAGCGAGTGCCAAGTGGTAAAACGTTGGGTCTTCGCGCAAGATACTTCCCAGCTACGTTGGATAGATCCTTTATATACTGCGCCTGAGTCGTAGTGCAGGAGGCACCCATCTCAGCGCCCAACTCGAACCAACAAAAATTCTACAAACAGTTTGCGAGGTACAATTAAGGCTGATGGTCAATCTAGACAGGAGGAGAATGCCCACATAAATAATGCCTGTATTGTAGCATTCCATGCCATACTGCAGAAGAGTTCGTTTTCCTCCACTGGATGCCCTTGCTCGGTTTAGTGAAGAGATAAAAATAAAACAAGCACACGTTTGTTGTTGTGGCGAGCTCGGTTCTTGTTTTACGAGAGCAAATAGCACCCACAGACACGTCAATGGTCAATGTCACAATTGGAAAGCTCCAGTACTGTATAAGTTGTAGGTCGACCGAGAAGCGTCCTTGTTGCGGAAGTAGCCTCGTACGCTCGGCTGATGGCCTGCGGCTTCTGAGATGGACGCCTTGAAGGGGTAGCGATTAAGCAAACTCACTAATGAAATCTCCGTGTTACAACGTAAGCCCATGAAACTTCACAACGTCCCAAAGCTTGGGTGACGGAGAGGGCCACGCCTCCATTGCTTCAATCTTTTTGGCGGATCCGCTCAATTCCTGCATCTGAAACACTGAATTCCAGAAGCACGATTGTTATAATGGTACACAAACTCCCGCGTGCCTTCACTTTTTACTGCTTATCCGGCAACATCTCAAGTGAAGGCCTTGTGCGTATGTGCCGTGGGTGACGCTGAACGTTTAGGGTGGAGCCGGGGACATAGTCCATGGAGGCAGCCAATCAACTCTTCCTTGATAGACTCACAAAATAGCTAAAAGCTTGCTGTTGTAGCTCGGCGAAAGATATTGGCAATTTCAAGAGGCTGACAGGTACGCTGCCGTTTGCAATTGCGAGTGTGGAACGTCGTTTTGTGCGTCTCATTAGCGGGAATGGAGATGTGTTAGGTGCCAGAGAAGTTAAATGTGATGTAAGCTGCTGGTTCGTGCTCGTTGTCAAGTAAGTCGCCAATGTGAGCCATGGAAAGCCTTCGATACATAAAATCTTGCACAGGGTCTCATGGCTGACGCACATGCGCCATCATCCTTCCTTTTGCGCACCAATGCAAAGTTGTGCCTGGAAATGCTCGCCGACTCTTGATCTTTGCCTTTTCCAACTCATCTGACCGTCGCTTAAGCTTTTCTCCACGCTGTAGAGGCTTCCGACTGCAAAAAGCACTAGCTAGGGATTTATTATGGGATTAGCTCATACGGCAGGCCGGACGACCGGTAGATGGCCAGCCCTCCGCCAGCTCGTCAGTGTTTGCACATCCGCGAGATCCTTGTTGGTCGTTGCCCATTCCTGCTATTCCTTGACAGACCCTAAATAGAATTCCCTTCTACACTAGCAATGGCAGAGCCAGTGGAACTGCTTGCCCACCCAGAACCATTCGCTATTACATTTTTTGCTGTGCCGCCCACCCAAATACTATGCCTCCTCTTGTCGAGGTTTAGATTCTACCTTGCTCACCGTATGTTAAACACGCGTCAAACCGCGACATGTATCTTCGTAGAGCTTCCCAGCATACTAACGCCCACCGCGTGAATGTAGCCGCATGCATTGGACCACCCATGACTGCTGAGGGTTATGTGTTGGTGCAGCGGCCCAACGTAGGAGTCGCGGACCATGCTCCTAGGACCGAAATCCGACATACAGTAACATTTAGAGCTGCGAGCCTACCGAATTCCTGCATTCTGTCCCCCTCCAGATACCCCAAGCCTTCAAACCCCACTAACGAATGCAGGCCGATTGCGCTTCTGCCTCGTTTCCTCGGATAACAGATCGACTTCACACCCAGTGTCAAGCAACGCTAGCGATTCGTGACGAACACGAGCTTCTTTCAGCCAGAGAATGACTCTTCGTGAATTCCCAACTGTGATTCTATCCTCTGCAGCGCCTTCGCTGCACCGTAACCTGCGGGAGGAAGGCCTTCCATTACGCCGATGCGCCACCCCTGCTTGCCCAGCGGCCTGCTTCTACTCAAGCAGCACCTGTGGTTCAAATTTTTTTGGCTCTTTGCATGCGCTTGCAGTTAAAAAGTACATGAGCCAATCTTCCTTAGTAGAAGCAGCTTCGTTGTTGGTGGCTTTTGGGTTGCACAGGAGCCCGGGTTCTCTCTGGCTTGGCTTTCTCGCTCACAAATTGTAGTCTATGGCCAGTTGACACCGCCCATACATCCAGTGCTTTCAAATTTTGACTAAGTTTTTCCATTCAGCCGAAGACACAAAGAGTGCGCCCTTGCGTTGCTGTATCCTCGAAAACTCCATCAATTGCGGTAGGCTCCCTCACCAGTCCGTCGTTCAGTGGGTGAGTCGCTATCCACCCTTCGATCGCCTGACCTGACACTTCGGGTAGACCCGAGTTAAGCCCCTCACTATCCAGTTGTTTGTCTACGATGTGGCTTTTGCGAAGCAGAGTTGCATATTGACCGCGATACAATCTATTGATAGATTCTTCCGTTTGCTTTCCAGATTTTCCCAAGGCTCGCTGTTAAGCTGACATCGGCAAAACCGCTGAGGCGGGGCGGGATACAGGCTTTAAGTGCTGTAGTCTCTGCAGGCTAAATACTTCCTTTACATGAGTCAAGCCACCATTGAAGTGCCTCTTCCTTTATTGTACATGCTGCAAGGAGTACACGCTTCTCTTCATCTGGGAGAACAAAGCGTGGTACATTTCCAGCAGAGCAATGGATCCTCAAGTACCTGCCCTTCCTCATGGCCATCATACTTTGCGGTCGGCATAACTACGTTGCCGCATCCCTAGACAATTTATCGCCTGTCAAGTCATGCCTGTCGAGCAGCTGTTGAGCGAGTGCGTTGTTTTGGCTTGCAGGACGGCCTCTGCCCCCTAAATGTGCTTTTTACTACCGTCAAATTATACGCCCAAAGCAATTGCCCTCATCATGTAGCTAACAAAACAAACTTCGAGTTCCCAAGTGAATTGTTCAAAGTTTGGGTAGCTTTTGTAGGGACGCTTGACATTCCAATGTATCCATAACCAGTGAACCAGCGGGGGAACAACTGCATGGAAGCATGCAGTGCTACAAACTGTTGGGCTCTCTTCAAGGTCTTGGTAGAAGGACACTTCAATCCAGAATCAATGCAAGCTTCACTGAAAGCTCATAAATGCTTTACGCGAGAACTCCTCCGTCCCTCTGCCCACGACCTACCAAGTTCCCATGAAAGAAGGGCGACAGGTGTAGTGCCCATAGCTGCACCTCTTGAGCACTTCGATCTTTCACAGCTAGTTAAATGTGGCATTTCAGCGCACATGTAAAAGACCTCCGGTCTTCTTGTATCGACCCACCTAAGCTTTTCCATAGATCGCGAAGGCGGACCGACAAACCAATTGGTCAACTCTTTACTAATTTTTATCGGAAGTTGTGTAGATAAACGTGCCTCAGTGTGGCTTAGCCGCGAGACAACTGACTGCCAAGCAAGAGAATGTGCGTCGCAGCAGAAGCGATGTCACTGTTCCTTGTACCTCGAGTTTACGCGCTCGTAGCTACGTTTTGCCTAGGACTATGTCGGCCTTTTGCCTTCTACCTCCCAAAAGACCCGCTTTCAGCAGTCTAGGCTCGATTATTGCAGAAGCTACCGTAGATGGCCAGCGTGCACAACGACAAGCCTTTCTCCTCTAACCGTATTTCAGACCGTATTTCAGAGATAGTACTCGTGTTTTCTTCCCATTAAGCAATGTAGATGACGACGCCCGCGGAAAACTGCTATTGCCCTCTGAGATAGAATAATCGCTTCCCGTACGAGTTACGCTGAGTCAAAACAACATAGGGCTTTCTGTTTTTTGGCAGTGGGCACTTTTTGTGTTGTATCTGCTATGAAGCACGTTTTCGCAGGAAGGTTTCTAACAGCTACACTGTAAGTGCAGAGAAAGTAGTGTTGACGACAAAGAGAACGCAGAGCGTCCACCGTCCTTTTGAGATGTGGTGCAGCGCTTAGGGGAGACGCGCAGGGTTAGACAACTTCGTAAGAATCATGAGTTCCACGACTTCTCATGCCCAATTGATCTGGAATATCAGGACGAACTCGAGAAGCACAGGGTTCAAGGTATATACATTGAGATTGGGGTATAAGGATATAGAAATAAGATCCAATCATGCAGCGCAGCAGTGCACGTGTGCTAGCCCATCGATCCCAGCGTAGCCCCTCATGGGCATTCGAGGCCACCGGTCTTGGAAGCGTTCTTCCTCCTTAAACCAAAAAGTCTGAATCTTGAACTGTAAACTGTATATCCGTAAACAACTAAGAAGTAAGACCACTTCCTATGGCATCTGCAAGCCACGAGGAAGCATTGGCTAAGAGAGCCAATTGCATTCTCACCCGCTTTTCGAACTGTTGCTTTCCTCGCAAGATCCTCCAGCGCGGTCTTCATCTCGTTCTATAGGACAATTTTTGCTCTGTGGCGTGCTTCTCAGGGTTTCAGGTGTTGTGGAGCGACGCTCTCTTCCCCCTCACGGTTCACTGCTGCCACTCCAGACGGTTAACCCCACTTCCGTGGGCGGTAGAGTCCCAAGCGAAAGCGTTCCTGAAAAAGTACCAAAGTAGGGAGACGTTTATTTTCGGCTCCTCTCTGTCCCTTCCCTCTGAGTGTTGGCTTTCTGCGGGAAGTGCCAGCAACCCGAGTGGCAAGAAGTAGACCTGCAGCCAGGAGTAGGGGGCAGGCAGGTCGTAAAAACTCCGATTTGGTTTAGAGTGTCTCTGAGCCGACAGTTCTGAGCTGTGCACAACAACAGCAGGATCGTCGGTTGCAGCAGCAGCGCCAGGAAGGCCCAGGCAACGGGAGCACCAGTTTCGTACACTTGATTTTCCAGTGCCTGGTGCAGCATCATCGTCCGTATTTGTGCGCGTGCGTTTTCGCCTGTTGCAGACGATGAGCCGTCGCCTGCTGCTGTGTGCAGCGGGCCTGCTGCTGTGTGCAGCAGGACTGCTGCTTGCGCGTTCGGAAAGTATGGTCCCGCCAGCGCCTGCTCAGGGGGCGTTCAAGAAGTTCATGGGAGATCAGATGCGTAAGGGAAATCAGGGGGTTGCGCCTCCCTTGGGACGAAGCGGGGGGATGGTGGAGGGAGGCATGCCTGGGAGGCCAGAGCAGAAAGAGGTTGGCGAACGTCCTGGAAGCCTGTTGGATGTTCTCTTGGGGGGAGTTATGGCATCCGATCCTATGGCAGCGGAGGGTTATATTCATACCACTCAACAAGAGCATGCGCATCAAGCTGGGCAGAAGATTGCTGGGATGATGCACGGGAGCCCTCTTGGATATGGTGCCGCTGCCTCGGGTGCCGCACACGGCATGATCGATGTTGTGCTTGATCCCCTGCAGCAGCAAATGCAGCTTTTGCAGCAGCATCAACACCAAAACATGCAGGCGATGATGAAGCAGCTGCAAGAGAGCCAACTGGCGGAGAGAGCCCGTCTCGAGGAGCAGCTGCAACAAGCGCGGCAGCTGCACCTTGCAATCCAGGACGAGGGGAACGTAATTTGGAGTTCTTTAGTCGACGTCCAGAGTATTCTTTCTGGAGCACAGCGGGGCATCCAGGAGCTGGGGAGTGCGGAAGGGTTTATCGACGAACTTACAAAGCGGCTGGAATTCTCGTTGCATCGGTTGTCTCTGGCTGAGTCGGCTGGTGGGAACCCTCCCACAGACCCTCAAGATCTGCAGGTGGCAGACAACAGCATTTACTTGGAGACAAAGGCGAGATTAGGGCAAAAATTGAGCAATATCAACAAAGAACTCCAGGTTGTTAATGAACTGCTGAATAATGCGGAGCAACGCGCATCCGCCCTCGCGGAGAAGGGACCCTCTGGACAGTTGATCAGCGACCGCCTCCTGCAGGCGTGCGCAAGCCTCCAAGTGGCCTCAGCTACTCAGGAGGACTACCTGCGAGAGGTGGTCAAGGTGCTGGAGAACAAGCAAAAAGAGTGTGACGCTACTCTGGAGAGACTGCAGAAGATGCTGGAGTCGGCATTTGCAAGGTACGCACTAGAACTGAAGGGCCGAGCTACAGAGTTGCAGCGCAAGATTCTGGCTGTATTGGAAGAACTTGCCAAAGAAGTGGCTTCCGGCAAGGTAAACCGCGAGATGCTCCAAGCAGAAATCACCAAAGTCAGGACCATGTCGGTGCCATTGGCTCAAACCAAGCTCCAGCTGGATGAGCTCCGGCAGAAAATCTCGGATTGGGGAAACGGGGTGTCGCGATCGCTCAATACACTGGGAGGGCTGTTGGAAGGCGGCTCCAGGCTGATGGCGGCTGGCGACACGCTGCCCTCTTCGCACAGCGTCGACTTTGCGCCCCTGAAGTCTGCGATGGAGAAGGCAAAATCCTCAGAGAACAGCATCAGGCAGGAGAAAGCTCGAGTGGATCAATCCTTGCGTATTCTAGATATGTACATCACGGAGGGACTCAACCAGCAACAGTCACAGCAGCCTCCTGAGCAGCTGCTGACTCCTAACAACTTGGCGAATAGGGACCCTTACGCAATGTACGCGCTACCCCCACAGCCTACGCTTGCTGCGGCTCCCCATCAGAGGACTAAGAGGGGAGGCTATGGACCCTACGAGGCGCCTTTGGGATCAAATATGCCGATGGGTTGGGGGAACTACCAAGGGGCTCAAGGACCACAGCAACCTGGCCATGAGCCTCCATTCGGCTCTAGAGGCCTCTTCTAGATTCACCGAACTTCATTATCTGTGGTGGCGGTCCCATTTCTTTCTCGGGGTTCTACGGGCGAAGCAGTTGCTTCTTGCTGGTATATACCTGCTGTTTTTAAAAGAAGAGCACGAGCCAAAGCGGAAAGGGCAGCAGCAAAGGGACGGGCAAAATGGCTGTCGTGAATGCGAAGCCAGCCTCCTCCTTAGATCTCCTTTAAAGCGGAGGAAGAAGGGCTGTGGCACTTTGCTTGCGAAAAGAGGCTCGTGCTGCAACTGTGTGTGTGTATCAAAAACAGTCTCCGTATCCCCTCTTTTTGTCGTTGGACCTCGGTGTCGAGCCGTCCGCCGCGCGCAATTGCTGGAGCAGGGGGGGCCTGCATCGGCAATGCCGAAATTGTCCAATTAGCACCCATCAACTACGTGTCTGCTGTATCGAAGTGATTCTTATTTGTGTATGCACGGTTCGTCGAGGGTGGTGTGTGATGTGTATTTGGAGGGGAGGGAGCGAGAGAGAGGAGAGACGTCTAGCGTTAGAGTTGGTACGGGGGGAGGGAAGAGGGGGAGGGTAGGGTGTACTAGGTGCTTGGGTTGTAGGGGCTGGGTGCGCATTGCGCTTTGAATAGACAGCATGGCAATCAGCGAAGCACATGGACGAGTAACGCCTTCTTCTCTTGCAGGCGTAACAAAGTGACCTAAACACACTGGCCGCACGTGCTGAATGCAGAAATCCTCAAAGCCACAGCCGCGGCAAGGAGAGGACTCCCCTTACTGACAACGAGGGTTGAGATCTAGGGTCTAGGATTTAGGGGTATGCTAAGAGTTGCAGTCCCACTTCAAAAAGTGCGTGAGCCTCATCCTCTCTCTGACTACGGCCCTTCTAGTCGACAAAAACCTTAACCCGAGACCGCCAAGATGGGCTCAGATGCCGACAGCAGCAGCAGCAGCAGCTGCTGCTGTTGCTGCAGCAGCCTCGACAAGCCGTATTGCTAATCTACAAGGGGGAAGGGGGGGCGGGTAGTGCGGAATGCGCCACTCGGCAACATCCGTCCCGTTCGGTTGTTGCTGCTGCCTTCGAAGTCCACTCCACGCCGCTCTTGCTGCCGCTGAGGCTGGGGAGTTAGTCAGCAGCAGCGAAGGCTGCTGCGCTGCAGGGGCTGCAGCGTCACTCGCTTTCGAGCACGGTAATAACCCTCGAAATGGCGGCAGAAAGGGCAGAGAATGCCTGCCTAGGACTCCCCAGCCGTTGGGTGTAAACTGGAAGAGGGTCCAGCAGCTGCAGCAGCAGCCCTCGGAGAGCAGCAAACTCGGCTGCCGCTGCAGAGCTCACCAAGTCGGGGGGTGGCAGAAACTGTGCAGGTGTCAGAGCAGGCAGCAACTCGAGTCTCTCCCACACGGAAAGAGCAGCAGTGCCTCCGGGGTGAGATGCTGATGCTGCCGCCGTTGCTGCTGCTGATGCTGCAACATTTGCAGCCACTATTAGAGCAGCATTGGGGGCGACTGGATCCCAGACGCAACCATTGAGGTCTTCTGCCGCAGAACGCCCTGTAGAACGACGCTTGCTGCTTCCCCCAACAAAATACCGGCGGTCCTGTAGCTGTTGTTGCTGTTGTTGCTGTTGTTGTTGCAGTTGTTGCTGTTGCTGTTGTTGCTGTTGTTGGTGTGCTCTGCCGGCGCCGTTAGTAAATTGCAGATACAGGCGACTGTTCTCCTTTTCAGGCCAGTTGTTTTGGGTGTTCGTGGGTAGGAGAGTTGATGGAGGCTGCTGAAGCTGGAGGTTGTCAGGCTGGCTGCTGCTGCTGCCGCCGCTAGGGGTGAGATGATTTAAAGCGCCTGCGGCAACACTAAGGGCCGCTGCGGGATGCGGAATGGCGTTGCTCTGCATCCTGGTGAGGGCAGAAAAGCAGAGGCAACTGATGATCTGAGAGCGTTCGCAGAAGAGTTTGTTGACGTCTGTCGGCAGGAGCAGTTGCTGCAAGGCAGCAGAGTGCTGCCGCAGGAAGACGTTGTGGAGGCTCCGAGCGTCCAGAAGGTCGCAAAGAATGAATGCCAGAAGCTGCAACAGAGGATGACCGTTGCTGAGGCGGATGCCGTACTTGGTGTGCTCCTTAGCCGGAATGTCTCTTGGCACGCGGTGCTGGGGATAGAGAAAAAGCGGTTGAGGAGGCGGGGGTGCTCTCGCTGCGACTGCGGAAGTGCAGGGCCCAGAAGAGAGGAGACTGAACAGTCCAGGGGGAGACACTTTTGCTGGCGAAGGTGTAAGACTGGCGCTGTCTCGGGTGTTTGGGGAGAGCGTGAGACAGCGCGTGCTGCTGGTAGGACTCGAAGTTGCTGCAGTAGTGCAGCATGGAGACAGCTGGAACTGCTGTTGCTGCTGTTGCAGCAGCAAGAAGAGTTTCTTTTGCTGCAACTGCTGCTGCTGCGCGACCTCGTGCTGCTGCTGCAGCTGTTGCTGCTGCTGCTGGTGAGTCAGCTGCAGCTGCAGCTGCTGAAGCTCCCCCTGGCGGCAGTAATGCAGGAAGTTGCGCGGATCCGCCAGTCTCTTGAGGAGCGCCGCATGCGCAACCCCCTCCTTAAGGCCTGCCCGGACGAACTGCCCCAGCTGCTTGCTCTTGGCGAGAACTGCTAAAATGTAGGCGGCGAGAAGGGAAGGCACGTGAGGGCAAGAGTACACAACCTTTCGTCCACACGTCCAGTCGAGCAGCAGGGGGTCTACCGTGTCGAGAGAGAAGGGCGGAGAGAGGGAGCAGTCCAAGTCTATGGCGACAACACGGACTGTGGCGCGGGGATTCAGAAAGGCTTGCTGAGTCAGTTCCATGGCAGTCCTGCTTCTTCCCTTTGTGCTGCTTGCACTGGAGCTCCTTTGGCCGCTGCCACTCGATACTGGAGCCGCAGAACCCTCTCCGAGTTGCTGCGGGTGCACCACCTGGTCCTGGTCGGGGGGTACCTGGACGGAAACCAGGATGTTCTTAGGGTTGAAGTCGAAGGCGTAAAGATTCGCCTCTGCCGCGACGAATGCGAAGGCCTTTGTGACTTCCCTGCAGAGAAAGAGGAGACGGCGAGAAACTAGCGAGCGCTTCTGCCTGCGAAGCGCCCCCATCGGATCAATGCTTCTGTGAAAATGCCATATGAGAACAGTCAACTGACACGCGTCGGCAATGTGCTCCATGATATATCCACACACTTTGTTGCGGCGCAGAGGCTGCTGCTGTAAGGACACCGCGCTGGGAGACGAGGAAGCACTGTACCAGTCGCCCTCTATGTAGCATAGAGGGCGGCAGAAGTACCGCTGGTTCTTGCTGTTGCAGCTGCTCTGGCATTCCTCAGAAGTGCCAGCTCCTGCGGGGGGAGATACGGCGAATCGCTGCTGCTGCTGGGGGCCCTCTTCACGCAGAATCTCCTCCCCAGCTCTTGCCCCCGCAGCGGCTTGACGTCTCCTCAGCTGCTGCTGCACATGCAGACACTCCAGCCTCACCAAGTTTTCCCACCCCTGCCGGAGATACATGCACGCCGCCGCGTCGGACTGCAGCGCAAGCTTCAGAGCACAGAGCTTACCCCCCAGCTCAACGAGGAAGACATGGCCCATTGCACCGCTGCCCAATGGCTGTAAAAGCCGCAGCGTCGAGGTGTCTCCCCAGCTGCTGCGCCTCGGATTTTGCCAGTTACAGGCAGAAAAGCAGTCCTTGTCGGCTGCACGGGGGACGTGTGGCAGCAGCTGGTGCACAGCCACGTACGGATACTGATGCTGCTGTGCTGTTGGAACCGTTGAAGCAGCAGCACCCCCACTGCTGCCGCTTGGAGCAGACGCTCCGCGCCACAGGCGAGGCCCTTGCTGCTGGACGTGCTCTTGAGACACTTGCTTCAGCCTCAACTGTGCTGCAGCAGCAGCAGCAGCAGCAGCAGCAGCAGCAGCAGCATCGGCCCCTGTGGTGTGGGGTGAGGAGACTCTGGACGGACGCCTGCTAGACTGACGGCAGCCCATGCGGTCTTGCTGCTCTGCAGCAGCGGCTGCAGCAGCTGCTGCTGCTGCTGCCACAGCTGCCGCTGCTGCTGCTGCTCGTGGCGAAGCGGCAAGGCCCAGAGGTGGACAGCCACCTGACGCGATATGCTCTAAGTGCTGCTGCTGGCAGACAGTGGCGTTGGTTTCACAGCTGCTTTGCCGCTTGTGCTGCAACCGCTGATGCTGCTGCAGCTGGTGGAGGGAACGCGGTGTTTTGTCTACTGCGCAGGGCGAGAAAGGGCAGTCTTGTGCTGGCTCGAGCGTATGCTGCTGCAACAGGAGTGGGCAGCGCTCTAGTGCAACACGGTGACGCAGCTGTTGTTGGAACTGGTGCAGCTGGTGGAGCTGGGGATGGTGCGTGACACTTCTTTTTAGATGGTGCTGCTGCTGCTGCTGCTGCAGCAACTGGAGCTGCTGACAAATGCGCAAAGTTCTCAGGCTCGGAGCTTTGCTAATGCTGTCTACCTCCACCTCGGGGGCTGCTGTTGCATGCAGTAGCAGCTGTTGAGGCTGGCTGGGAGGAGAGGATCCCACAGACTCGGCCAAAGGAGTGAACGCCCCTTCCAAATCCTCCGCTGTTTGCTGCTGGGTACTGCTGTAGTGAGTTGAAGCAGTAGGGGGAGAGACAGCGTCTGGCAGTACAGCCGCAGCTGCGACTGCTGTGGGGTCAACTGGAACGCCTGCTGCTCCGCCGGAGCAATAGAGGCCGTAACGAGCGTTTGCTGCTGCAAAGCCACTGAGACGATTAATGCTATAGCGCGAAAGGTGCTGCTGTTGCTGCAGCACAGGGTCACCTTGCAAGGCTTGCGGCAGTAGAAGGCCTACCTGCGGTGCCTGTTGCTGTTGCTGCAGCTGCTGCCACTGCTGCTGCTGAAGGAGCTGAGCAGCCGGATGCTCTTTGGGGGCAGTCTGAGACACTTCTTTCAGCTCCTGCTGTTGCTGCTGGTGCTGCAGCAGCTGCTGATGCATCGTCGCGGCAACTGTGTCTTGCGGTGGACAAACCAGGGCCGTTGGGGGATGGCTGCCGCTGCAGTTGCGGTTGCTGCCATCAGCCTACACCCGCCTGCCCCTTCTGGCAACTGGATGCGTCCCCACGTCACAAGGAGGAAGGGTTTAGGATTGGTTCAGGGTGTCGGCCATGCTGCTTATACAGCGCCAGGAGAGCGAATTCGGAACTACCTGCAGCAAGAGCTGTAATAGAATTTGGGGTTTGAGCTGTACGTTTTTGGTTTCCTACGACACACAGCTGTTTGAAAGAGTTTTAGCCAACTGACACGGGGGGGGGCTCTCAAAGGCGGGAAAGATACGGTGTTTCTTTCCGAAAGGGGGGTAATGATATCTTCCAAGATATGTGCCCTGGCAGAGGCGATCGCAGACAAGCACTCAGAAAAAAGTCAAGAAAAAACAGCCAGAGACGAAAGTGCATCTGAGTTTCAAGGTAAGTATTTCATTGGCTGCTCGGCTTGCTGTGTTCAAGAGCTCCCGGTCGGTCGTTGTGGTCTTAGCGGGGGCGTGGTGTGGTCAGCCGGGTGGTTCTAAGGGGGGTGGTGTACTCCCACCAAATGATATGAGGCAATTTTCTATTTTTAGTTTTCTGACAGACACATACTTTGTAGCCACCTGATCAAATAGTCCCATTGTTCCCCTAAACTCGCAGGCGGGTCACATGTTACTACTGAGTCCAGTGGACACGTGCTGCCACTACGGGGTTTCTTACAGGATTCATTGAAGTGTACCTTGAACGCCGGACCCTATATTCAGGCAAAAAGCATTTCGAACTCTTTAAAAGGGAAAATTTCGTTGAAGATAGGAAACCGAGACTTGTCTGTACCACCCTCATTTATTATCTACTTCACGGATTGTTTCGTTCACACCCCAACAAACATGCAGTGAAACTCTGGAACCCATAAGTGGAGGGCTCCACACAGCATCGAATCACGTTGGTCTACGCCCATTGTTCTAGGGACTAGCCGATTCTGCTTGTACAATTCGCTCATGCTGACAGGTTTGAGGTCACCCGTCCCTCACTCGGCTCCGCTGCAGCTACCGGCAGACTGGACCTTATACCAGAGTATATTCATGTGTAGCCTCTATAATTGTGCAAAGACATAGCTGTAGGCTGCTATCGGGTTTTTAATGGCTGCATTTTGAGTAATCAAGAGCAACACACTTTGAGGGGGGACGTAAAGCTCCCTTCAGGGGCAATAGAAAAAGTTAAACTCCACGTGAGTTATCCTAAGTTATAAAGTATTGAGTGTTCTTGCAGAATCCGCTTCTCTTTTCCCTGTCGTTGCACCTCAGGGTTCCGGCGTGAGGGACAGTAACAGCTAGGGATGTGCGTCCTTACACCAACAAAAAGCCCTCCGTCCATTCACACTTAGTGTCACATTCCACCCTGCCTCCATGCACAGAACACCAACTTTTATAATTTTAGGCTCAGCTACTCTGCAATAAAGATGGTATGCGAACAGTCAAACTTGGCCGACTGTTCGTCATCATCTCCTTAAAATATGAAATCACTACCGTAGTAGGGAGCACCGATTTGAAGATTGGTCCGCTACACCTTAGACCTCGAAATTCGTTAGTTACTAAAAGAGGAAGGCAACAGGGTCCCAAGGGGTCAAACAGAAGGCGATACGCTGAACGCATGTGAGCTGGTGGGGATCCGGCTGGTACTAGAACCAAAATGCGCAAACTCTAGCTAGGCCCAGGCGCAACAAACGAGCAGAATCATATTTCTCTTAGATTCAGAGAGCTTTTCAGTCGTGACCCTGACAGGTGCAGGACACAATTTTTCAGCTTCCTAAATGCCTTTTGCACTTTTTTTGGGTTGCTCGAAGTTGAAGCAGTAATGCTCGGAACTACCATGCACCCTGACGCTTCTTGCACAGACCGAAAGTAGCACATCACAGACACAGTGCCCTGTCTAACCCGTCTACTGTGAAACAAATAATGCAATGCAATCTTATCCTCTACGCCAAGCGCGCAACAGCGAGTTCGTACCGGAACTTGCGTCCTAGATTCCCAGATTTTAATTCCCTGTCAGGGAGTGCGCGTTCGTTTGATTACGATTTATGGGTAGTTACAAGCTAAAATTCAACTGTATCACCTCAGTGTACAAGAGGGATTAAGAGATGCTATGACCACAATCATTGGTCAAAAGTCACTCTCCAAACAATGTGGAGTGTGCCACTGAAGAGCACAATCTCTGAGAGAAAGCATCGTTGCGGGCATGAACCAACTCTTAAAGCTGCGTCAAGACAGTGCGTACATAGAGAACACTGGTGTAACCACCTGTTTCGCATGGCTTTCTCGTCGTGTGAAAGCGCTGCACTTCTCCTTTCTCTCTCTGCAGCTGATTCTGTACCTGGCAAAATGAGGGCGACTGCCCAAACCTGCGAGCGTGCTATCGTCCAGCTACCTGCGTACTGAATGACTCTAGGAATGAAGCACCATTGAGTTATTGTGGCAGTGAGGGAGCTGCGTGTTCACGGACAAATGGGAAAGCCAGTAGTAAACTGGGAAGGCTTTCCTGAGGAGCTAGCTGGGTACGGACCAGCTAGTTGTAGCCTAGCTGGCTACTGGTCGACCAGGCAGACTTTACAAAAGCACAGTTCTCTATGGCTAGCAGAACACGTAGCCACCGATTTTTCAAGGGCACTGCATATGAAAAGTAAGCAGGCTCTTCCCTTTGGAGGTGCCAACTCGAACCGCTACGGACTTGAAGTTTACTAGAGCTCTTTAGGTAGCTACCTGTGTGGTTAACTACCACAACTGGCTATCTACTCTACAGTAAGTATGTTGTTCTCGTTGCCTCCAGTATCCAGCGCTGTTGGAGAGCCGTGGCAGCAGACCCACTCTCCATCAACGACCAGTTTGTAAGTGTACCTACAGCCACCAACGCACACAAACCCTGGACCGTTGAGCTAGGCACTGTGCGCGTTAAATTCATAAAGGGCAACAGCAAGCTCAGCCGCCATTCCTAGCAGAAAAAGCCTCACGAGAAGACGCAACCTACCTTCCCCCCTCTCTCCCCCACCCGCTAAAGCTGCGCCCCCCTCACCCCTTACACGTACTCTCCTGGGGGAAGCGCAAGGGAAATAGCAAAGGCTTGCACCGCGTTATCCCATGCCAGAGGCCGTCTAACTCTCCAGTCGTCGAAACTCCCTGCAAAAAAGCCGGAAATCTTGTGCTCTATTTTGCGCACAGGAACGACAGGGCAGACCAACCTTCCTACTTACGCGCCACCCTCCCTTCCTGCCTATTTTAAAAATAACGCCTGCATTAAAGACGGAAATAAGGCTTATGGCTTACCAGCAACGGCAACAGAGCGAGGCCTAGGCTTTCCCTGCGGAGGAATGTAGCGAATGGTCGATGGGAGCAGTTTCTTGTGAGCAGTTGGCTTGTGGCTGGCTGCTTTGTGGCTCGCCTTTTCTTCGGTGCTGCTTCTCCGGCTGCTGCTGCGACTTGCTGACTCAGGGGAGAGTGTTGTCTCGCCCTCGCTTGTGCTGCTGCTGCTGCTGGTATGTTCGTGCTGCTTGGCTCTAGAGCGCCTCCTCTTAGAGGCCGTGGAGGAAGGGAGCTCCCAGAATTCTGCTGCTGCTTCAGCTTGCTTCTGCAGAAGCAGGTGCTGCTTCTCAGGATCTTGGCTCATGAGCTTTCCCCATCCACAGCCAGTTGGGCTGGAAACTCCTACAGCTGCCGCAGCCAGCTGTTCCTTCCTCTTGCGCCACGCCCCTTCAGACCACTCCGGAAGGGAGTTGTAGATTTGCTGCACCTGCATGCGCGGAGCATTTCTGCAGGTTGCATGCGCTAGGCTGCGGCTAGCAGCGGAGCAGCGGCTGTCGCACACTTGCCGTGGTCATGTGTGAGTGCTCAGACGCGCAGCAGCCAGGGGCACTAAAGGGATTTTCTACTCCCACCGACACCTCTCCACACACACAGAATAAGGCATGCTGAATGCGGCAGCAAGACAAGGCGCCTAACGAGCTACGCAGTCAGTCCGCAAGCCAGTCGAGAGGAGGGCAGGCTGCTGCGTGAACGTCTCCACATACCTTGTTTTCGTTGATCGGCATCTTGTTTCTGAGCCGCGCGAACTCACACAGCCATGCCCAGCTGCTGGCCTCACAGCTCACCACAGACTGCCTCGCTAGCCGCCGCAGCAAGGCATACTTCTCCTTGTCGCTGTGAACACACCGCGAACCACCCCACAACGCCGAACCCAAACAGTTTTGCGAATACGTTTCAAAGGAATGCAGCCGCTTTTTTCGATGTGGAGTGCGCACTGAAGGCTCAGGCCTCGGCGTTTCGTAATGCAGAATAGCAGCCTCAAGTCAGTGGGGAGAATGGCGCAGAGAACGTCGTCGGGATTGGTGCGAGATGCAAAAAGAAGGATCTTTAGACGCGCATTTCGCACCGGCGAATGGAGGTTCACGGTTAGGAGAGGGTTTAGGGCACACATACTCGAAGACACGAATAGCCCTCTCTATTGCATAAAGCAAGTCGCCTGAAGTGTAGCTCATGAAGCAGAAACCATTTCCCTTTCCCGTCGAAGGCACAAACTCAACAACCGTGTCCTTAAGGCCTCCCGTGTGAAAGGCTGTACGCAGAAGAGAACCCAAACTCTTTTCGCCCAAAAGCGTCACTTCGCAAACGCAGACTAAGGCGGCATAGCGCTCCTAGAGAGGAAACGGAGAAGAAGGGAGAGGGAGGGAGGCAAAAGGGGAGAAGAAGGTGGGAAAGAAGAAGGTGGGAAAGAAGAAGGTGGGAAAGAAGAAGGCAGTCTCCTAAACCGCGCAAGTGCGGGGTGGCCAGCGAGTGAGTCTGGTTGGAAAGAGTATTACCGATGACGGGAGTGCCGGATATAAAGAATTCGTGCTGAACAATGCCACCTGGCTCGAAAGCTGACGGCATCAAACCAAAGTCTGCGCCGTAATTCACGTGGGCACCTGAGAAAAAACGAATACCAACCTTCATAGAGGCTGCGGCTTATGCAGGTTCTCCAGAACGGATCGACATGAGCCTCAAAGAAAAACGTGTGGCCTACAAACACGGCAACCGACTGAAGGCGTTCAGAATGGCGCAGAAAAACGAAGCTTCTGACGCCTAAAGATGTTATCTAAAACGTTCTGCAATTCTAAGAATTCTGAGCTTGCCTTTGGTGAAGAACTCGTTCGGATCTGCCCAAAAGCTCTGCGGATATTTCCAGCGCAGCTCCATCATTTTTGAGGCACACCTGGAGAACTCACACTCGCAACAACGTCCTCGCCGCTTACCGCTGCACTGCCTCTCGCACTGCCACCAAGCCACGTTCCATCATAAGAGCACATGCTCTGCGTCTCTGAGCGAAAATCGCTATCCCTTTGACCCCAAAATACATAGACACCGCGACACCCTCGCTACCTCGCAGCATATCCGTCTTTCCAGTTGGCCATGCCGCCAAGGAGCAACTGCACTCTTCCCCTGTGTTTCGTGATGAGCGTTTCCGCGGCTTCCAGAATCAAGTGCACACCTGTGTACAGACAGTGCAGCAGCAGCAGCAGCAGGCGAGCGCGTTGAGAAGCATGTCCTCCCCCCTCATAGCAGCCCAGCACCAAACGTCGAGAGGTGGTATACGCCTGCACGCGAGAAGGCCTCTCTGACAGCAGCTACAAGACAGCAGCTGCGCATGCTGTTCATGTAGCACAGCAGCAGCGCATGCCAATTATACAAAAATGCAGCACGCAGTGCCCAAGGAAGGGCCAGTTTCGTCGATTAAAGCCCCAAAAATCACACATCTGACGGAAAGGGCTGTGCGTCGGCAACAGCAGCAGCAGCAGCATGCAATGCACCGTTAGTGCCCACCCTTCTGTTGCGTGATTCTGCCAATAAACGCAAAGATAGGGATCGAGTCATCCCCGTGCTGCATTCCAAAGTACTCGCGCTGGAGCGCTGCCTTGGCCTCATAGTGATCCTTAAATCCCAGAGCAGCAATCGCATCCAGCCGGCGCTGCATGCAAACACAAGCAGACGTAGCCTGATGCGGCTGAGGACGCGCGGCGGCTTTTCTTGCACCAATAGCGGAAGCAGAACGCTGCAAGTGCTGCTGCGTTTCTTCTGAAAAAAGGATTCTAGCGGCTAAGGCTTTTTGGTGGGCAAACCTGAATGGGGATGCCATTGGGCACGGCGAAGGGATTCGAGTGCCTGCGAAGAAGAGGAGCCAAGGGGGAGTTTTGAGCTCTGCCCTCGCCTTCTTGTAGAAGCTCGGAACGGTACGAAGGAGACACAGTGCCCCACGTATCGCACTGCAGCAAGACGCATCTGCGGCAGAAATACCGCTCACACACATGGTCAGTGATGCTCAGACACCCTCATGGCCTAAGAGACGCTATGTCTTGCAACGAGTGACGAGGCACTGCAGAAGAGGCTCGATAAGCGCGAAGGCAGAAGGCAAAAGGCACGCAGAGAAACATAAAAGAAACGCAGAGAAGGACAACAAAGACAGAAAACAGACACGCAGCGAAATACTGAAGAAATGCAGAGAAGCACAACAAAGACAGAAAACAGACACGCAGCAAAATACTGAAGAAATGCAGAGAAGCACAACAAAGACAGAAAACAGACACGCAGCAAAATACTGAAGAAATGCAGAGAAGTACAACAAAGACAGAAAGCAGACACGCAGCGAAATACTGAAGAAATGCAGAGAAGTACAACAAAGACAGAAAGCAGACACGCAGCAAAATACTGAAGAAATGCAGAGAAGGACAACAAAGACAGAAAACAGACACGCAGCAAAATACTGAAGAAATGCAGAGAAGTACAACAAAGACAGAAAGCAGACACGCAGCGAAATACTCAAGAAAAAGGCGCATGAGGAAAAGGGCCAGATTCTACCTCGAGGGGTTTACAACGTGATTATGCCAAAGGGGATCGACGAGTAGCTCTGTGGGTAGCTGATGGAGCCAGTGGACGTCTTCTCTCTTGTTCATGTATATCCTCCCTACAAGTGCAACAATACAGCTGGAAAATCGCCCCTGAATTCCCCTTGTACACCCCTGCACAGCTTCCCGCAGATGCGAAAGCGCCGGGGAAAGAGGAACCTTCGACTGGAAATTCTGCAAACACTGAGATCTCTGCGTCGAGCTGTCCAGTCCTGTAGCCTCGGCTCGCGCTGAAAAGCGCGAGGGAGGGCTGGCTAGCCTCAGGAAACTAAAGATTTTTCTGACTCAACTGCTCGAGGAGAGGAAGGTTGGGCTGCTCCCCAGCTAGCTCTCTCGATCAAAAAGATTAGCCTACCTTCGTAGTTGGGGTCCAGGTTGTGAATGATGTGGAAGAAAGTTGTATTTTCAAAGGTACTGCCAAAGAATCCATTCTTGGCATATGCTGGTATCAGGGAAGTTGGCCAGTCGTTGGTTACTATCAACTGACACATAAGCACATATATATGTACATACACCCCTGCCTACATGCCCTTATACATACTTGCATGCACTTTTATTTACAGGCCCACATACATATTCAAGTACTTCCGTACATGCATTTGTGTATACATATATGCATGCATGCATATATATATATATATCATTACTTTAGCGGCTTAAATCCCGGAAAAAAGGAGATAGAGTGCCTTCTGAACGCCACGAACGCCTGTGCCGCGGGGCAGAGTGCGCTGAGGCTCCCGACTAACAAATATAAAAAAAGACTCTGCGGCACATATTTTAAAGAATTCTTCAGCCCTATGATGACTTTAAAACATCCGGAAAATAAGGACGAACTTGCGGGATGATGCGTTCGTGGCAGAGAAGTTCGAGAGCGCCCTTCGCAAAAGTCACGAGCATTCTGAGGCCACAAAAAAAGGATTTCAAGAATCTTTCACAAGCCTTGGTTCCCTTTCCAATGGTCACTTTCTACCCCGTTTCTCGCCGCTTGAAGCATAGAGGCAGCCGCGAACTTGTGGTGTGCAGTTTGGACCTGATGGCGTCAACTCCGTAGAACTCCGGGTATGGCTGTGGGAAAATAGACGCGTGGTGGATAAAATACAGCTGCACCTTTTTCACTACGCAGCCACGGTGGATGCCTGTAGCGCAAAACATAGAGACATATATGTATATATATATTATACATATCTGTATCAAAATATATCAATAGATATAGCACTGCTTTTGCCCCACAAACCCAGCAGCTAGGCCGCACAGGCTGCACACAGGATAGCGGCAGCGTCTGTCGATACAGGGAGCATTATGGCGCTTTCAGACTTATTATGGCGTTGTTGTAAGGAACAGGGTTAAGCTTTGGTGCAATTCTCCCCAAGGTTTCACGAAGGTTTACCCAGCTTGATGAACTCTCCGCCAACGTGGACCTCAACGTTGAAGGCATGCGAAATGCCGTCCTTCTCCAGATAGCCTCTTTCTCCCCGCCTGATGACACATCATGCACATGCCTCTGGATCGTGTGAACGGTCTCAGCCTTCGCGCAACAGCCTCTCAACGAGGAAGCGCACACTGCAGGCTGCCATAAGGTTCGAGGCTTAAGATTCTGAGAAGGTCTTGCCTATTCCTTTCATAGTAGGGAGAAATGACGATCACCTCCTGGCCGAACTCCTGAGGATGGATAAATCGTCATGAAGATGATGCTCCAAAACAGCGCACTCATCATGAGGGATCCCCCAGAAGCCACACTGCAATAGAAGACACCCTAAAACTTCCCCTAGTCCCATGCCGCGCGGGGGAGGCTGCTACAGCCTGCCACGACAGATCTCAGAAACATGCTTTCTATCCGGAGATCAGTGCGAGACGTACTGTCGCAAGAGTAGTGGAGAGCTCGTCTACCATCACCCCAAGTCCTCCCACCGTTGACCACTTCCCAAGTTCAGGAGCTACAAATACGAGCGGCGATAGCGTATTACTCCTCAGAACCTGAGCCGTACACCGCCTCAAAAATCCGACACTAATTCATGAGATAACGGCCTCTGATCATCAAGGGACACCCTCGTTTCTGCTAATAATCGAAAACTAAAAACATGCAGAACGCAGAGGCACTCCAATGCGAAACATATAGGCAACTTAATGCAAAAGACAGGCAACTCAATGCGAAACATACAGGCAACTTAATGCAAAACATATAGCCAACTTAATGCGAAACACATTGGCAACCTAATGCGAAAGACAGGCACCTTAATGCGAAAGACAGGCAATCCAATGCGAAAGACAGGAAAATAATGCGAAAACAGGCAATCCAATGCGAAAAACAGGCAATCCAATGCGAAAGACAGTCAATCCAATGCGGAAGACAGGAAAATTAATGCGGAAGACAGGCAATCCAATGCGAAAGACAGGAAAATTAATGCAAAACACAGGCAACTTATTGCGAAAAACAGGCAATTCAATGCGAAAAACAGGCAATCCAATGCGAAAGACAGGCAAATTAATGCAAAAAACAGGCAACTTAATGCGAAACATATAGGCACTCCAATGCGAAACATATAGGCAACTTAGTGCGAAAGACAGGCAACCTAACGCAAAACACAAGCAACTTAACGCGAAAGACAGGCAATCCAACGCGAAAAAAACAGGCGACTTCATGCAAAACACAGGCAACTTAATGCGAAACATACAGGCAACTTAAACGACCAGGTGTTTGGACAGCTGCCGTTCCAGCGCATGTTGCAGCCGTTCTCTATTAACCAAAAGCCCTGAGCCTTACCTCGTTTGCAAGCACAAGACCTCCGGTGGGAGCTGCGGAACCTACTGGAACGCTTTCACCCTCAATTAATCTCCGAAGACGCGCAAAGAATGAGCATGCTAAAAGCCACAAGCGAGCACACACGCATACATGCACATACATGCACATACACATACATACATACATATACACATACATACACAAAAGCACATATATATTTATGTATTCACATAGAAGCAAACACAATATATAAACACATATACACTTAGGCTCATAAGCACACACATACATAAATATACATACAGATGGATACCCCAAACTCTGTCATGGACCCTGCAACACGCGCAGGCGGCTTTTGGGTGCAAGCACTCGGAGCGTTTCGTTTTAAAGACAGCCAGTTGTCGGCAGCCTTTTTTCACGGCACCGTCTGGAGCGTTCGCTTGCAAACAGGCGCGCACTATCATAGCCCTCAGAAAGCTGCTGCGTGGGGTGAGTGGTGAGCGGCGTGTTTGCTATACGCTGTGAGAGCACTCGCGAGGCTGCGTATATCCTGTCTCACCGAGCATCCCGTCTTTTGCGAACAGCTTGGATTCAACGCAAATATCGAACAAGGAGAGCTTGTTCCTTGCGAGCAGAGGTCCCGCTTCCTGGTGCTCTTCTTCGGCGATCTGCTGTTGACGCTGCTGCAGCATCCATTCTTGGGAGTTTCTGCAGGCTGCCCATGGCCAGCTGTCGAAATCACTGCGAGGATCTTCTGTGACGAGTTCAGCATTGTCGAGAGAAGAGAAAAAGCAGATTTCAGCGTCTCTTTCTGATGCGGATGGTGCCTGGGGTCCGTTGCTCCTTGGACTGCCACGACCTCGCAGAGGCTGTTGCTTGCCTTGCCAATCGTTGAGTTGAAGCTGCATTTGCTGATGGTAGTGATGCTGCTGCTGCGGGGGGTAGTAGTGGTAGTGATGCTGCTGCTGGGGGTAGTAGTGGTAGGGGTGCTGCTGCTGCTGGTGCTGGTGCTGCTGGTGCTGCTGGTGCTGGTGCTGCTGGTGCTGCTGGTGCTGCTGCTGCTGCCTCGCTGCTGCCGCTGCTGCCTGGTGCTGCAGCAGGCGGGCTCGGTAATCAAGAGCGTAGCTGAGAAGCTCTAGCAGATCCGCAAGATTGTCGAGCGCGAAGCACTCTCTTAAGGTCCGTTCCTCCCGCTGCTGCTCTTGCAGAGGCGCAGCTGCGCGATGCAGGAGCTCAAGAATGAGATTTCCGTGAGGCTTTCGTGGACGGGTGAAGGCCTTTCGGAAAGCGCCAGAGTCTTCGACGGTCTCTAAGCCTAGTGCCGTTGCCGAGAGGCAGTTTTGGCTGCCGTCGCTGCCCAATGAGAGGCTTCCCGCGAAAGCGAAGACGGGGAGGGAAGGGGCTTGGTGCCGCATGCGCCGCAGCAGCACTTCGAGGCGGAGCAGGGACCCGCAGAAGAGCGAAGCGTAGAGAGGCGGCATGCATAAGAGGCACTCGGGAGCGGCGGGAGCGGCGAAAGTCTCGTCCCCCTTCTCCTCCTGCGCAGTGTCTCTGGCCGCTCCCGAGTCTGCCGTTTTGTCGCTTCGCGAAAACTCGAGGGATTCCGAGTTCGAGGGTGTCTCTTCTGGCCTCTTGCTGTGCCTGGGAGAATCGGGGGGAGTCGTTGGCGCGAGCGCGGGATAGGCTGCGCTGCTGTCGCCTGCTGCCGAGAAGCTGCCGACAGCGAGGGCAGGCGCAGAGGGGTTCCTCGAGAGACGGGCAGCTGCAGTCGCCTCAGAGTCTGCTGCTGCAGAGAGCAGCGTCAAGAAGGAAGGAGGTCTGCCTTCCGATAGCTGCACCTGCACGGTGCATGCAGCGGCAAAGGCCTCTGACACGCGACGTCGAAAGCTCTGCGCCGCATGCAGAGCAGCAAGAGCCACTCCTCCCGCAGCCTGCTCCTCCGGTGGGAGCGACAGACCCACAGAAAGCGAGAGATGCAACGGAGGTCGCATGTCTACCATCGGCAGCAGCCGAAAAGCTCTGCAAAAGGAGGAGAAGGGAGGCAGCGGAGGCAGTGGCAGCGGCTGCTCTAGCAGCTCCTGCAACGACACAAGATTCGACAGAATGTTGCCGTCCACTCTCCACTCGTCAGAGCCGAAGGGGGCGGCAACGCTGCTGCTGCCGCTGCTGCTGCTGCTCCTGCTGCCGCAGAAAGCGCAGCCGCAACACGCTGGAGAGGCCTCGTTCTTCCGCAGCAAAAAGTTGGAGGCAAAGGTGCCGTAAAAACGAGAGCACGTGCACCCCATGAGGTCGCAGTAGCGCAGTGCGAAGCGCCTGCAGTGGCACCAGCAGCGCATGTGCATGGGAGAGGCGAGTCTTGCCGATTCGTGCATGCACGCACGAAAAAAAGGCCTCACGACGGGAGGTCGTACTTTTCTGGGAGGGGCAGACGCTGGAAGAAGGGTACGAGGGGATGCAGCAGCAGGCGCTTATCGGAAATCGTCTGAGAGGTAAAGTTCAACACGAAGAGACACAGCACATGGCGCCCCTGCAGAATAAGCGCTTCCCGTTGGTGCCTTTCTGGCGGCACGAGCTGCTGGGGAGGCTTCTGAGGCAGCAGCAGCAGCACGTCCTGCTGCTGCTGCTGCTGCTGCTTGGAAGTAAAAACCTTGCTTGCAAGGAAGGAGGCTTGATCCAGCAGCTCGTCTCTGTCGATTCTGGCAAACGCCACGACGGGGCCGTCAGGCGTGCCTTGCTGCTGCTGCTGCAGCTCCTCCGCCTCTGTGTTGCTGCTGCTGCTGCAAGAATTCCAATCCGAGCTGCTGCGAACACTGCCGCATACAGAGACAGCCGTCTGCACGCTCCGGCGCTCGCTGACACCGTTCGGGCTGCTTTTGCTGCTGCTGCTGCTGCTGCTGCTGCTGGTGCTGCTGCGACGACGACGCTGCTGCTGACTCCGCCGGCGGCGCGAACGAAGGGCTGATCCTAAGACGGTGAGAAGGCTGCCTGGACGTCGACTGACGCTTTGTGAGTCCGCAACAGCAACAGGTGAGAGCGCAGCAGCAGCAGCGGGAGCAGCAGCAGCAGTAGTAGTGGCAGCAGGAGCAGCACTACTACTGCTGCCCGCGCCTGCCGTGAGTTGCGTTGTTTCTGCGGCATTGAATCCTTTTCTGTACCGGTTGGAGCTGTGCCGCAGCTGCTTTTGCTGGTGCGTTCGAGTGCTGCTACTGCCCTTCTTGCTGCGACGCTGCTGCTGCCGATTGTACAACGCCAGCAGCGGCCTTCCTTGAGGATCAATCAGCTCTAAAGGCACCAAGGCACCCCGCCGAATGCACGTTTCCTGACTTCTGAGTTCGCGAAGACGCGCATACCGCGAGGCAATCGACGACAGGGGAGCTGCAGCAGACAGCGGCAGCAGTTGCGTGTTACGCGCGTATGTACCCGGGAAAAACCCTTTAAAAGCAGCGGCTAGGAAAAGGTGGAAGCGGAGAAAAAGAGAAACAAAAGGGCAAAACAGCAAATCGGTGAGCATTCATAAGAGGACTCCTCCTCCCTGCCTCACCTCCGCCATTCCCCCTTTCTTGCTCTCTCTCTCCCTCTCTCTCTCTCTCTCTCTTTCTCCTTTCCGTTCTCTGCCCTCACTCGCCCCTTGTCCCTGCCTCTGGTTTATATGCGAGTGCGTAGGCTATGTGTCGTTCATAACGCACACCTAATTAGAGTCGACGACCTT